ATCACGAACGTGGGGAACCTGGTGAGTGATACCGATACCAGCAGCCCATAGCATGACGGTTCCATAAGAGCTTAGGTCTTCACCGCCTGTCACATGATGTTAGCATGGGTTGTTTAGATTGGATTAATATAAGCGATATTGAAAAGTCTGGGGAAAACAAGCTTCGGTACTTACCATATGGGCCCTCGACATAAGCCGAAGTGGAAAATCTGCCGGCAGCGGAGAGGTCGGCCTTTTTGAAGAGCTTGTCGGTGAATCCAGTTCGGCGGCGAATAATGAAAGACATGCTGGTCTTGTGGTGCTCGAGGATGTCTTGGCGATTCATGGGAAGACCCTTCTCATCGGCGACGGACGAGGCAATGGTGAGATCTTCCTCTTCTTCACTCCAAGCGACAGAGAAGGGGTGGTTGGTCCAGAGTCCGACGGATGGAATGTACAAGTAGGCGTGCTGACCGGGGCGGAACCTCCATGGGCGAGCCATGCGGACGGTCACACGAAGGGCGTCTCCAGGGAGAACCTCAACATCGCAACCGGTACCACCGTTTCCAACGTTGCGCATGACGAGGCGGACAAATCTCCAGGTTCGCTCCATGACCCAGAGAGCGAGTACGCCGTAGAGCATGAACTGTTGCGGGCGCTCCTTGAGGTGGACCCATACGGCGCCGAGCGCGATGGCAGCACCGACAATGTGGCCGTGCAGGAAAACCTCATAGAAGGAGTGACGCACTGGAGAGGGGGACTGAATCAGGAGGAAGACGAATGCGACAGTGCCCTGTAAATGTTAGACATTGCTGGAACCGGATTGGTACATGACTTACAATGAAACCTGTCATGATGAACTCGCTTCCAGTGATGGAGGCTTGTACGGCACCCCAGCCCTCTGCAAATTTGTTAGCATTGCGATGTTAACATGTCTGACCGAGCAAACTTACTGGTGTGAACCTTGTTGGCGATCCAGCATACGGTGTGGGCAATGGCCTCAAGAATAACGATACGTCCGAACCAACGGTGAATGAGGTTCATGGTGTCGAACGAAATGCCGGTGAGCTTGATGATGGGGTTGTTGCGACCAGCAAGTAGGAACAAGGGGATCATGTTGATGACAGCCATGATGCCGGAGCGGCTGAGAAGTTCACCGGCTCCGGCTGAAAAGCTGCTGTAGTCGATCTTCCAGACACAGAAGCCAACATTGACAGCAAAGTAGCCGACTAGGAAGAAGCTTTGCAGACGGCTAGGTAGAGTTCCAACACCAATGGCGGAAGAGAGCTTGAATTCGCGGTGGTGACGGGTGCGGAATAGAGGCGCATCGAGGCAGTGCTTCTTGAAAGCTGCGTAGGTCCTATTGGGGATGGCGAAGTATCGTTGCGTTTCGTTGTTCAAGCATGTGACGGTGCGGATGTAACGGACAAAGAAGAGGATGACTTGGTACGTGAAGAAGACGACAACGATGATCCACCAGATGTATCCAAGGTAGTGCTGGACGTCGAGGTTCTCAAGACCAGCAGTTGGGTCTTCTTCTCCATGACCCGCACGCTTGGAGAGACCACCCATAGCTTGGACGAGAGACATTGTCGTGATGGAGAGGTAGGCGACAAGTAGGAGTCTTAGGGGGAGGGGACGCGGTCTAGAAGGAGTGCTTTAAGGATCCAGGACGGTAGGGTTGAGAGAGTGGACTCTGTCTTGGCCAGCAAACGACAGACGGGGGTAGGTGGGAAGAAGCACAACGGCACTTGTTCCGAATCGGTGATGCGAGAGTAGGCTAGAGGTTCACTCCGATCGTGGCGATGATGTGGTCGTGCGTTGTGACCGGCTTCACTATAGTAGATTGGGCGGGCTGGCTTTGGGCGCAGGAGGCCAGGGTTAACGGCAGGCGCAATGCAGGCTCAGTTGACGTCGCCGGTGGTGTTGACAGAATCCAGATTGGGCGAGTTAATCAACAGGGATAAAGCAAACAAGGCAGCTGATGGTATGTAGCCGTTATGCAGGCGAAATGGGCTGCGGTGATAGGGCCTCGAGAGAAAATCGCCAACCAGGGGATATATTGCAAAGAGCCGGCGGGGAGGCGACGACTAGCACGCGGAGCGACGAAGAGAAGGTAAGTACCAGGACGGACCGAGGCGATAAAAGAGTGACGTGTGGTGAGCGAGTGTGAGGGTAAAGGGAAGAAGAAGGTTACGCAAGAGCGGGCGTGTGGGTAGAAGGGGAGCAATGCGTGAGTTTGATTATCGCGGCCTCTGATGCAGGATTGGAGGGAGTGCCTGACGCCAGTGACAGGGGGAAGCCTGTCGTGCGCCCGCCTGGCCGCCGCAGCGCAGCCTGCTATTCGGGGACCGGGCGATGAAACGGGGGGTCCCACGCCACACGCGAGGCCCTAGGCGACAGGGCGTTTCATCGCTCCGAACAAATCCACGCACTCACCACCACTCTCACCACACCTTGCGTCATCGAGGCCTGGAAGCTTCAAAACAACACATAGCGGTCCTCTTGGTTTGCTGAACGACAAGCGGCACGCCAAACAGGGATCCACCGCCCGCCGCTCCTGCAACACTCCCTTGGCGTCCATTCACCCCGCTGCGCCCCAGCCTGCAACGGCCCTACATCATCTTTCCGCGACGACGAGGACCGTCTCCGCAACGCCTCGTCTTGGCCCACTTCGTCGCGCGGCAGACCTCCCCGATGGCTTGCCAATGCTGTAGTTCTATCAAGTGCCCTGAATTATCTCACTCCCGTGGAAACTGCAGCCGTGATCGGCCTCCGTCACTGTAAATATACCACGTAAACATACTGCAATCAGCCAGCGTGCAGATTCGACCGCTGACTACCATGGGAACAGAGGTACGCCGGCGGCGCTTGAGTGAGCATCACCTCAAACAATTCATGCCCGCTGGCATCATGCCGTGGCTCCCCATGCAATGCATGACTGGTTGTTTCATTTGTCCCGTCTTGCGGACGCTCCAACCGTCTGTTTTGACCTCTGCCCGGTAGCCCAGTCCTTGGGAGCTGTCACTCCATATCGGGCCGGCGTGTCTCAGCAACCCTACACATGCTGAAGCACTCTAGATTCGCAGGCAATTTGACGCGAGCCTTGGGTTCGAGAGGGTAATTGTTTCTCCACATGGTTCGGGGCAGCAGTACGATCCGCAAGTGCTGGGACTGTTCGTGCTGCGGCCGCGATTCTAGATCTTTCACACAATCACCGCCGTCTGCTACCGGGCTGTTGAGAAAGAGTGCGCATGCGGTAGCATCCATATCAGCTGTTATCGCAATCTACTATCAACTGCTTCTGCAAATTACGCATGCTCAGCGCCCCCATTTTAGAGCGGCTGCTATGCTCCACTGCAAATTCACCGACGACGCCACCATGCGTCCAGAGTCCTCAACACGAACGGCTGGGACCTACGGACGTTCGTCTTGACACTTTAGCCTGTGCCCATCGTACGTCTTTGCTTTTCCTATCCTTTGCGTTTGATGGCTTCGAGGATGACTTAACCCGGAACACTCCATAGTACAGCCGCTGTAAAATACGAGTCAGAGGCACACGTGCATCCATACTCCCTTCGAGTCGCAGGACAGATCACATATGACAGCTTCATGTTCACTCTCGCCGCAGGCAAACCCAGGCTTGTCACTGCGACCGCTGAGGAACTGTCAGATTGCCGTTGTTTCAAACAGATGACGAGGTCCATCTAGGCCCCACGATGTCGAAACGTCGTCAACGATCCCCAAGACGGTGTTTCAAGGACAGGCACCTTTCATCTTCCTTCACTGAAAGGCAATCACTTCCCAACGTTACAATCACTTCGCAGCGTCTGACATGCGACACCATTACCAAGTACGCAAGCGCTGAGGTGGACCTAGCGTAGACGTTCGCAGCTATCGATAGTCACGCAATTCGGAGCAGGCGCTGTGTGTTTGGACTTCCGCACCCCTCATCGCGATCTGCCAGTCGTCGACGAATGAGCACAGCCCAGCAACCAGCTTTATGAGTTATTTCTTACCGCTCCTAACCAGCTGTTGAGCAGTGTTTTGACCACCTCCAAGACTCAATGCGCAGTTCTTAATTTCCGCGTTCGTTTTGCTCGCTGCTCACCATTTCGCTTACCGGCCAGTAGGATGACCTGCCTTGGTATGCACGAAATCCTTCCGATGCGGATCGGTTCCTGGATCGACGAGCACGCGAATGACTGACAGGATCCGCGCCGCATCTTTCGACGTCAGAAGCAAACATTGCCGCTAGGAGATTCGGATGACGCTTATGCGGGTATGGGCAGTTACGGCTCTAGCAGGCGTCTTGTGTGGTGTTCGCAGAGACAGAGGCATCTGCCACGTTATAGGGGCAGGCTTATTGTGTTGGGGGTCAGCTGTCTCAAAACGCAAGTCTGACTGCACATCTGTTTCCGGCGCGTAGTACACTCCTGGGCCTCTATATAACGCCCCGGGGACCCAACAGGATGACACGAAGATATAAGTAGCATCTTCCGACCTGTGATTAGCATACAGTCAGAGAACGATGCTCGGATGCCTCACGTCCCGACGAAAGACAATCTACATGAGGGAGACATGTCTTTTACGCAGCCCCGAGGCTTGAGGACAAAGCACATCTTCAATGATGGTATTTGCCCATCGGAGCTTTGTGCGAGTGGCTACCTCCGCTTTTTATGACATCATGTTGCTTCAAGCCAGCTGTACCAGTGCAGCGAATTGTACCACAATAAACTCTTGTGATCCACGGTCACCCTCTTCCGAGGTTCGCTCACTAGGTGTGCGTATCGATGGGACACAGTGAGCAAATCGAGTCCCAACATCCGTCCTACTACGAGTTTCCATTTGAATTGCAAAATGCGCAGTCGCATTATGATAGACCAGCAATTGCATGGCTCTTGAACATGTGTGCGAAATTGGTGCTGCGCGAGTGAAAGCAGTGTCTGGACGCGGAGACAGCAGCGCGTCTGGACCCTTAACGCCGACCGCCGATGTTGGTCAAACAAACAAACAAACATCGACACGACAACATAGCATTGGCATAACGTATCACGGTTGTTCACCTGCGAGCATTGCTTCTATATGCATTAAACGACATATTTACTGTGATGTCGACCGACGACACGCTGCCATGGACGACTTCACGATGCAATCGCCTGCTACGCCCGCTCTCATCCAAACTCGCGAAGCTGCGCAAAGAGCTTGAGCGACCACGTACTGTCAGCGCCGAATCGCGCAATGCCTCCTCTGCCTTTGCGATCAAAGGCTCTCCGCAGAAGACGACCAACTTCACCCGCCCAGCGAATAAGCCCCGAGGCTTCGAGAAGGCTAGAGATCCAGACTGGCGGCCCGGCGCGAAGGCAGGGACGGGCAAGAAGACAACGTACGGTGGCCGTGGCCGAGGGAGAGCACCGGCTCTGCAGAGGAATGGTTCTGGCACGGGCAGGGACGTTGTCTCTCGGCCAGGTGAGATCGCATTCACGCCTCTGATTTCGAGAATGGGCGGACAGTTGCACAGCAGCCCACAGATCCCGATCTCGCCGCTGCGCAAGTACTCCAAGATTAAGGGCCCTCTTCTAGCTCCGATATATCCGCCAGCGATACATGTCCCTGGCGAGATCCGCAAGCTCACGCAGGGACTATCTGAAGCCTTCGCGAACATCCTACAATCAACCACAACGGGCGGTGAAGCCAGATGGAAGGGCACAAGGTCGCTCATGGGTGCTTGCTTGAGAAGGCTGCCGGCCTACATCGAACTCGAAGAGCATTTCGCCAAGTTGGACAAGCTGGAAGAAGATGGAGAGGAGGAGGGTAGGGACGTTGCCAATGAGATCTACGAACACCTCGAGACACAGTTCGAGCAAGAACATGGCCGAGGTTGGCGGCCCTTCAAAAGCGTTGTCCGAGCGCATGCCACAACATTGGTATGCGATGCTATAACAGATGAGGTTCTTGGTCTGGACAACGTAGTGCTTCTTGTCACGCACTGTTTAAACTCCTCTGCTTGGGATGAAGCTGAGAGGTTGCTTCTAGCATATGCACCGCTCCTGGAGTCTGTGTCTATACCCATCAACACGCGAGCGGACTTGTTCGACCCTCAAAAGTCGCCTTATCTGTATTCCGTGAAGAGTTTTGTCCACCACACAGGACGTTATCGCTTGCTCTACGATCTGCTAGAACACATGGTCGCCTTCGAAATTCTGCCTCTTGAATGGCTCGCGACCGACACCATGCGCCCGGTCTGGGACCGACTTGTTCGAACGATTACCGTGAACGACCGTCGGACACTTGCAAGCGCTTACCGGTTTTTCGAAACGGTCACCTTGGTAAGTATGGGATTACCAGATGCACGACTGTTAGAAGATGAAATTACTGGACCTGTGTCAAGACGATTCGTACCATCGTCTCGAGAGGAACTTCGACGCGCGCTGGACACTACGTTCTCCAGCCTACTCACTGTCTTGTGCAGCATTGCTTTGGTCAACAGTAGTCGCGAAGACCCTGCAGGGAAAGAGATCGTACAGAGAGTCACATCGGTGCTAGATACTGTTGTCATCGCTTTATCTGCCCGTGAAGACATCAGGGATGAGCTGAAGCTTCTTGGACCGGAGTCGGATGATGTTCAACTCATGGCTCAACGCGCTATCTGGATCATATTTGCATCGTATCTGGTGCATCTCGGAGGGCCTGAGAACCTGGGCAAGACATCACTCGATCCCTCCACCTCTATTGAACTTGTCAATTGGGTAGTAACCCAATATTCATCAAACATTGTCAACCTCGCATCAATATTTTCAACTATTCCAGCTTTAATCTCTTCGACCGCACGCGGTACGGGGCGCATTTGGAAGGACGATGGTTTCAATCAACTACAGCGACTCGTCACAGCGCTAACCTCGAGTTCCGGTTGTAGACTACCACACAAGCTATGGACATTGAAGCGGCTCGCACTGGAGTCAGCCAGAGACTTTGCCCATGGCACTGGCGATGCTGAGCATATGGCCTACGTTCGTGACATTGAGAAGATGATGCATACGCAAGGCCGTCTGGTCATTATGCATTCGCCACAGAAGAATGAGTCGCCCACGGTCGGTGGCGGCTTCAGATGGGAGGAGGGCATTGGCGAATGGGTCACCTGCACACCATTCGCAAGGCAGAACATCAAGCGCCAGATAGAAGAGCCAGTTCGAGCATTGGAGCTCTTGCCAACTCCAGCACAGTCTGAAGACGAGAAGACAGAAGCATCTGATATTGAAGATGGACTCCCTAATGGCATACCAGATACACCAGTGTGGGAAGTCACGGCTCTCGACTACGACGACAACCGAATACCACAATCGTCGCCTATCAAAAAGAGACCGCGGGTTTCCACATCTTCACTCGGAAAACGCATTCGCGCACCATCGCCAAAGGTCGTCATACCCACGAAGCGAATGCATTTAACACCACCCGGTACCCCACCATTCAAGTACTACTCTGAACTTCCTAAAGAGAAGCACGTCGGTCCCAGACGATCTCGACGCCCGAAACAAGAGTCCTATCCATCTACCTCTCGATCTCGCACACAACGTTCCAGAACATCACTTGAAAGCGGACTGCGCAATCTCAGAAGACCTGTCTATGCGGAGCCAGCGCTTGGGGTCAGCGATAGTGACACAAAAGCGTCCAGTTCCTCGCGGGATGATTCAGAGGATTCACCAGTGTCGGTGGAGAGTGTGCTCACCAAGACTGCCCAAACAAACACTCGCCCATCGGAGCGCACGCGCACACGTCGTTCTCTCCCGACCGTTCTTGCCGGCTACGACGACGGCGACGCATCTGAGCGCGACGAACTCGGTAGGACACCCGCTCGACCTCGTCTTCCTCTCCGCAAACGAACAAGCGCTCGCCAGTCCATCCAAGCATGCACACAGTGGATGAAGTCACGTCAAGGCATGGTAGTGGACAGCGATGATGACAGTCAAGACGAGCTGAGTTTCTGTTAGGCGCAGATTATGCATCCGTTGCACAGCTTAGACGTATGTTTGCGTTCAGACAGAGTTTGTCAGGACCTTTTGCTTAGTCGGTGTTGAATCACCATCGTTTTTTGTATTGATACCCCAGAATCTTTATGTTACGTTGTTTGGATAACAAAAATACACATACATGTCATCGTTGTGCTTCCCTTTGAGTATATGAAAAGGCGCGTCTGAAATACTCGTATATTGAGACATACCAACCACGAACGCAGAGAACTGCGACGCACATGCGATGAACACACGATCGACATCTATGAGCATCCCGTGGAGCTGCAACAAGCCCTTCTTCTAGATATATGACTATGAAAGTGCGTTACATCATGCGCCAACAAACCAACATTACACAGCCTGATTAGCTATGCATTCGTCCTTCCTCTGCTCACCGATCAAAAGAGAAGGAGGAAAAAAGTATATCATTGCTACTATCCCGTACGCAGCTTCCTCACGAAGCTTCAGCACCCTTTCCACGTCGGTGCTTCTCTAAACTGCGCGCGCTATCAGCGTACAGTGGGGCGAAATTATGCAGAACAATGCACTCAAACGCCCTCATTTTGGCGACATCGTGTTTCATATGTGGGAAGACGGTGACAGTCGGGCAATTGTAAATCGAGAAGGACTGAAAGCATGCAAAGGGCAGCAACACATGAGGTTTTTGAGTCGTAGATGCGTGGGGCGGTTTGGGCCTTTGTTTACCAAAGTGAGCACGTCTGGCCAGTGGAGATTAAGAGACACTCGTAGGATGACTTGCAGGTCAAGCACTTGATCACAATATACATGCACAAACACGTTGTCCCAGTTGATATGCCTAAGCCATTTGTATTTGTTTGTTACTCGTTTCTGCATCCCATATTCCAGTCCATGTGCTGTGGTGTTCAAATGATGGTGTGGGTCGATGGCGTTTCAGTCGCTTGTCGTATGTGGATATGAAATCGTTACGTGATAAGGACAGGTGTCGAATCGAAAATTGCCGTGCCACATGTCGATGGTGCTGGTGGTAGAAAGAATGAGTTTCTACCATTTGTTAGTAAAGTGATTCTATGGGAGAGTAACGTCCGTTGCGCCACGCGAGCTGGTGGAAGGGTGAGGGCAAAGTGACGTACAGTTGCAGTTGCAAGCTCCGGGAGCGCAGCCGCAGTCGGCGCAAGTGCATCCAGAGTTTCCGCAGCCGCCCTTCATGTTGATGGTTGTTTGGAGAGGTTGAAAGTGGTTGTGTAGTTGAAAGAGTGGTGTCGTTCTGTTACTTTGATCGTTTGCTGGTGAGAGAGGAAGCAGGTGGAGGGGCAGAAGCGGGGCACGCCTTTTATGTCCCTGACTTCCAAGGTTCGGTGACATACCATTTCCAGAAGGGTAAGATGCGACACTGATAGCCGCACTTACCAATAGATCGTGCGCTACGGCTCGGGCTCTTTTCCAAGTTCGCTATTTAGGCGGGGCCGGCACGTTATTTAGCGAATCATGGAAAGAAAGTGCTGTAGGTAGTGACTGTGGTGGCGACTCGAGCGGTTGGATGAGGTATTGGCGCAGCACGTAACCTCATTTGAGCAAGTTACGTGGGGAGCTAGTGTGTGAGCTTGCCGGGTGGGGCGTGAGCGGGCGCGTGTGCCACAGGATGCAAACACGCTGTAGACACCTAGGGGTGTATGGGCGTGACGTAAGAAGGTTATGAAGCAGAGGTATGTCGTTACGCTATTGTTTCCTTTGTAACAGAGCTCCTGTCCCGGCGCGGATGCTGAGTTTAGTCTCCGGTTCGCCGGAGATCTGAAATGATGGGATAGCCATACTGTGAGGATCCAACGTAAGCAGCCTGCCAGATCATTGATGACTGGAGCTGTTACGCAGCCTTCAGGTCTGCCCACACGACTGTAGCAGACAGACTGAGACCTTTGTCGATGTTCAGATCACACCTCTTTTTCCCATATTGGCAAGATCGATCACCTCCTCTTCTACTTCGCTCTCAGCCGCATGCTTTCCTTTGGCGTTCTTGCTGCTCTTTGTTCCACCTTTGCTGTTGGAGTTCCCTTTCTTCCCGTCCTTGATGCTACCCTCATCATCCGTATCATCTCCGAATAAGAAGCCTTTGCCCTTCATGCGTCTCTTTTCGTCAGATGAGAAGGTGGAATGGGCGGCACCGGAGGCGAAGTTGGAAGATGCTGAATCTTCACCAAGCATCCAAGAGAAATTTGAGGACGTAAGATGTGGTCGCGACGGTGGAGAGAGAGTCGAAGCAAGCTTTGACGGAGGTGACAATGTACGCGCGGGTGGTGAGGTCGGACGGGAAACGGCAGGAGAAGGGTTCTTAGAAGCTGTTGTCGACGGGGTATTCGACTGAGACGTCGTACCTAAAGAAATGGGTGGTACGATTGGTGCCTGTTTCGGCGACACAGGGGATTGAGGAGGCGGAGAAGATAAGCTAATCGCAGCCTGTGCAGTAGATGCCTGTTCCGTTGCTTCGTCGATAGGAAGCGGTAGAGAAGAGTCTTCAAGATAGACTTGCACGAATTGCACTTTCGCGATGGCAAGGCTGAGTGCCTCCATAGCTTCTTTGCCTCTCTCATCGCCTTCTCTCGCCTTTTGTGCTTCGTCGCGCTCTCTGTGATACTCCCACAGATCACCGACGGCAACTTCCAACATTTTAGCGAGACTCTTATTCCTGCGATCCAGCTCTTCCATCTTCTTGAATGTGTTCACAGAGTGTACCCTTTCGAGACTTGGTCGTCCATTGGCACCAGGTGTGCCTAGTTGGCCAGGCTTCCGGAACTCCCTTCCTCCAGAACGCGGTGTCGACTGGCCAGAGGTTGTTCCTGACTGATAAGCCTCAACATTCTTCCTTACTTCGCCCACTGCATCTCGCAGAGCCTTCCCGACACCCCACTGCGATCCGCGATCCAGTACATTTTTCGCCGCACCCTGTATCAAGGCCTCGAAACCAGCGCCCTGTTGGGTCACAAAGCTTCTTGGCGATCCGATGCTATGTCGCGTTCGACTCGAGACGAATGACGGAGATGGCGATGGTTCGCGGACAGGTGGTTTTGATACAGGCTCGATAAGGGGCGCTTGCTTACCATATCGTGTAATAATCTCTGCCCCACCGAGTGGAGTAAGATGATCACGGAGATATAGCGCGTCTTTGATGAATGTGTATGGCGGTGCAGCGGGTTCAGGGTATCGCAAAAGGAGTGCAAAGGCTTCGTTCGTATCAGCTGCCATCAGCTCCCACCGTATGCGCAGCAGCATGGCTAACGAGACCATATCGACAAGCTCTAGAGTAGAGTCTATGGCGAACAGGGCGTCCCACACGTCAAATACGGCATCGAGTGAGAACTCTCGTCCGAAAAGAAGGCGTATCCAACGTCTAGTGCATATTAGGGAAGCCTGGCTCGAGTACGCATAGTGACTTACAGGAGGAAAATCTGGGGCACAATCTCAAGCTTGACAAGATGGGTATAGAGTTCTGGGTCCACCTTTGGTAGATTGCCCTCAAAGATCCTGGAACTCCGCGCAAGCATTGGTGTGTCTTTGGTTATAGATCCAGTCTCGGCCGGCGCGTAGAAAGACTTGGCTGTCTGCATGATAATGGAGAAAAGCATATGTGTGTCATGCTCAATGTATCCAGAGTCGAGCATCTCGGCCAGAGTGTGGTCCATTGCGCCAGTCTCCTGACCGGCAACATCTATGGCATCTCTTTCCACGACCCACAGCAGCGGCGCAAGTATTTCGTGCATGCCTTGGCGATATCCTATGTCAGGATGCATCTTGCACCACACGAACAGTATATCCAACATCATGGTCTGCGTCGCGGGCTGGCGGAAGTATACATTGTCGGGCATACATCGCTCGATATCCTGGAATATCTCGGCGCGAAGTTCTTCGTCAGCGCGGAGGGCTACCCATGGTGACTTTTAACGCTTAGTACTTGTCAATAAGCGACATGTCTCGATGGCGGCGGCCGGTCGTGGGTGCACACACCTCTGATAGTTCGCTCAATGGGTCTACAGAAGACTCGAATTCGTCTGGATTATGTATGGCGCGGAGGTGGTGCGATCGCAGGGACTCGTATGTCTTGCGCGCATGGCTGAGATGGGTAGGCCATGACGAGCGGTCAAGCGTCTTGAAGACAAGAAAGATCTAACCTTGCTATGAGCGATTGAGGAGAAGAGGGGTAGGTCGGACCGTACCTTCCAGCAGACGGAGCGGAGTCCTGCGGTAATCTGGGGTTCCTTGTGCGCAGATACGTGGATCTTGAGGTCAGTCAGGGAGTGGAAGTCGTCGAGCTGCCGCCAGTGCTTTCTATGTGATGTCAGAATTGGGACCATGGGAAAGGACAGACATGACACACTCAGCTTCAGATACGGAGCGCATGGTGGAAAATTACAAAGAGGGGTGTGAGTACTGTGTCGGCAACCCAAGCACCCTGCTGGTAGCTCGGCGCCGTGATGCAATAGCGCGCGGCGGGGCAGCTCGAGCCGACGACGATGTCACGTGGCACATGAGGCATGACTTCCAAGGTTGCAACCATGGGATACTCGGATGGAATATCACAAGCGCGTCAGCTAGGGTGCTGCTTGCAAACACGTTGCTGGGTCAGATCTATAGTCAGTGTCAGGGTCTGCTGCGAGTTTGGTCGGTTGCCAGAGGAAACGAGAATAGAACACGACGTCACGGTAAAATCATGATACGGATACGATAACGGTACTGTGTAGCATCGGACAATAGCGTCTAACACTGTCAATAGCTTCGTTCGTGGTAAGTTTCTAGGTTTTCTAAATGCATCGCGCGCTACGTTCGCTAAGAACGGGATCGCATGTGGATAAGAGAACGATTTAGTTCACGATACAGGCATCTTCGGCTGAATGCCAATGGCAGCGCGCGGGAAGTCGCATACGCCGTGTGGCGCAGACTATTCGTACGAGGGATGAAACAGGAACGAGAACGAGTTCTGGCCTATTGAACCAAACTTGGCTCTTGGTTCTCAGCTGCCCACATGTCGGCCTGGGAATGTCGGCATCGACGGAGTTGCTTGGCAGCGACCAAGCGAACTCGCGATGATCGACAGTGTTTTTGCTCGGCACGGCTCACTCTTTCTTCGCTGGGGGCACGGCGTTCCGCTGGCCCTCAATGACGAGCCTGTCCATGAGGCCTGGGGCCAGAATGTCCTGGCGGAAACGCTCCTGCTGCAGCAACTCCAGTGCACGCAGCGTGGGGCCGGGGTGACTGCGCCGACGGGGTCAGTAAGCAGGCGGTGTGAGAGGCGGCGAACATACTGTAAGAATCTGGTGTACTTTGGGTCTTTGAAGTACTGCAGGTAGCCGAGGTATGCGACGAACTCGGGCTTGTCGAGCGTCTTTTGCTGGGCCAGGTAGTTGAGATAGACGGGATTGGCAAGGCACTGGACAAACTAGGCGCGTGTTAATGAAGGTCAAACAGGGGCTAATGACGACGCAGTATAGGGGAATTGCGGACCTCGAGCTCGAGCTCAAAGCGCGAGTAGCCTCCCACGCCCGGGACATGTTGCGCCGTCTGGTGGGCCATGGCTGGAGTCTCGGACGTTTGACAGCTGACGGTGCAGAGTCGCGATGAGAGCGGCGCTTGCAGGTCACGCTGAGGCTGAAGAAAAGCAGTTCAGGGTCTTCCCCGCAATTGCCAGGTTGCGCAGAGTCGGCAGCTAATCCAGTTGGGTATGTGAGGCGGGCTAAGGATCGCGCACTTGCACAAACAGGTGCAAGGACGGCAGGGTTGATGAGCTTGTCGTAGACGATGGACGCGGACGGAGTGTACGCAGTCGTGATGGCAACAGGCGGTGATGGCAAGGGAGAGGCGGTGTTTTAGGATTCGTTGAGGACGTCTCTACCAGACGTGTATCATGCTCTGCGAGCGCACTATGCAGGCGGTCGACACAATCCGAGGGCGTTCAGCGCAGCCAAAAGCGATGCACATCGAGGTCCAGTGTCCCTTGCGTTGGCGCGCACGTGCAGCTCGAGCCTTGACTCCACAGCGTAGCGGATTGGCACCCTGAGTTGCCGTCTAGACAGTCTTTTCCGGGCCAAAGTGGCTGCCCAGGTGCGGTTTAGGAAGCTCGTGATCGGGCGCTCGAATCACAGACAGACGGCGCCACGGAACCACGCACCCACGGTTTTGCGGTTGCGGTAAACACGAGGCCCAGCCCAGTGCCCTCTAAAAGCCTAGCTAGGCCGCTCTTGCCTTCGACGGCCTACTACTACCTCTGCTCCCGCCTCCTGCCTCCTGTGCATTAATCACTGCCATTGCCGTCACCGTCACCATCACCATCACCTGCTTTTGCTTTCCTCCCTCACCACTCACCCACGCCCAGCCCCCGCGCATTGCTGTCCTGTATTCCATAGGCGTTGCATAGACTACTAACGGGCCTCAAACACCAGCCCATCAAACACGCGCCCCGCCCGCCTGTCGTCTGCCCGCCAACGGGGCCTGTCTATCCTCAGCGCGAAACACAGCAGTATCGGTACCGCCAGTCTTAGCAAAAACCGCGCCCCTATTGCTGCTTCTGCTGTAGGCGAGGTGCGCAGGAACAGGATTGCCTGCCGTGCGTCACCAGCCAGCAGTTGCACAAAGCACGCCTGTCGTCTCCCGCGGCGCCAGTGTTTGATTGGGCCGCCCAGCAGGGTTGTGAGCAGCAGACGGCATCATGTTTGCAGAGCCGTCAATGCCAGGTAAGGCTGCTCCTGAATTTGCCTGTTTCACCGAGACTTGGGCTGTGACGAAATAGGACGCGCCGCTGATCATATTGCTTATCTACAGAAAGGCGACCCTCGCCAGGCCTGCAGCTCAACCTCTCCTCCAACAACCCCTTCCGCCGCGCTGCCTCTCCCGGTTTCCCCTCGCCCGCCAGTGCCAACCGCTCGAGCTCGGGCAGCAGACCAATGTCGCGCAATCCCTTTATATCTACCTTCGAGGCCGAGTTTAACAAGGAGGCATCCAGAGACCTCGTTGACATGTCGGCCACCATGAAGGACTCTCCCAAGAAATCAAACTTCGGCTTTGCCGCCGAAGAGCTCTTTGTACGTTTACCCCCCTTTGCAGGCCAATCGCCCGTGCCGTGACGGCGCTGGCAGCCGTCACGTCGTGCAAGCCGCGCACTCTGCACGCTGTAGTAAAATGCGGTGCAGTTTCTAGCCGCCACCACCGCCATTGAGCCATCAACATGGACCGCTTCAGGCGCTTTGTGATGCAGTTTGCTGACTATCCTGCCCTTACCCAGGCCAACCTCACCATTGACGACGCCGATAAGAAGCGAGCTCCCCCGCCACGACCTGCCCCTGCCCGCAGCGGCACCGATCCCCGTGCAGGCCACCGTCCCTCGCGCTCCGAAGAGGAGAGACAGCGCATGCGGGAAGCTTCTCGCGGAGGCTCTCGACCACGGGGACCTCCCAGCTCGTCGCGCCCTCCCCAGCTCAACAGCCCCGAACGCCGCGAGAACCGCCGCCCCCGACGCAACTCCGAATCCTCCATCATCGACCGAGGCTCTCTCGACCCGCGTGAAGAGCGCAGGCGCAGGGAGCGCCGCAAGGAGCGCGAAGAGCGTGCTAAAGACGGCAAGGACAGCAAATCTGGCGGCAAGAAAGTCCGCAGGCCGCAAGGTCTTGATCTCATTGACAAACTCGATGTGACTGGCATCTACGGACCTAGCATGATCCACCACGATGGGCCCTACGACGCTGTGCAACCCCACCGCAACCGCAAGAAGGACCAGCGCGCACCCATGCATGCCTTCCCCGTTGGTTCAGCCAATAACACTCTGGGTGGTTCTGGACCGTTGAACACAAAGATCGATCTTGACAGGATCCATGGCAGGGGTGCCGAGGGCTTCACCGACTTTGCCGGTGCCGAGACTGAGTGGAAGAAGCCAGCCCCAGTGGCCGCAGAGTTCAGCGCAAAAGGTCGACAAGACATTGTACACGGCGAGCAGACCCATGGTCTTGGAACATCTACCTTCCTCGAGGGCGCCCCGGCTTCCCGCAAAGCGATCCAAGAAGAGTCCGATGCTCAGAGGCAGAAGCAACTAGCTGATGGCGGTCTCGGTCGCAAGAAGTCCATCGCCCAGCGATTCCGCGGCATTTCTCAGCCCCGTCGTTACGGTGACGGCCCACGCATCACTTCGCCCGACGCACGTTATGGAGCTGCCACCAGTCCAAGCGGCCCCTACAGCGCCGGAGCCATCTCGCAGACCAAGGCCACAGAGCAGAACCCATTCTTCAGTGACGACTACGACAAGGCCTACGACGCCAAGGGCGCAGCCATTAAGACCAACGAGGGCGGACCTTCACCACCTCGGGGCGCTGCGCTGCAACGGTCCATCACCACCGACAGCGTAGGATCTCCCACAGGCGAGGCTAAGCCCAGCGGTGGGTTCCTCAACCGCGTCAAGTCCCTCAAGGGCGGACGTCGACGTCCAGCTTGAGAATTCACAGGCATGGTTGAAATGATTCGACCACTTCACTCATCTTCCCTCTGAGCGGCTCAAATCCATCTCGAAGGACATAAAAGACACGGTGTACATCGCGCCAAGGCGACGACTGCAGCCAGCTTATTTCTCCTATCGTCACACACCTACCATCGGGGCATACACTTTCCTTCCGTCTGGCGCTGGAGTCGTTGGGGCTTGAAAGCACAAGGTCTGGATACCACTCATGTGTAACAGAACTCAGGCATGCTTCAACAAGACAAAGAAGGCTCTCCCTTCTTCAATCCCCAGTTTCAATCTTTTTTCAATCGAGTCACTTTTTCTTTCAATGCGCAGAAATTGGGCTACTTGCATAGCTCTTACAACACATCAAGTTTGCGATGCTTTGGGGATGCGAGGCGTAGAATGTGTAGCTAGGAATCAAAATTTGCAAACATTAAGATACCATATCATTTGAATTACCAGACATGTGACGCCGTTTATTTGCCTCCTCTGATCGCCATCTAGACCCGCTGGATGTTCAGGGGCATCCGACTGTTCCTGGTGCCCGCCAGGATCGTCCTTGACGCGTTCCTGTCGCCCAAAACCCCACACTTGAGCTCACTGCCCAATACTTGAGGAGCAGACCTCGACGGCGCAGCTGCTTTGCCCCTGGCACATGACCTGAGATTTATCGCCGATATCAATGCTCTCAGCCGCACGCCACGACGCCAGCACTAAGATCGGCGGCGCGACGCGGAAGTTTGGATCGCAAGCCACCACCGTAATTCTCCAGTAAGATCTTCGGTGCCACGTTTCGGCGAGATATATGCCTAGTGTCGGCTAGTCAATTGGGTGGTCCGTTGCGGTGGAAGAGGTTAGCTGCGATACGTATCTGCGAGCTGATAGGCGTTGATCGGTGCCTCAGTTTTGGGTTGAGTATGTAGTGCATACATAGGCTCCGGATTTTGTAAAGCTAATACATGACATGAATGCATCCCTTAGTATGTGAAGAAGCGTGGAATCGCGGGTGCTGCTCTTCTATGATCACGGCCTGGCGCATCGAGACAACGATGCGTCTAGTCTTAGGCAATGCCGCAGACATTTCTAGATGCAGTTGGCTTTGGTAGCTACGTCGGTTTTGTTGTCTGTCGATTTCTGTCCAAGTTGAATGAACCGTAGAATTGAACGTTTCTAACGAAGGTTGCACCTTCCTCCATTCCATCTCGCGCTAGCGCTTCTCTTCCGGAATGCGGTTCCGATAAGCCTGCACCGTTACACTCACCGTTCTGTGTCTCAACATCATACACCAAATGGCGATATGGCTACCGCTCAACTAGCTCTTGATGGGTTAAGTATATCGGCAAGACCGGCAGAGCCCTTGCTCGCATCCCAATTAATCGGCGACCAAGACCTTGACGAGCTGCTGGAGAGCGTATGCAATGTCAATCTTCAGCACAAGCACGGCGTTGGAAAGGACGTACTACAAACCAGAGTGAAGAGCTTGAACGACGCTTTCGGCAGTGGAATACAGAACGGAAGAGTTGTGGGGGTCAGTGGAGAAGCTGGGGCGGGTGGGGGTGAGGTGAGTATCACAACTGTGGATGTCATACAACAACATATTGCAAAGAAGTCCACAGGCTAAAGAGCAATCAATTAACGCTTTTAGATCTGCTGTACGCTGCTTGCGAGCTCTCTTCTTCAATATGAAAACTCGACGGCTGCCGTTGTTGATACCACAGGCAACTTCGATGTACTACGACTTTACACGTTAATTGTCGCCCAACTATCTCAGCGACCAGATCTTCAGGCGTCACTACGTACCTCACTGAATCTGGGGCCTGGAGCTACAACCGAGGATCTAGCAGCAAAGGTACTGGACCGTGTCAAAATTATGCGAGTTTTCGATTTCGTTGGTGTGAGAGAGGCCATTGGTGAGATCCGGGATGGGATCGAAAAGAAGAAGGATGTTGAAAGTGCTTCAATTACTGAAGAGAAGGAAGCGACCCTACCCACTGAGGAGCCTGTGCAGAGGAAGACGCCCATCGAGAAAGTACCAGTGAAGCGAACTTATGTCGCGGATAGCGAAGACGAAGAAGACGACGAGGAGATGTTATTCGATTCAGACGTCACCGACCCCATAGCAGCGCAGCTTGTACAGAACCCAGAGCCAACGCGGATCAAAGTAGCAGAAGACATAGATGCGGAGGTTGAACCGGGGCCTATCAAGATCGTACTAATCGACAACCTCACTCAAGTCCTAAACCCTTTGTTGAAGAAAGACTATATACAAGGTATGTACTATCACACCCCAGCCCCAGCACTTACTGACCATTTCCAGCAAATGAAGTGGCAACCACCTTTCTTGCCTCTCTCTCAAACCTAACACAAGCCCACGCACTCCACACTCTCTTCGTAAACCCAGCTCTTCCTCCACGCGCTTCCTCGCCTAAACGCCCTATACCACAGAATCAGCTAGGCCCTCTACCTCCGCAACAGCGGCGAGAGCCACCACTTCCACCTTCCATCTTCGCGAGTAACGATGTTGTACCGAGTTTGATCCATTTACTAGGACGGTACACAGATATGGAGGTGTTGGTGAGTCGGTTACCGAGACGGAGGATGGACGCGAAAGTGTACTACAGTAATTCTGGAGGGAAAGGGACGAAGCGAGGTGTTGAGATGGTGAGCGTGCTGGAGATAGTGAGTGATCGGTGGGGAGCGAGGACTGGTGCATGGGGCACGTTTCGTGAGAGCACAGATGGTATTAGAGATATCTGAAATCCATTCGATATCTTAGTATGCTTCTAGGACGCTGGCGTTGGGGCATCTAGGGAGAAATGATCATCCCCAGTGTTTCTTATCCACCCCTTCAGTACTTTGCGTATATCATCTTTGACTTTGCTCCTCTCATGCACCTCTTGAGACGTCTTCAGGTCCGCATACTTCCTCATGCGAAGCGCCTCACTAGCCGCCACTGCTCCGCCAAGTAATCCGGCTAACCGAAGAGCTTCCATCCATAGTCCTTTCCGACATATCCTACTTGCTCCCCTAGGGTCTAGTTGTTTCCGACCCTGCAGCACACCGCCGATCAGAGTCTCCTGCCAGCCCGGCGTCCATACAGCGGAGAGATTACTAGGCACCGCTTTTTCGGTAGCAGATAATGCGCGGCGCGACCACGTGAACTCGCGGGTTGTTGGAAGGATATTGAACGGTTGGAAACGATAGCCGCCTTTCCACTTGGTGATATGCTTTGGATCGAGACTCTTGAGTCGACCAGAGGAGGAGAAGGCGCGCTCGCATGCTTGTGGTACATATTGAGAATCTGGTAGAACCAAAGTCTCCAAGTAAGCATTCCGAGGACTAATTAGTAGAGATGATGTTGATGACAGCAAGGAGGTAGCTTGTCTGACTGCCAATTTGTCGGTGCAAGATTTGCTCAGCGTAGGCGGGGCGTCAGGTCGCGAAGGCTTTGCGCGGACAATGCCTAGAAGTGCGAAGTTCGATCGACCTCGAAGAGCCAAAGACTCTACTTGGTCAACTGCATCAGATGCGGTAGATAGAGTTGGTGGTGCACTAGTCCAGGGCGTTGCATCGTCCTGCGCAGCCATGGTGAGTTCCATACTGGCATCTCCACAGGGAGCTTCAGAGCAATAGATGTGAATGGACACATCCTCTCGGATAGTGAATGGCTGGCGTAGACTTTCGGAATGTTCGTCAGGCGACGACCGTCGAAGGAAGTCGGATGTTGGATAAGGCGGCGTCGAGACGATGATGCATTCGTCTAGAAGGTAGCGGTTGAAGGCTCGGAGCGCTACGACTTCGGCGTGCCAGTCGTGGAGGATGTTGCCGTGTGCGAGGAGTAATTTGTTGGAGGGGAGACATTTCATGCCAGTTCTAAGAGAGGTTCAGCTGGTGTCCGCTGTCCATGGACTTATCCGCATGTCAATAACTTCAGCTGGAATATCGTAGTATGTTCGAGCATTCTAAGTTCATAGCGATGCAGGAGCTTCGCTTCCTTGGTGGGGCGTTGTTGCCCCTGCTGTCTGAAGTGTATGCGTGGTGTCACATCCGGTAAATTACTGGACTACACGATACCCGTTGAAGAGACACTCTTCGGAGGTCGGCTGATGGAAATGGCTCACCCTAATGATACGCATGACAGAGTGCCACCTTGACTAGGTCATGAGCATGAGCAACTATAGCTCCTTCCGGAAGCAAGTGAGCGATTACCTTTAGATAAGACGATTCCGGCGAGGGGTACCCATTCCCTTGCGCCATCGTGGCGGGGTCTCGGCTTCCTCTTTTCAGGTAGCTGGGCAAAGGCCCGGAGCACGCAGTCTGCGATGGCATCTGCATTTGCGTCTGCAGCCATGACAGTGAAGCGAGGTGGTGGGTGAAGGAGCGAGGGCGGAGTTGGGGCTCGGAGCGTTCGGGGAGCCAGGCACGTCAGGGTCCATTGTTACCTTCGCGGTCACAGAGCATCGCTCCTGCTACTCAGTCACAAAGAACCCTGTCACACGCTCAGCGCGAGTGAGATCCAGAATCCTTCACCTCCCCGTATCGCCTTGTTCCTACTCTTCTCTTTTCAACATGCAAGCGTTTGGTGAGCAATGGCCGTGCGCCGCACCGTCGCATTCGCGACTCAGACACTCACAATCACAGTACCCAAGAACCGACGAGTAAGACTGGGCCAGTACCTCAACGTTACACGGGCTGACATTTGCGCAGCCGAAATTTGATCTACACCTGCGAGTGAGCTATCCACACAAAGGCCTACGACCACACTCTGACGACAGCAGATAATCGACCTCAACAATGTACCACTCGTTTCTGGCACATCATTTATAAAATGGCACCTCTCCCACTCGACGGCCGCCGAGCATCGCGGTCGCACAGATAGCTGCCAAGTCAAAGACCACAAAGTCGCCTACAACTACGACATCACCCTCCCCGTCCGTCTCACCGTCGACAAGAATGGCATGCTGCAGGAGTGTTTTGTCGAGTTGGAGGTCGTGCAAGAATATGGCAGAGGCTCGGGAAGAGGCGAGCGCATCACGTTAGGGACTGTCAAGCTCAATCTGGCCGAGTACGTGGAGCAGAGCGAGATGGCCACGATCGCGGGCGAGGAACCAGGCGTCACGAGGAGGTACCTCATGCAAGACAGCAAGATCAACAGCACGCTCAAAGTCGGAATCTATATGAAGCAGACGGAAGGCGACAAGAACTTTGTTGCGCCAGCCTTGAAGACGGCGCAGGTCTTCAGTGGCATTGCTGGTATCATGGCGGGGGAGCAGGCCGAACTTGAGGACCACGGAGGTAGGACACTCTAAACTATAGACTAAGCTCGTGCTAACGCCCACAGCCGCGCCCTCCCTGACGAGCAAATCTCGCGAAGCCGGCGAACTCCAAGACATGTACAGACGCACCCTCGCCGCATACTGGTCCGCACAACCCGGCGAGCTCAAGGCAGACGAATGCATCGAAGACATATTCGCTGGCGGAGACGGATGGGGCGACCGCGAGAAACCATACTCCCAGCAGCCACGAGCTCAGCCCTTGCGATTCGCAGCGGGCGACAGCAGCAGCTCTGTGAGTGAGAGCGAGCAGGGTCACATGCGCGGCGGTAGCACCGCTCATCGCAAGTCACATGAGACGCTGCGCCCCGGAGATATGAAATCGAATCACTCGCCTAACGTGCGGGGCCGGGGAAGTTTGGAGCAGCAGGCATCACAGATGAAGGCAGAGGCAGCGCGCAAGCGACATCGTCCACACCATGAAGTAGATGAGTTTGATCTGCGCGAAGATCTTTGCAGCTGGCGTCGTCCAACCTGAAGTACCAAAAGGTACAGCTGAAATACGAATTCCTACATTTGATCTTGAACTCTGAAGTAATGCGTCGCACTATGACGCGCCTCACACGCGAAAGCGCGATGGCAGAATTAGGCGGTCACGAAAGTTGGAGCACGCATCGCACTTTCCGAGCCCGTCGCAGCCATCATCATTGCACTTTTCCCCCGCTTCGTCCTCCTTCATGCTTGCACCCCGGACCTCTAGTGCATTTGTATGCCTCCGATGTGAAGCGCAAATTGCCCGACGGCGGCTGCACGCTTTTCCTCGCCCACCGTCTCGAGCCAACTTTTCTGCATCTGCACGCCGCCGCGATGATGCTGAAGACGAGCAACGACCGACCCTGAAGATCACAAAACAAGTGACGCCGATCAATCGCTTGAGGAAGAGGAAGGGGCATAAGATTCTACGAGAAACTTCACAGAATTTGGGCGTCAAGCGGTTGGGTGACGATGCCGATATCTTGGTTCTGAGGGAAGTCGGGGAAACAGCACAAAGAGAACCTACCACAACCACCGAAGCCTCCGAAGATGCCGAAGTAGTCGAAATCTCCGAACCTCTCGAGGTCCCAGACATTGTTGCCTCACTCGAGGAAGAAGGGAAAACGCTCGCGCCGGAAGAAATATACAAACAGATCGAGACCTTGCGACCGAACAACAATGGCGACCCCAATGAGCCGCACTACGTCAAGCAGACTACATTTGTCAAGCTGAGAAAGACCCTCTTGAAAGGCTTCACGCAACAGCAGTTGACAATCTTCTACGCGGTCGCAAAGAATATACGGCAAGAGAAGGTTAACCAGGGAGTGATCGACAGCATCAAACGGAAGGATAAATCAGGAGACCAGAAGCGATCGGTGGAGCGATCAGAATGGCAGCCAGGTACTACACCTATAACCCAACGCCTGCCTGGCGTTGATCGTCATGTCAAGATCACGGGCTACCGTAAGAACGTCAGCAAGCAGCTGCTTGTTGATCGCATTATGAGGGATGTCTGGAACCTCGTACTCTTGGAAGAGATCGAGTCACCCGGAGAGCTAGAGCTTTCTCTGCAACCGTGGCAGTCGATGCTACTTAAGGCTGGTGGTACGTACTCTAGCGTCCTTCATTGTAAATCCCGCTAACATGGCGTAGACAAAGACACCCTTTTTGACAAGATCCGACGGACCCGGCGAGTGAGACTCGACATGTACAAACCGCATCACGCCCTCCGTATCACATCCGATAAGACGACAGCAGAGTACGCTGCCAATGATATCGAGGAAGCCTTTCAACACACGGAAATGAAGCGGATGAACCTGAACAACTATCTACGCCAGCTGGCAAATGGTCCTGTTGCGTTGAATTCAAAGTCCAATCTGGTAACCCTGTTTTATACGCAGAAAGACTTTGACGTCGTCTCGGCTCTGACTCGCACGAGTATCGAGGCTGTCGGCAAGACCATGGTATGCACGAACTCTGTAAACCGTTCATAATCTAACTGACTTTTTTAGTTGGTAATCAGAGGCTTCGATGTGAGCTCTATAGAAGAGGCAAAACGGACACTGATCAGGTTTTTGCCTTTTAAGGATTCAGCTGAGCGTACCTTTGACACTCAGAAGTTGGGACATGCCGAGAGCACAGCGTTCTTGTCGCCAGTCCTTACCGAACACGATTCCTTGGAATACAAGTATCGCAAACGAGAGTTGGGGCGTCTATCAATGCCTATCATGCGGCTCACTGAGCCTGAATCTGCCGAAACCAAGGCCGAGAAACCCGCAAAAGTCCCAAAAACAACACTCCACGGCCTCGTGAACCGGACTCTAGGGACCATCCTGCGACCCGCTTCTGCTGTGTCATTGCCTCAACACGAGTTGAGCAATTGGATACCGGAGCCGGTGTTCGATGTCTCCGCCGAATTCGGCCAGGTTCTATTCCCTCTCGAAGACATGGATCCCAGCCGAGTAGTGGAAGCTGCTCTTTCCGAAACGTCCAAGTCACCTTTTGTATCAACATTCCCAGGACTGAACAGTGTCTTCACATCACCCAATATTTCTGTCATTTCGCGCTTGCAAACACCATCTTTGCACTACCAATTCAGACCTGACCTTGAGCACGAGCCAGGCCAGGTATTTCCTAACCTCAGGATCCAAATGCGCACCGGTCGTAGTGGCGCCAAAGCCACTCTCCGCAAACTCGCACTCAGCTTCGATCAACGGATTCACGATGTTCTGCTTCCAGACAAGGCCGTAGATATACGATTTCAGCGCCGGGCAAACCTCAGCTTCAACGTCAAGGACCACAACGATGAGAATGTGCAGGCATGGGTTGATGCCGTAACAGAAAACATTGAGAGTGGCGGCCGCCTCACTGCGCCACCTCTCCGCATCAAGATCCCCAAGTGGACCATACCTGGATTCTCGAGCGAGGAAAAGGGCATGCGCACCGTTACGTATCACTTCTCTGGTATCCAGTTCCGGCAACCGGTGATTGGGGACCTGTTCGGTGTAGCTATTTCGTACAATACTGTACAGTCTGGCAAGCTCGGTGCAAAGGGCGGCGCGCTCACTGCACATTACAGTGGCCATGGCGATACAGAGTTGCGCGACGAAAGTGCGATGAAAGCCTTCGTGGAGAGGTGTTTCGATATGGCAGACTTGATCACTGATGCGAGTAAGCAGACACTGCCTGCGTCTCGAATAATCCGCCCACGCGATATGAACAGTGAACGGAAGGCGAAAAGAATGGAACTGTCGGGCGAGCGACCTCAAGCCATGGACGAGCAGAGCATTGAGCCGGCGAATGATCTCGTTGAGCGTGTTGGGGAGTATCCTGACATCAAAGGTGATATTGAGGCGAAAGAGAACGCGGAAGCCGCTGATGATGTGGTGGAAGAGCAGCCGGTAGAGGGAGAGATGGAGTCACGATCTGACGACTCAGTTGCGGAAAGCGACAATGTCCGCACTTTGTAGTACCATACAATTCAACTCTTCAAAGCAGCTTTCATCACAAATTTGGCTATGTTGCTGAATTGCTAGCACTCATCTCATGGAGTGTCACGTCAAAAACATCACTGTGGAATATGCTGTTCGTGCGAATAATGATTTCGTAAGAATTGATTAGGCCAAAGTCTGGCGATTTCAAAAACCACGGATCAACAAGTACTAATGTGTCCATGTTTGTACTCGAGGTATCTACCGTGTATCTTGCATGAGTTGTAGCAGGCCTTCTGCGGCATCGCTCTTGACACCGCCGACACTGCCAGCCAGACTGTAGTGTTGTTGCTTCAGTCTTTGAAGCCTGTAGTGCGGGTTCTCTTCCTGCACGTTGATGGGCTCTGCATCGTGCTCGTCCATTCGTATTCTTGAGTCGGAGTGCGGCGGATAGTAATTCCTGGGTCGCACAGGCGATGAGAGTTGATCGGGGGCTACTGAGTGGGGCAGTTGAGACCCGGGTGGTGATGATGAGAACGCATAGCCGGGCACCATGCGCGATGACGCGGGCATGTTGCCTTGGGGTACGGCGAACTGAACGGGTGCAGGACCGAGTTTGGAAATTGGATGGAAGGGGTCTAGGTTAGCCCTCACGAAGACAGGCCCTTGATCGCGTCGTGGGGACGATATGGTGATGTTGGGTACGCGGTATTCGCCGAGAGATTCGCGCGAGGTTGTCATGGCTGTTGATCTCGACGCGTTGATCGCGTCCGACGAGTAAGAGGCGCGAGCTTCGTAGGGTCCAATAATGTCCGCATCGCGTTTCGTGACTTGGTTTGTCTTGATCTTGTATAATCCAAACTTGAGACGCGTGCGCAACTGCTCGGCACGCGATTTTCTCTTTCCTTCCACGGGTGCTGATGCGGGGGCAGCCGCTGGCATAGCTACACGTTCTCCATGTTCGCTCTTCTGGCTGGCACACAGCTCGTAGTTGAGAAGGTCGGAGAAAGACTGATTGCTTTTCTGAGAGGCTTGTATCGGCTCTGGTTCGGGTGAGGGTGTTGGTGTAGCGCGCTCAGTGGGAGATCCAGGATCTGCGAGGCCAATAGGATTGTTCTCCTTTAAAATGTCAGTGGTGTGAAGACGCGTCAGTATTGTGTATAGCTTACCGTATGCTTCTGCACCGCATCGGCGGTTAGGCGCACGCCAGCGGTAGGAAGACTCTCGTTGCGGGCGTGAGCAAGCATCTTCACACTCTCAACGGCCTCAGCGCCATCGACCTCTTCTATGCCCCTCTTCTTGCTGTTTGAGTTGGTCTGGGGTGTCATGAGGTTTTCCTTGCCGACAGGATTGGTCGGGGTGTGCGTAGTAACCTGCTTGAGCGGGCTTTGGGCTCGAGCAACTTCAGACTGTCCATGAGGGGTTGAGGGCGTATTTATGGCCTTTGGGGTGAGATCTCCAAGCACGCGTCGCGAGGGTGTCTTGGAGGGGGTATACTGAGCGGTCATGTTTGGCCTCTGCGGTGTTGTGGAGCTCATGTTGTCTTTGCGACTTGACGGATATTGCGACGCGTTGAGACGGGACGAATGACGCGCAGGGATGCGCTGTTGTGATGTGGGGACGAAAGTGTAGCCACAAAATAGTAATGCGTCTTTCTGTATCGTATTTAGAGTTAGGAAAGACAAATCAAAACAGAATTGGAGTGAGGATGATGGTGTGGGAGCAGTCGCGTCGTGGTTGGGGAAGTCGCATCAGAGGCGCTAGGCGACGCGATTGGGTGGCATGTCAGGGTCCAGCTTGGCGAGAAGGCGGGATGGCGCCTGGACTAGCACAGCACAAAGTTGTCATGGCTTGGAGATGCTCCAATTCTATTCCCCTATCCTACTCTGCCATCGTTGTTCGTTTGCATCGAATTACGCGTCGAACGACACTTGTTGGGGCTCTCAAAGAACGCGTGGCGTGAAGGACATCATCTCTGCACTTTACACATTGCTGTTGCCGCCAGCAGAGTCACCTCGACGAGTAATCTACGACTAGGACACGTGGACGATGATTGATTCACATCTTCCTAGCCATGTTCATGTCGCTTTGCAGTGAGTAGACCACCGCGACTGTAGTACGACGCGTCTCGAGCTAGAGAACCCACGGGTTCGTCAAAGTTCCGAGGCAGCTCCACAGATAAGATAGCACGATAAGATGCAGCCACAGTTTCTGTGCACGCACCTACGTGCATGCCGGCCGCACTTGCCTACGGGTCTCCATTCCTTGCCTTACGTCATCAAAATAGAAGCAAATGCACGGCTACGCGGCTCCATTGCTCCACCATGATGGCTCAGCCACACCTACTCACCAGCACAGCCAACCCTTTATACACTCGACTTTCAAACTTCAATAACCCTACAACGGAATCACTCCAAGTCTAGAGACTCACTTGTGCCTTGACACTCGATCCAACCATCTATCAACAGTTTGTTCGTTACCCAACTGAGGCATCCGCTCACTAGTGTACTAACCCGATCAGCATATCCACGATGAAGGGCTTCCTTCAAAAAGCCAAAGCCGAACTCAAAAGCCGAACTCAACGCGACGAGCCTTGCAACTCAAGTTTTGATGGAACTGCTGAAGCACAACATCAACACCACTTTCCTCCAGCGCATCAGCAAGGGCAGCAACATGGAATCAGCGATCCGACAACCTTAGATATCCTTCGCTACCGCTACCATCACGGCACTAACCTCGGCTCGGTCTACGTCATTGAACGATGGCTTCAAGGTTCTCGATTTCCTGAAGGTTCTGAGGGATCAAGCGAGCTTGCAGCAGTCCAGGCCTGGGTCGACAAGATTGGCATGGCTGAAACGAAACAAAAGTTCGAAGAGCATTGGGCCAACATCGTAACCGATAATGCCATCGGATGGCTTGCTAATGTAGCCAAATGCACTACCGTCCGCCTGCCCATCGGTTACTACGACCTCCCCGGAGCTGTTTTCACTCAGGGCACACCTTTCGAGCCGTATGCAGAAATATACACTGGAGCATGGAACAGTATCCGCACCTTGATCCAACGCCTGCGTGCACGCTCTATTGGTGTTCTCATTGATCTACATGCATTGCCAGGAGGTGGAAACGCACAAGAACACTCCGGTACCAACAGTGGGCGTGCTGAACTCTGGACCAGCCGTACCAACCGCGCGCTGGGCGTTCACTGCTGTCAATTCATTGCTGAAGACACAAAGGCTGGAGCTGAGATTGCCGGTCTCCAGCTCGTCAACGAGGCTGAGTGGGAATCAGAACGCATGTACGAGTGGTACGACGAATGTATAGCCGCTGTCTCTGCTATCGATCCCGGGATTCCTATCATCATCTCCGACGGCTGGCACCTGGAGAAGGCAGTCGACTGGACTTTGCAGAAGAATACCATATACTCGCACCCGCAGTGCCCAGTGGTGATTGATACGCACTATTACTGGGCTTTCACAGATGAAGACAAAGCAAAGACACCACAACAAATCACCGAAGAGGCCGGCACCAAGCTTGGACAGCTCGACGGTAAAGAAGGCTCCGTCCATGACCGTGGTGCAGTACAAGTCATTGTTGGCGAGTACTCCTGCGTCATGACCGAAGACTCTTGGGCCAAGGGCGGCGGGGTCCCCAAGGAAGAGCTCGTGCAACAGTTTGGTCAGGCGCAGAGTAGGCGGTATCAGCAGCGAGCTGGCGGTAGTTTCTTCTGGACCTGGAAAATGGATTGGATGCCGGGTGGCGAGTGGGGCTTCAAAGCTAAAACGGAAGACGGGAGCATTGTGCCACCCCAGTATACAACAATGTCCGCTGATGATAGGCGAGAGGTAGTTGAGAAAGCCAGACACGAAAAGGACGGGCGGATGCATGAGGCTATCCAACGGCACGTGTCTTACTGGAATGGAGTGGATCCCAACGGTCACTATGAGCACGAAAAGTACGAACATGGCTGGCACGTTGGGTATCAAGACGCTCTCGCCTTCTTTGAGTGTGGAGAAATAAAAGGCGACAAGATTGGCATGTTCGAGTTGTGGGTCCTCAAGCGAATTAGAGAGAGTGGATACAGAGGTGGCTTCACTTGGCTTTTCGAGCAAGGCCTGAGGAAAGGTGCGCACGACTGTTTCTCTGCGCTAGGAATCTAAGGGTTTCTGCACGGACGATGTGGCTCTCGGTCACGACCGTTTGCTGTTGCTGCCTCAGTCACGAGGTACGTGCTCGGGATGATGACGTTACAGTCAACATTCGGATTCGCGACCTTCGTCAGTGGAACGTCTACAAAAACGACAGAGACAAATATTCAAGCAATGTATGCTGGGCGTACAGTATCACTTTCTCAATGAATTTACCACATCCCCTCTGCCACCCCCCTAACTTGATCTCGCGCAATCCCTCAATTTCTAGAAAACGCCAAACCCATGGATCACACCCATTGCATACCCCTTGGAACACCTGACGAAGGGCCTGGCGAGGCGCTGCTTTTACTACATGACACAACCCCCAGGCGGCCTTATCAAGCTTATTGCGTCACCGAAGCCTCTTCACGACCGTCAAGCCCGGACAACCTTATTCCAAGACCTCTTCGAACATCAACGACACCTGTATTGCAGGTTTTCATCGACACAAAGTCTGTTGAAACTGAAGATTACGATCAAAACAACAATCTCACCCAGGCTGTGACAGGCAGTCCTGCGCAGTATGTCGAATCAGCAACATTACGCAGAACGGGACAGTATAGCAAAAGACAAACATTTCTTCCCAATCGAAAGCCATTGCCAGAGCGTACAAGATCGGGAAATACACCAAATCACATTACACGGGCTGTCACTCCACGCGGAAGCCACTCGTTAGCTTCATCTGAGGTGACGGTGTGTGACCTGCCATCATCACATCCACGGATGCAACAATCGACTTCTTCCAACAACGAATTTGATCAAACCGGCTCGCACAAGCCAATTGAGCGATGCGATGATCTTTTGGGTACGCATCAGCGTCCGCTGCCACCACTTCCGCTCGGGACGGCTTCGGTGATAGGCGAACAACAAGAAATTGACACGCGGAGCGCAGACATTTACCGAACATCAGACGAGCGGGCTCATCCAGAATACTTCCAAGGAGCAAACGAGCTCAATACCCCCGATACTCAGGCGTCACCGATATGCAAGAAGAACCACTACCTCATCCCACGTCGGCCGTTGCCAGATCTACCGATAGACATCACTCCAGACCTATCAAGTCAAAGGGCTGTAACGGAGAGGGCGTTTTCATCACCCATGGCAGGTGAGCCGTTACATGACGACTTCCTTGGTGAGTCAAGCATCAGTGCGCGAAAGCATCGTGTCTTTGGCAGCCATACACGAGAGCTCACGGCTGCTGACCCATACGAACCTCGCGGCCACTGGGATGACATTGACGGCGACATGCGAGCGCTGTGGCGAACTCTACCCAAGGATGCGAACTTGAAATACAAGTTTGGGCAGCTGCCATCTTTCAATTCAGCTTCACCACCCTTAATCTCGCCGCTCCGTAGCGCTTACCCTCACTCAGTCGGCGACCTCATAAACGCCACGCCCTCGTTCCACTCATCAATCGACATCCAAAACGGCCCCAGACCACCTCCTTGGGGCTCATACAAAGATCTTGAGATCCAACGTCGACAACGCGGTGATGCGAGAGAGCGCGCAAAAGCTCGAGGTAGCCGTTTGACGGCAGACAGCTCTTCGATATACCAGAAGTCGATATCGACGAACAGCCTGGGTAAAGATCCTTCAAGAGAAGTAGAAGAGTACAGGGAGCAGATACTCGGTGTATACCCGGATATGGAATTCAATGGGGAAGCCGGGAGAGGTGATCGGGAATGGTGTTGTTGTGTGTTGATGTGATCAGTATTCGATTCACAGTCGCGCTCGATGACAATAGCGCCCAGTAGAGATGCGCAGAGTTTGGTCCTGGAGTGGTCGCAGGCAGGAGACTGCAGTTTATGCCATCGTACTAGCTGCGCCATCCCTTGAATTACGGATATCAATCATAGATGCATAGAATCACGCCGACATATTCAACACATCACCAAAGCTGCAAATTCGCCTTCTATATATACCCCAAATCCAGTTTTTCATTTCAAGACAGTGCGCGTCATCATCCTTCAACGAAATCACACCCGCACACGATTCCAAAGAAACAGAATTTCAGGTTCTTTCAACAAATTCCAATTACCAATTCGAAGTCAAACAACACATCTCTACCCCGATCTGCTGCGGCTGTTCACAACCGTCTTCACATCAATTAGCACATCAAATCAACGCGAGATTCATCATCAACGATGTTCAATAGGATGGTGAGTTACGAATGGATCAAGCAGAACAGAAACAATGTCTTAGAAGCCGGCAACAGACAGCAAATTGAGACAGGATGATTTGAGCCAGTCGAGAAGAGACCTACAAAGGAAGAGAACCAGGAGAAGCACAGGCTAGCAGTCGAAAAGAGCAAGAGGAAGAAGGCCACAGGTAAGCCTGCTCATCTGCATCATGGTCATACTACCAAGAAGTGAAGTTTTGAACATGGGGCGTGTCGCTTATTGAGTCAAACGTGGCGCATGTAGACAGTCTTTTGTTTTGAATGTCGATTGATCAAGCGCTGGTTCGGTTTACCTGCCTGGTGCAAGTGGTAGACATTTCATAGGCGTATTTTGCAAGGATTTAGGTCAGTCGTGCAGCCTCGCGCAATTGTTGCTTGCGTATGCGTTTATGGAATAGAATAAATGAGATAGATGGTTGAACAGAACAGTTTGCTCAAAATGGATTATTGTGATGTGCAAGCCAAACTGTTCATTGACCACCAATACTTAGCTCTGGTCAAACCTGGACCGAGAGAAAGCACTAAAAGATATTCGTATTCTGATGAGATGAAGTCATAAACAAAGGTGGTAATTTTGCACTACTACCATGCGTAGCATGCTGCGCATTTGATGGAGCCGATCTCATCTAAGCGCCTTGATGTATCTTTGTCAGCCATGGATCTTGTCAGATACGACGATGTAAGTCTTGCGCAGTGAGTCAAAGGTCTCGCAGTCACTAGATTGGAGTCATTTATGGTCTGAAAGCCTCACGTGCGTAAATCGTATGAGCCATAATGCGGGTGTGTCATGAAGGGCATGACTGTTCACAGCTATAAAAATGTCTAAGCAGGTACTGCTCCTTCACCCTTCACACATATACACACACACACACCTACACTTTTCGATTTCTTTTCCGCGATTCTGGGTCAAGCAACATCATGTCCAAGGCCGCTTCGAATAACGCTGGGACGTCGCATCCTAAAATCAATATTGAGCCTTGCTTGGAAGAAACGCACAAGTCTTCGCTGCAGCATAGCGAAGAGCAAAAAGATAGGCTCAAAGCTCCCGGAGGGCTGAATCCCCCTCTGGTAAGAGCAGGATGAGCAGATATAGAGCATAAGCTGACTAATGGAAAAAGCGTCAGGAGAGAAAGGAGATCGAGCCGAAGTCAGAGGAGCGAAAAGGGTGTGCAACTCGACATAGTTAAAGCCTATCATGCTTCTGGCAAGTACATTGGTCCACGATAATAGAAGCGCGGACCTGATACTACTTCAGCAGCATATCGCTTCAGCAGTGGCATTTTCCCCATGCCGGCCCGATAAAATTATCGAAACATTCAATGTCTAACACATGGGTAATTCTGTAGTCAATCAACTGTTTAAGAAGCGATAGACGGTTCCCAAACAGTGGGTGTGCGGTCCTTGCGTTCAAAGCTAGGTATTGAATGCAATCTAGTATCACAGGTGTCAGCTTCAATAACAACAATATGAATTTTGAAGAGGTGATCCAGATCTATCATACAGCGAGGTATATATAACTGGCAATTCTCGCACATCGTAAAGATACAACATAAGAGACAGCCTCGACTATACTAACAACAACCATCACAATACTACTTCCTAAGCCTGGCGCTTGTGACTTACAGCCTATCATATTCATCAAAGTTTTGGTAGCACAAAATCCATCAAGATGCATCTCCCATCACAGAAACTGCAGCTTCGCCCCAAACTTACCGCCGTTCTACAACACGCAAGCAAGACTTCCACCTCCAAGGTCCCCGATCCTCCGACTTCAAAGAAGACCGACAGCGGCATCAACCTCAAGGACAAGCGAAACATCAAGATCGGTATTGCCGCACTTCGTAGCGTCAGCAAATGGACTGATAAAGCTGCGCTGACGCTCGAAAAGCTCGAGGGTCAAGAGGCGTCGAAGCACTGCCAAGATCGCCAGGCGCACTTACTCAAAGAAGATGGCAGTAAAGGGTACGGAAAGCAAGTTCAAGATACTAAGGTATGGAGAGAGACCGTGGTATACCCGGTACCTACCCAGGTTGGTAGTGCTAAGGGCATCGAAGTACACGAAGAGCCAAGAGTGTACGGAGCAGCAGCACCTTGCAGTAAGGGAGAAAGTCACATTACGGCCAGCGCTGTAGAGGCACCGCTTGTCCAGACTCATCATGCGCATGTCTTGGCGTCCGTTGAGGGATACTATGACGAAAGTAGTAATGACGAAGACGATGGCGGTACCTCAAGGAAGATCAGTCTCGCCAACTCTGCAGACATTGACACAGATGAAGATAGCGATGAGGAAGATGCTCCCGATGATTCAGGCGATGATGAGAAAGAGGATGACAGCGATGACGAGAAGGAAAGCGACGAAAATGGCGACGACGAATCGGAGAGTGAAGAAAATGATAGTTCAGATGATGCTGAAGATTCTGAAGAGGAGGAGGTGGGGGCTAAGCATCCGATGATCATGAATGCTAAGAAGTAGGGGGCCGAAGTGGAGGGGTAGGGGTGGTTTATGTAGTTTGGTTGTGAAGAAGACGGGCTATTGGACGATAGCCTTAGAGGCCATAAGGAATGGAATTTGACTTCGGGCAAAGGAGAAAGAGAGGGAAGGTACTAGTAGTTTTGACAAACCTGGCTATGAATATTTGATGCATGTTCGTACTGATTCAGTGAAGATTGCGGCTGTCAAATACTCCTACCAAACACGAGAATTAGAATTGAAGAAGTCGAACATAGCAAAGTATACCAGCTCAGAACAGATAGCGAGCCGCTCGGGCGCAGCCCAAAAGTCATGATATTCTATGCGGTCGAAACCCACCGAAGGGCCGAAGTAAACTGCGCGTCAGGCAGCATTGGTTCGGCACATATGGCGTAAAGTTTACACAATGACGTATTGTGTAACGGCAACAAAACGCCATCGCCAAAACCTCCAAACAACTTTCATTTGCAAGATCTTTGATTATTCCTTGGTATGCCTACCAACAAATATCAGCAAAGTGGTAGCGAGGGCAGCCAGTGCAGTAGTCCGACGACAGGAAGTGAAGGTAAGCTACCTATAGGCTGCCAACGGCACTTTGCAAACACCGCACAGCGCGTCACTCATTCCCTCTCACCTTTCCTGCGCTCCTTGGGCGAGTTTTACGTTTGTGTTTTCATCCCACGTGCGCTCTAGCCTAAAACTCGTTGATCGGCTTTGCCCTGCATTGCCATTCAGTTCGGTCCCACCACATTCTCCTAGCAACGCCCGCATCTTCGCAGTCAACATCACGACCGTCAATTGCGAAAATGTCAACACACTTTCGCCCGCGCGCGACTACGCCTGGAGCGCCGAGCCCTACACGTCCATCAACGGCGCGCTCTACGATTCGCGCTATCTCGCCGTCGCCGCCATCGAGCTTGAATGAGGCTTCGCGACAGGATTCTGCGACTACTGGATCGCCGATTGTTGATACACAAGGTACATCAGCGAATGCAAATGTGCGACCAAAGAGTGATGGCTACCAGCGAGCATACGTGCATGGTTCTGGTCATGAAGAGACGGACTTCGCCAACTACACCACAACAGCAGGGAACGGTAACGTTGGGAGCTCTCCCGCAAACATCACTGCCAATGTCACCATTAAGAGAGGCGGCGGAATGATGACAAGGCGGTCCCCAGTAAAGCGCGGTTCCAGGTCAACAAGTCCGAAAAAACGTCCGTACAGCACACCGACCGAGTTGTCTTCGCATCGCGAGTCGACATCGCGTGACCAACACGACATGACAGCCGCAGGCCCGCAAGATGAAGAGACCCAGACTGGTGATTACATCGATAGCGACACATATACCGACTGCCCAGACACGCCCACCCCAATGACAAACTCCCAAAAACGCTCAGCCTATCTCCCACTCGGAACTCCGACGCCCTTCCCAAAGTCTACGCGTTCTTCCAAATCAAGATCTAAATCAAGCTTTCATCATGCCACCCCTACTGCAACGCCCACAGCTCCGGCGCCAAAGCTCGAGTTCTTCGACTCGTTCGACGATCAACCATCCTACGGCTCTGGGGCTTTCAACACGGACCATCCCCAGGTGTATGTTGGGCCAGAAGACAAGCTCATGGCGTTCTACACCCGGACTGAACGTCGCAAGATGCGCGAACGGGCGCTCGCAAGGGCTGCACAACCGGAGATGGCAATGCCTGGTTCTCAGACGGGCTACGCTACAACGTCAGATCACCCAGCAAACGACGCCTTGGTCATGCAGCAGCCACTGCGAGAAGAGGACATTCGTGCACGCATGCATCTGGCCCCTCCACAGCAGGCCATGGAATCATCGCCTCGGAAGTCTGTGTCAGAAGCGACCGGCAATGTAGCATGGCACGTCTCGCCATCTGAGAGTTCATATGTCTCCGGAGGAACGGTCACTAGCAAACGTTCCGTCTTTAGCACACCTGGCAGAGACGAGCTCGAGAGGAAGAAGGCGGTTGTGGAGACTGATGATGGACCATTCGCTAAAGCAGTGAGCATGGCAGACCTGGATGAAAGACGCAGGGTAGTCAGTGAGGAGGGCGCACGAGGTACTCAGACGATTGAGGACTTGGAAGCAGAGGGCAGGCCGAAGAGAAAGAAGGAGAGCAGGACTTGTGGAATGGGGATCGGATGCAATGTGATGTAGAGGTCGTCGAAAAGCTTCGAGATGATTGTGTAGACTTTGCATCGATGCGATGGAGGATTTGGTTCTGAACCGGAATATGAACGACAGCAATGAATAACGATGAGGCTACTAGTTCAATGCTTAGCATAATTGAAAGCTAGTAATATTGTAAAGTAACAATGAAACTGAAACTTCTCTGAAGCGCTTGACAGAAGTATATCGCAAACAGACAGTGACTGCGACCACTAGCGAGCGGAACCGCAATACACTTTCGTTTGCCTCTTCGACGTCCAACTCTTCACTCGTACAACCCACTTTGAAGGTCGCGACACATTATCAGTAAAACATCGCGTAATGGATGCCGCGCCCGATCGAGTACAAGCGCCGTACATGCTCGACAATCTAACCGCCGATGCGCAGCGAATATCAGCGAGCCTGCCACCTGACGATTGGGATTCAAGCTCCGTCCTCTTTGGCTTAAGGCGTGACGTCAGTGGGGTATCGATCATGGTGAGGAGCACCAGCCCTAGATGGGATAACTTTATTTGTACCATCCGCTAATCAAAGGCTCCATGAAGCCGTCAACAGCTGCGCTGGGCGATGCTACCGACGCTGGACATGCGCGCGGTAGCCTTTTCGCATGGCTCCGGCGATTGATTCGCACGGCATGTCGTCGCTTCCGTAAACGCCGCAAGAATGCGAAAGGCTCCTAACGGAAGGGCCGGGGGTTGTTGAAACCTCCCAGCGATCAATGTATAAGACATTAGTATGTGTAGAACGCGTTTTCGAAACTCAAGCTAATAGCGCTTCTTAGGTGAAGGATCGGCGGCGATGTCGAGTGCCTGTAGGATATCGGTACCGAAGACGACAGTCATGTATGCGGGGAAAATGACCCAGAGACCACTGCGGACTCAGTCAGCTCTCATGTCTCTTCTAATACGAGGCGCAAACGGATGCAGGAACTCAGCTTACTTCATGACAAGGTAGAAGACCAGGAGCGTTGCCCAGTCGTTGTGGCGCACATTTGCGAAGCCGGAGAAATACTCATTGAAGTCTGCCATTGTTAGCCTGCGTGTTGCGCGTGTGTCGCATGTGTACGTACAGTAGAGTACTGTCTTACTGACTGTCATGACTGCTGCAGCGAAGCCGATGACGAGCGCGCGGTTGCCATTCTTGCCGCGTACCTTCCTGCCGCCAGAGAGGAATTTGCCCACGCCCTCGCTGAGCTGCAAGCCAGTACCTGCAGTCGTAGGTACACCGTGGTTGTATATGATCATGGCGTACAGTCCGTATAGCACAAGCTCCACAGCATTCAGCATGGCTTGCGCGCCGCCAAACCCATCATGATTTTCCCATCCGGGCCATCCGTATACGTGATCGATTGAGGCATAAATCTCATACGGCTTCCAGATGGGCCATTGAAGCGCACCGCCGGCCATAGTATGCGGGCGCAGAAGAACATATAGCGTGTCCCATAGCACAAGCGGCATCGAGACCGTGAGCCAGACTATCGTGAGGTTGGATGCAGTGTGGCACCACGTCGGCTCATTGATTTCGGATGGAGAGGGAGGGCTAATTTCGGCTTTGGCGTTGGAAATCGCGCGCCTGGCAAGCGACTTTGGCGGGGGTGAGGAGTTGAGGTCTGGGGAGGTGGGCGCTGGGGACGCGGTCGAGGTTCGTGATCTCGGCGTCTTCTTGATGGGTGATGATTCCGTGGCGGGGAAGTCGCCTTGCGGATGCGAGCGCGTAGACACCATGGTGACAACAAGGAATCAAGGCCGGGTGGAGAATCTGGGGTTCAGCAACAACTGCGAGGAGCGCAATGGAGGGAGAATGTAACGTGTCGCAATGATGCAAAGGATGCTAGAGAACTAGTGGAGAACGGGTTCTACTTTAGCCGGGCGGGGCTGAACCTCAGACGGTAAGCCTCGCTCAAGTGACTGGACAAACAGAGTATAGTGCATCTCGCCCTGGCACGCAAGGCCTGTAGCTCGCATCTTTCCTCGACCGACTGGTGAGCGAGGTAGGCCTGCTTGTCGCAAATTGACTTGACACGACCTCGGGAGCCACCTCACACAACTTGAGGGCGTACTGACGATACGATCGAGGAGCTCAGGCAGGTCCACCGCGCAATTTGCGAGAGCTTCGCTGTAAGCTGGCGCTGTTTCGACGTTGCAGATGCCCGATAATGAACAACATGCGGCCTCTTCGCGTTTGGTCTTCCTGTCGCTCTTCCACAGCAGCCGCTCGTCAATGCCAAGTCGGGGAAGAGCCCTGGACCAGCTCCGTCGAGCACTCTATGAAGGATACGGTAAACTTAGTAACTAATGACCTAATGACACCTTATCACCAAGCTTCAGCCATGCTCGCGAGAAGAGATCGACGATGCACAGCGCGAGAAGCTCTGAGGCGTCTGCCCACGGGTGGAATATTCTAAAGTTGATTTGACCCAGAGGCTAACTCCAGAGGCTTCAAAAGAACTAGGCGAGCATATGCGACAGCCTGGAGACAGTGCAGCACAATTATGACAGCGCACTCATAGACGAGCTAGAAAATTTTATAGCTCTCTGCTTCTACAGAAACCGACTACATGCTCGGAACCAAAACAACACTACGCCTCATTCTTACTTACCTAGGTATTCACCTTCGGCTAAGCTAAGCTTATGGAATCACCCCAACCGGCCGGATGACAACACCTCGTCCTTTACCAACTAGGTAGAGACAACTCAAGAATGCTTGATAGTCCATCTAACAGTCGACTTCCCGATGCCAGAGTTGTCGCACTCCGTCTGTCCCTGAGAGGCAACGACGCCACCAGACTTTGTTCATCAGCAGAGAAACTTGACACATGATCGGGAGAGCTGGAACGTACCTGCCACTTGTTGAGAGCAAGCTCGGTGATGTCCGCGATATTCGAAGACCCAATCCAGGTTGTCTGGACGTTCCGGGTGCCTGCTTCGAAGACACAGGTGCCGTAGTACAAGACGCCGTGGGTATCGGGAGTGTTGTCCCATACGCCGTAGTAGGTGTTCAGGCCGCGGGTGTCTGGAGAATGGTCAGTCAGTCGCTCAGGTGCCCACAACTACTCTAGAGCAATTAGGTCAGATTCTTGGAGGCTTACAATCACGAATCACAGCGCAGTCTGCGGTGTTGGCGAAAGGAGCAGGATGGGGGTCGAGAGTGGTGCCATCACAGGTGTCAGAGTCGGGAGAGCCAGTGAGCAGAGCTCGTGTTGCCACCTCACCGGGGTTGACAGACACGACTACTACTGCACTATTGAGATAGAGTGTTTTGCCATTGAAGTCGATTGGTATCCAATGAATCGCGGCATTAGCGGCAGAAAGGGGCTCAGGAGCTGGAGCTGGAGCTGCAAAGGCCACTGGAAGTAAGGCCAGGGTGCAAAGACTGAGGAGTATGGAGGAGATCATGCTGAACAACTAAGATTGATAACTGTTGGGCTTCGAGTGCTTGGTGATGCTGTTGATGCTGGTGCAAGATTTGTCTAGAGCTGGTAGCGTCTTATATAGAACAATATGAGCAAGAGACTCTGTCTTTGAAGACGCAATGCAAGCCTGAATTTTCGAGGCAGGTAGGCATTCTGGTCTCACACTGCACTCTGCTCATGGCCTAGATGCTGGATAGTTGGTGGCCGACCTCCAGGTGTGCCTCGTGTCTGCGCTGAAGTTGAAGTAAGCTTCATATCTGTGCAGGAATTGATTGTTTATACGCAGGTCAGCACATCAGTGCTTACGGGGTCGTCTTCTTCCAGGCGGTAGGGTGAGTTTCAGGCAGTGACTCTGACTGTACTGCGTTTGAGGGTATTCGGGATCGGTGTTCCAATACCAATGACATGATGTCCAAAGCCTATCATAATGTCTGCGTTCATAGCTTCGCGTTACACTGTTCGCATCGTGATAGATCGACTCGGTGACAGAACCATTTTAGGGGGTTTGAAACGGTGAATGGTGACGGACTTCAAACCCGAATTTAACCTCAGAAGAAGGCAGCGATGATAGCCCCCTGCCCTTGTACCTAGCATGCGTGTAACGCTGTCGCAAAGAGGGGATTGACTAGTTACTTTGGGCATGTAGCGCATACAGCGGCCTGGCGTGAACAGGTAGTGGGCGAATCGGAGCTCATCCGAGGTGTACCAGAATATGGGGAGCTTCATGCTTGCCTCTCGCTTCTCGCTCTTTGTTAGGCGTTTCAGTTCTTGGAAGCTCTCTCTATACAGTCTTGTGATAGCCAGATATTGAGAGCTGTGATGTTGACTACCTGAAATCATCCATGGCTGTTTGAAGTCTGACACCATGCCAGACCCTGTTGCAACCTCAGCTCTGACACGCTGCTGTCACTATCAGCTATCTCAAAGCATGCCTGACCACCAACTTCAGGCGATATATTGATTTCACAATGACGAGGAATCTATGGAACGTGGTACGGGACCACCCTTACCTGGGTAAGCTTGCTGTAGTCAAACATCCATGTAATCATGCACCCTGATCCAGATATCGCTATTGCTCGTTGAGAAAATGAACTCTCTGTCGTGCTTCTGGGTTTATGTAGGTCGGAATCTGACTCACATGCATACTCTCCAGCCAGAACTATATATCGGCTTGGCAAAGACGGGCCTAGGCTCCAGAATGTCCAAAACGCCTCGCCGCTAAGCCCTTGAGCCAGGTCCTCGGTATGGGAAGCCGTAAGTCTGTGAGAGCAATTGCGCGCGTAGCGCGGTCGCCGCAAGTCTATAGTTTCTGGTAGTCATGGTGCTGGTGTAGGAGCTCTCAGAGCTTTGCGCCGACACGCCGACCGACCTCGGGAGGCTTTACCTACCTTGGTAGATAGCGTCTTGGCGAGTGTCTCACTCCGCGCCGCACCCGAATGCTTTCTCGCAGTCATCTTCGCTGCTCCGACTGGCGTTTACACCCATGCTCGTCGCGTCGAGTCATTGTGTGTAATTTAAATTACCTTGTATGCCTGCGTCGTTGCAGCTGAACAGCGCGACGACGGAGTTACGGCTTTGATGTCGTTTTTACTCCGCGCGGGTCAGGTTCTCAAGGGCCAAATAGGCAGCTACACGATCACCAAGCAAGTCCAATCGACACTTTGGTTTGCGAAGTGAGACCAGGAAACCACTTACTATGCCTTAGCTACTGACAACTAATACAAGGGATCAAGGACAAAGAAGAGTTGTGATCAAAGGCGGACATCAAACGGTGCAAGTAGAACGTGACGCGCTCAAAATGTTCCAGCATTGTCCCCATATTAGACCATTGGTCGACGACATAGATGGGCCACCTACCATGCCTCCGCTTATTGCCTTGCGGCATCTCGATAGTGATGTCCTAGCAGCATCGATTGAAAGAAAGTTAAGCCGAGAGGAGCTGAAATATGTCACTCGGAGATTGTTGCTCGGTCTGAATAATTTGCACGAGAAAGGTTACGTGCACTCAGGTACGTATACGCATTTTAAGCGTTTAAAGGCAGCGAACTGGTCTGACGGGATGACAAGACGTCAAAATCAACAACATACTCTCCAACTTTCAGCAGGGCTCCAACTGCTTCGCTGATGTTCAGCTTGGTGACCTGGGCGACTGTTGTACAGTCGACTGAGATCGGGCTCTGTCTGGAAAGCATGTAGGAGTGCTTGTGTGGTCTAGCTCAGAAGTTCTTCTAGAGATGCGCTGGAACACCGCAACAGAGATATGGTCGTCTGGTACCGTGGTATGTATTGAGATTCGGCTGGAAATCGTCATAGAGCACACGCTGACCGTCAGCTCACTAGGTCATCAGTCTAATCTACGGTGGAGATAGGAATTTGTTCTAGCCGCAAGGTATAAAGCGCGGCGAACAAGGGTACTCGAGCAGCAATTTCGCGACAACTACATATTGGAGCTGATCATATTCGAAGATCTCAAACCGGACAACGTCTACGTCAACATGCAGGAAGGCGACAATCGGTTCAACGAAGTCAAACTGGGTGATATGGGAAATTGCTCTCTTGTAACCAGTGAAGGGCCCACTTCTGGAGCCTTTTGTGGCGCACCAACATGGTCAAGCCCAGAAATCATTTTGCAACTGCCCTGAAACACAGTTTCAGATATCTGGGCGTTTGGACTACTGGTAAGACCCTACATCTCGTTTTTCATGTTCTCGTCTCAATCGTGTTGGATGTTTGTAGGCTGACGATCTCTATGCAAAGTTTGCGCATATGATCTATGGCTCTTACATCAACCCATGCATACCCGAGGGCCCAAGGATTGAGGACGACAGACCAAACCTCCCCTTAGATGTTATGCTACGACAGTTGCACTGGTTCGGGCCGTTTCCAGAAAAGATTGTTGAGGTTGCTGATGCAGAGTCTGCTGATATCATACCGGCTTTCAAGGAATACAACATGCCAGCGCAGCAAGGAATATTTGAAACCATCCCGGAGACGACATCATCAAAAAAGGACAACAAATTTATCCGCAAGATGATGAAGCTGGACTGGAGGGACAGACCAAGTGCGAGAGACTTGTTGGAAGACGAATGGTGGATAGACGAATGAGGCATAACCGGTGACTTCTCATGCATAGCCGCGGCATTTGCACTTTGTTTGTTGTACGGCAACGGGGCCCTAGGGTATGTATAACACTTTTACTGTACCATAGTCTACTTCACTCAACACAAAGCGCCGTCCGGGCTTGCTCCTTCTCTCCACACAATCATAATTGTCCTTACTAGGCAATCAACAACATCATAAGTACCTCCCCTCCTGAGTTCTTTTCTTCGCTCGCTCACCACAACACCACCAGCCAGCTTCTTCAAGAGATACAAGCACTTCGAAAGCTAGAAACACTATGTCTTACCCACCAAACAGCCCCGAGATCGTTCGACGCCATCCCCAACATGGCATCAGAGCTGCGGGTGGGATCGCCACTTCATCACCTCACTCACACTCATCTTCTTCGATGGACGTTCACACGATCATCTGCGCAGAGGATGACTGCAACAACAAGCTTGATGTCTTACCACACGGACACTATGCTGGGTTGGTCGGCAAGGATAGTGTGATATATATCAAGGCTAGGTGCAAGGAGTGTGAGCCGCCAGTGACTGTAGCGAGCTGGTGGGAAGGATATAAGGAGAGCGAGGAAGGCAGTGATGGTTGGAAGGAGGAACCAAGCGATTGGGCTGATGAGTTCTGAGGGCTTGGCAAAGAATGATGGGTGGGGAGACGGTAGAAACAATGTTACATGTCAACAAGCGCGTCCAATACAGCAGTAGAGACATGAGAGGGGGGATGAGAAGCTGATTTTGATGAATACACATCTGCATTTTCCGTGCATCCCAATGTTCCTTTAGTTTCACTTCCACGTATCCGTTAATCAATACCCTGAGTGAGAGCAGGAAGAAGAAACGTGCTGGAACACCTGAGTGGCCGCGCATAGTTTTCTTCACCGCTTACATGTCCTGGTGGCCTGGGTAGATGTTATTGGTCTGTTCTACGCGCCACCATACAGCTAGTGAGCAGATACTGTCTGTAAATCCGAGGTAAAGCCAGAGGCTGTGTCCGGCGGGCTTCTAGCGGGCGCGAGTGCGCCCTCGAAGCAGCTCCGCCTCCTCCACAGTGACGGTCATCAGGCCTGAACCCTTTTCATCCATCTTCTTCTTCAGAGAATCAGCAGCAAGTCGCTCTTTCGCAATGCGCTCGTGCTGCTCAGCCTGGTTCTGCTCCCAACGCTGGCGGCGCTCTTTCTCTCGCTCTTTCTCGCGGCCCTCAGCCTGCCTCCTCGCAAGTCCACGAAAGAAGATATCAGCGGACTCCATAGCCTTCCTTAGAAGGGTGTGCTTCTCCAAGAACGCCGCGAAGTCCTCTGGGTCGGGAATAAGGCGTTCGTGGCGTTCGTGGCAAAGGTGGTTGACCATCGCGGTCCAGAGTGGATCTTTGTCAGACGTGGCGTTCTGTTCGACGGCGATGATCTCTTCGTAGCTAGGAAGCTGGGTCTTGAGGTATTCGATATAGCCAGCAAGGATATGGCTGCAGTAGCGCTCCATGCCCAACAGGCGAGCGGCGCGGAGGAGAGCAACGTCTTCACCGAAGGTCATCTGAGCTGGGACAGCGTAAGCCTCAAACTCGTCGCACGTCTCCTGCATCCAGCCGATGAGTAGAAGGCGGACTGCGCCAGGGTGTATCTGACCGCGTGAGAAAACGTACTCAAGTGATCGAGGGTTGGCAGTGAAGTGCTTGTGAAGAACAGAAGAAGCAGCCATCGCAGCACGCTTGGATATGCCCTCAACGGATGTATCTCCAACGCGAATGATGATGCGAGGACCTTGGAGAAGAGCTTGACGCTGCGCTCGTATCATCTCGAGCAGATTATCGATAGGTTGGTCTATGACGGGGGAGGACGACGATTGACCTGACTGCTTTGATAGAGTCTCTGGCTGGGGCGGGACATCAGCTACCTCAGAAGCGGAAGAGAACGATGGCGCAATCGGCTTGGGATCAGATCCAGGATAGGAAGCAGGCTGAAGATTTGTCTTGATAGGAAGTGGCTCTTTGGGCAAAGAGGCGGTCACAGAGGCGTCAGTGCCGGCGATGCTAATAGTTTCAACGATCAAGTCTTCACCTTGATACGGCATGACGTTCTTCGTAGTATCAGCAGACTCGGGGAGACCAGCCTGTTCAGTAGAGGGAACGGTGTTGTTTACGTCCTTGAGGAGTGCCAACTTCTTAGCAGCCCTATTACGACGAGTACGTGCAGACTTGGACATGGACTGGCCTTGGACAGCTGGAGACGGCCCACTAGACCTGGGGTTAGCACATGATATCTGCAATGGCGAACAGAACTTACGACAGTTCATCAATTAGGCGACTGCTTGCGATGTCTGTAGTTGCCATCGCAAATAAGATAATGATGCGGCGCAGACTGAGCGGCTCGACTTGATCTTACGTCTGTCGGGGTAAGAGAACAAAAGACCTGTGCTCACGCAGAAGGAGTATCTGGTGACGACTTCAGTAGTTTTAGGCAGCGAGCTGGAGGCGCGGATTATTTACATGCAAACGGACGGGAACCAGTGCACGTGATTAGGCAAGGACCCGCGCGCAGGTCGGTCGCACAACGCGTGAGAGCCGAACTGAGTGGAGAAAGAGCAGTATGAGCTGACACGCTAATGATAAACGTAGAAAGACATAGAAATCGACCTGGTTAGACTGCTCGTGCCTGTCTCATGCTCCTGACGGGCTTTCTCTAGTCGTGATGCTGTGGCATTTTATCGCCGCTTTCTTACGCATTCAGAGAAAGCTATGGCGGCTATTAAAACGTTTCTGTGAATTCGTATAACTCTTTCTGGATTGCAACTGGTCAATGATCAAAAGGACTCGTTGCTTGATTTTGTGTAAATGTATTTGTGGCAACGTGCGGCTCGTAGTAAAACGTCATGTTCAATCAGACGGCAGAAGACTCTTGTGGAACGCGTATGAAATCAATGAGTAGTTGCGCATGATGAACGACTGACTGTTCAATGACGACTGGAGTTCGCGAAAGAGTGTCGAAGTGAAAGAGTTGTCGCGCGTGTCGGACGCGTGCCCGCTCGGTAGGTAGCGCCAGCAGAACTTACTCCGGATGACACGATTCCTGCACTCTTTGCTCCAACGATGTCGTTCAGATCACGCCCCAAATCATGCAATTTCGCATGCGTGGTCACGCCGATGAAAGAAGTATCAAACGCTTGCTTGACGTGTTCATCACATCTAAGCTTCTTGGACTTGATCGCGTTGACCTTGTATCCGGTAGTTTTCGTAACGACATACTAACATACCAAGCGTGTTAGGCACCCGGCATACACTACACCCACTCTGCACCTCTTCTCAGCGCCCTTTGCGCGGTCGTATCATCTCGACTTCTCAGCGTTAACGAGCTCCACATACTGATACATCGCTTCCGTCCCACAAACCCTTTAATCAAGTATACCGCTAAAGACCTCTGTCACCGAAGGTTCAAGAAGCAGATACCCAACATTGCTGAACTCGAAAATTGGCTGAACGAAAAAAGCAGAGAAGGACTGGAACAGGCCATGGCGGCATGCGACAAAGTACATAACACGACAAGGCAAGCAATCACTCGGAGAAAGTGCGACTGGAGGAAGGATGTTGTACTACGTCTGTGGGGCGAGGATATGGATGGGGTTTGTGTTGAGGAAGAGGCCGAAAACAATGCGAGACTGGAGAAGATGAAACGACGAGACTCAAAGTTACTGGCGTAGAGCTAGTAGCACTATCATGAGCGACTGTTGGGTCTGGCTAAAAAGCATTCAATGTGTATTAAAGTTCAATATAGTGTGACAACGCGCCGCTCCTTGCATACCCCAAACAAGCACTGTAATCCATTTCTTTGCGGGAACACTGCATTGCTAGATTACAAGACTCAACGGCCTTGATAACAGAAATTTGATCTGCTATTAGATGCGCTTGCCTATCATGCGCCACTTAGACTATCCAAAAGCCGTGAGCTTGTTCCAGGCTCTAAGAAGCCTTGTCGGTTGACAGCGGTACCGTAGGTGGAGTATCGACGCCGCGCTGTGGATGGCTGGGAATACCAGGCTCTAAAAGTGATGCGCAAACCGTACGCACGGCGCGCCATGCCGAGCTGACGAAAAGGTTGGACATGATACGTTCTCATATGCCTACTCAGGGTAGACCATCTTTCTCCCAACACCACCGTCTACAACTATCTCCTGACCAGTGACAAACTCGTTGCCAATAAGGTACTCCACCGCCTTTGCAATGTCCTCCACTTTACCTACTCTGCCAGCAGGATGCCAGTCGACGTCGGCCTTTGAAAGACCCTCCTCCCACTTAGTTTGACCTTCATCTCCAGCTCTACTTTCGTTGGCGACGTGAATCCATCCAGGGATGATCGCGTTGACCCTGATCTTATGACGATGGCCTAGCGATACTGACATGGACTGGGTCAACCCCAACAGTCCAGCTTTAATAGATGAATACGCTTCGTGATCAGATTCTGACTGGTATGCGCGCGTCGATGACATGTTGATGATGGTACCAGGTGATGTTGGAGTAGAATTTCCAGCAGCGAGGAGCGGAACGCACAGGCGGCTGAGTATGAACGGTGCAGTGAGGCCGATCGCAACCTTCAAATCCCACTCTTTTTCAATGTCTTCTCCTTCGGCTTCCATACTGCGATCTTCCGATATCGAGAGGTCTGTCGGGAAAGCATTGTTGATCAAAACATCGAGCTTGCCACCAAATTTCCGCTTGACCTCGTCGACAGCAGTCTTCAACTCCGTTCGCTTGCTAAGATCACACTCAAGCGCGGACCAGCTTTGCTTTCGCCCATTTGACCATTCTTCAGCTCGAGTCCTGACATGGTCCAGCTCTTCCTTATTGGAATCCAGAATGACGACGTCGTGTCCAGAAGTTAGGAGTTGTCTGAACAGCCCGCGCCCGATACCCCTGGCACCACCTGTTAGCAGGACTTTAAGATGTTGAGGAGCTGCGGTCATTGTCATTGGCCCGTGATAGCAGATTAAGATGGAGCGTATATGTCGTGAGCACGGAGCTTCTGCTATCGTCGGTGTCTCTAATTTACTTTAATTAACAGGCGGGCTGCAACGAGTTCGCGCAACCATGACGTCATGACCAGATTTTTCCGCGCGAATATCCCGAGCTCATCTCCCCTAACGTCTACAGCCGGTTGCTACTGCAGACCTATTCTCGGAAATTTGTCGATCGGCAAGAGAGGAAAATCATAGTACTTTCGAAAAGTTCAGGACCAATGCAAGATCGTATCTTCCGTGATGTTTGGAGCTCGGCATGTCGGCTTCCCGAGAAAGATGTTCACCAACAATGTTGGAATTGCGCGCATTCAAGACGCATGACACTGCGCAAGGCGCGGAAGGGATGCGAACCAACCCAGCGGCTTGGACCCAGACATGATCATCGTTCGATTCATATGGCCTTATTATACGACTTCGATCAGACTGAGAGGTGTGAAATCACGTGATACAAACATGGGGGAATGTCATGGGTAAATACTGTACTCGCCATACTGGGCCCTATATACATGGTAGTCTATTTACAAACCCGAATCAATCTGATTCAGTACCACCTTGGAAGTGTAAGCATCCCAAGTGTCGCAAAGTTGAAATTGCTCATCCCCAAATGTCTGCTTCTGGATTTCCTCTGGTCTCTCCAAGATCTGCATGAAGAGTCCACCACTAACGTGCCAGGCCAAGTGGCAATGAAGTGGCCATGCGCCTGGATTGTCTTGTACGAATTGCAGTACCAAGTACGAAGGCTCGACAGTGCCGGTGGTGTTTCGTGCATTCTGCATCTGATGGACATCGCGACGCAGCGTGTTCTCGGGATTCGTCACGACACCATCCCACTCGCCGAATCCTTCAGCTAGGATGTGGTAGTCATGACCGTGGAGATGCATGGGGTGGCCACCAATGAGACCGTGGTTGACCATGTGGATGCGGACGTGCTTCGCACCGGGGAATTGGTACACGTTCCATTCGGGGTTGAAGTCCGTCTCATTACGCTTTGCTTTCAGTAGGGTCGGCTTGTTGTAGTTGCCGTGGTAGGTGCTGTTGTTGAGATACCAGATGAAGTTGGTGCCATTGGAGCGGAAGTCAAAGTCCACACGTTCGACATGGTCAGGCTCTTCCAGTGGGACCTTACACAGCGGAATACCCTGGGTGATGGGGTCGTTTTTGCATTGCTCAAGTTGTTCCTTGGTGACATCGGAAGTAGACTGAGGAATAGCGTCGGTACTGGCATTCTCGTAATATACTGCCGCAAGAGCATTAGGTGAGATGCCGTCGGTGAGTGTACAACGAAAGCCTTGAGCAAGCTGCGATCGCATCCAGAAAGTATCGGTAGGCTTGCCGATAGCTTCAACTACAACATCAGTGCGTTGACCGACGGCAAGCGTGACAACGTTGGTCATGTATGGCTCGACCGGGATGTAGTCTACGGCGATAACTTTCAGTTTGTGTCCATCAATGCTAAACTTCTGATTGCCTTCAGCGCCCGTATTGATGAGGCGTAGTAGATGCTTCTTTCCTGACTGGAATTTGAACTTGGAGATACCTGCATTAGGTGTGCAAGGTAGTGTCGTATTGGCACATGGGTAGTTCATTCTTCCGTTGATAAGGTTGTTGTTGGAGGGCGGGAATTGGCCGTTCATAGTGCCTTCAACAAGGGAATAGTAGTCGGCATGAAACCAATCTTCGAGAATGATGGGGCCGATGTCAATATCGTAATCCTCGTGTTTCGGCCCATGTATGACCATGGGGCCGTGAGCGCCACCAGAGTATTGGGCACTGTAATGGCCTACGGAGATTAGCTTTTGCATACCTCAGTGTAGTCCTCAACAACTTACTGTGATACCAAGACGTCCCGTAGCGGTCGGCCCGAAAAAGCATCTCATAGTAACCGCCGTTTGGAGTGATCGGGCATTGGCTGACCGCAGGTACACCGTCATACCAGGTACTTTCTGTCTGGAAAAGGCCATGGGCATGAAGGGTAGTACCTTCATCAGTCAAATCATTTGTAACTCTCCACAGGATCCAATCACCCCTGATACGGTCAGTAGAAGCATTACAGTGGTGTGAGATAATTCATACCAGTTGGCCTCGATCAGCGGACCAGGGAATTGACCATTGACCGTGAGTCCATTTCTTGTAACACCATCTGGAGCAATCGTTTGATAAGCTACGTGGAGATCATATGTTCTCGTAACGCCGGTGTCAGGCATGGACGGGCAAAGAAGATCAGCTTTTGGTTTGGAGGCTGCAGTAGCGATGGGGTCGAGGATCCCGGTAGCAGTCGGTCCGAAAGAGGTAGACACTGTGGCGTTCGCATAATTGTATGGATGGCCAGATGCTGTCGGGTGGAAGGGAAGTGTATATGATGCCCTTGCCGGTTCATATCTGTATGCGCCATCGAAATTGCCATCCGGAAGTCCATTCGCTGGGAGATGGGGCGAGTCGATCAGGCCCCATTGTGAGTTGCCACACTGTTCTACATTTAGAAGTGAGCCCTCCAGATGACCCATACCTTTGGGAACCCAACACGGCTCTTCGTATTCATGTTTGGCGGGCCCGCCATATTCATAGGGTGTCGAGGGCTGAGGAGGGGGGTAAATCTCTCCATGTGATGGTTTGCCTGGCCACTCGAAAGGGAGAGGTACATCGTTGTAAGGATTGTAGTATGGCCCACCATGTCCATGAGAGTTTGTCGTGGGCCGTGCTGTGGCGTATTCAGTGACTGTAGCTGTGAGGACTTGACAGATGGGCGCGGCGCTGAACTCGGAGGGGGTGACTGCCTGGAGAGCAGACGACAGTGAAGCCGTAGCGGCAAAGTAGGGAGCGTATGCTACCATAGTTGTAGCAACGACAGTAGGTCGTATGATTGTCCACGGGCGACCACAAGAGGATTGACTGCGCAAAGAAGGAATGACTGTGTTGAGAAGCAAGACACTGCATTTGAAGGTATGGTGAAGGCCATGTTATATGGAGTTCCATGGACACTATGCCAAATACCAATGTCCCATGTTTGACCGTGGGGCTGGCAATACGATGAAGCGAGCTATGTGGCGGGAAAAAGTATAGACCGTGAATCTGAATACGGTCGAAACAACCGAACCGAGGCGAGGCGCAAGAAGTAACGAGCTGTAAGGCTGCCAGTTGTGGATCATGTAAGCAGCATAAATCGAAGATCATGAGAGCTCAGCGTTGCTTTTGAGCCCAGCCCGGGTTCCCCCCTGGCGTTGTTCGAGCGTTGAGGCGGGAGAAGAAGATGAAGTAAGCCACTCAATGGTTGGCGTCATGAACGCTGAGAAAAGATCTGCAGTCGCAGCGTGCATGGCATGTATACCGTTACCGTTTACGCATTTAAGGTTTTCCGGAAGATATGCAGGTACGTGCCGAAAGACGCCAGGCTATACGATAAACTTCGTTGACGCGACTGACGTGATGGTGACATTGTCACACTTGTTTGCGAATCAGCTTGGAAGACTGTGGGGCCACAGGTAGTATCTATGTAGCGTTATCCTGAATCAACTACCAGAAATCAATACTTCGGAATGCGGGACTCGCAGTCTAATCTTTTGTTGTTGTGATGGTTCGTATCACGCTGCCGTGAGTGCCGTGTACTTAGACAGACTGGGACATACTAAGCTCCCGAAATCGCATGAAATCGTTCGCAACAGTGGCTTAGATGAATCAGGCGACCGCATGTTCTCCTGGCTATGTGGAGATGATGAAGAGAAGGCTGTGCTGTGGAAGCAGAGGTCATTGGCAAAGTGGTGTTGAGGCGTCGGGATAAGCACTGGTTAGCGCTGACACCTGCGCATGGCATCCGGCTAAAAAGGGGCCTGGCGCCGATCCCTCCCGAGGTCACGACCACGTCTAACTCCAACTGTGGGCTGGCAGTCATTACTGGCGATGTGGTGTCGACGTGCGGAAACTGTGTAGTCAGATGCTGAATGTCTTTCTTTCTCATCTTTCAGGGTATAATCATGCCATGCTGTTGTCTGCCACCACAAACATCGCAACTACAACCACGCTCTCAAAGACAGCAATACGGCAAAGAAAAACTGACAAGTGACGTTCTGTAGCTCGTTCTTGACAGCGTAAGATATCATACGACTCATGCCTGAGTTGTTATTTGGCAAAAGAACATTACTTGGCCAGGCTCGAGGCTTCTACCGCCACATCGCCAGCGGTCCTCGGGTACATCCTACCGAACTCAGAAGGCGACAAAAGTTGATGATAGGGTTTGCATTACTAAGGAGACAGGTGCAGCTAATTCCGCAGTCTGTTAAATATTGTTCTTCGATCTCCTGTACAAGTCTCGGGTCTCGACTCCCGTCTTCGATTTACATACAACCTGGGCCTACACAATCTTCTTGCCAGGACTCAAAGCCATTCTCTTCACATGGCTGAACCTGTACTCTGGAACTTCTCTTCAGTCATCGAATGCCTCTAATGGAGATTGTCAATACAATTCCAGCAACTCGTGACACCGCACTCGCTGCAGTGCATTACGAACCGTAGCCAGTCAGCACCGCAATCCTCACAATCCCCGCCGTTCACCCGTTGACAATCGTGGTCATGCTCAGCGGGTACTGGCTGGGTAACAGGGCGAGTACGGAAATCTTCATCCCACTCTGGACATTTGCATGTCTTTCAAGGTACACCACAGAGATGGCAAAATTCATGACCACAGCGGCAGCTCATGTGGAAACGACCCTGGGAAAGCTCGTCCATGTTCCTACATTTCTCACATTGCTGCCACTTTGCTCGCTTCGCTGCGTCCATGAGGAGCTGTACGTGTGGGTCACTCGGACACAGTCCATCGTGTGCGCGGTGTTTGCACTGCATACAGGTTGTCTCGTTGCAGTCCACACAGGTGTCTACATCGGCACTGATATCTTTGATGCGGATGAAGGCGGTGCAATCGATGTTGGCACAGTACGTCGGATTGGGTGTAGCAAGCTCCTCTACTTGGACGTCAAGATTTCTGACGTACCCTTGTGGAAGCATGGTACCACAGACCTCTTGAGGTATTGGAACCTTGCAGCATTTGGGAGGGAAGATCGAAACGTCATTGAGAGCCATGGTGAAATGATCGCGGACGCAGTTTGGGCAATAACTATGAGGCACGGGCTCACACTCGAGAGTCAGAGTGTCTTTGGTCGATGTCTTGTCGAGACACGCCTCACACGGAGTGAAATGCTCTTTCTGGTCTGGTTCTGTGTCGCCGCCGTTTCCTTCTCCATCGTGATCGCTGGTCTTACTAGGCTTGAGTGACGTTTGCGGAGCGATTTCATATGCGTGTATCTCTGCGTAGAGCTCCTTCGCACGTGCCCACTGCTCATCGGTTTCAAGGGAGCGATCATTTGACAAGGTTGTAGCGTAGGTCGAGCTGTGTACATATTCCGGGTCGTCGATGCTCAAGCTGGAGAAATTCAAAGCGAGCTGGTGATCGGCAATTGCCTGCCTCTCCTCTTCAAGAAGTCTCTCGAACTCTGCGCTAGTTTTATGCTCTGTTTCTAATAGCTCGCGCGCCATCTCGTTCGGGTCAAAGGTTGCGGCGAGCATTTGGGTCTTGGGAAGGAGAGTGTGGCGTTGCTGAGTTTTCCAGACAACCCTGTGGGAGCTGAGTTGGGTTGGTGATCATAACAACGCTACTGCGTTTGTCTTCCAGATTGGGAAGCCAGCGATTCCTGTGTCACCGATGTGCCAGCGCTGCCCCAATCAAAATCTCCAGATGCTGCAGGCCGATACAATACTGCCACATTGTATGAACTTACGAAGAAAGACTTCGATACGGACTGCGAATGCACTTTAGCATTACGGCGAGCGTTCCTCAAAAGGGTTGCCGTAGTAAACCTTTTGATTCCTTATCAGGGCGTCTGGTAGCTATACTCATAAGCTCATATCCTGTCTTAGATATGCGAGCGAGTGATGAATTTGGGGATGTGAGATAGGTACGGTCAAGTTCAGAGCGAGCGAGCGAGCAAGCAATGCCTTGCAGACGTGGTGATAGCCGTGGTCGTTGATCGCGGGCCTTTCGGGGTATCGCTACTGGAAAAATGACCAATACTGATCGATTGTCGAAACTGAGACCGACTCTTGTTGTAGCCTTGATCCTTGACTGCACGTATCATGCGACAAATTTCTCGTGACATGACACGGCGAAGAACGAGTTGCATTGCTAATATTGGCCGATGCGGCGCGCTGGCGATGACATCATCGCGACCCTTAGGTGCGGACCAGCCTGGCGACCTCTCTCTCCTGGCGACCATGACCCAACACCGCTCCTACATACGCGCCATCGTCTTCTCACCTCTAAATAATCCATCCTTCAGACTCATTCACGTTACCGCGATCCTTCAAGGCGTCGAGCTGCTAACCTAGCAGCGATCATGCAGTTGGTGTTTCGTCTCGCCCCACCCGAACGTTTCAACGTGCCGCGCGCAAAGCACATGAGCATGAGCGCGCATTTGTCCATGACTCCATCTGCATACGGTGTAAAAGTCGGCTCAGGGTATTATCCTGTGGCTAATTAGCCGTCTTGTCATACTCCGACGAACATGTTCATGTACACACTCGAGCCGGTGTTGATACCTCGACCCTGGGTTGACAGACCCGCATTGTATCTCAAGCTGCAGATTCTTGAGATTGCAGAGGATGCCATCATTAGAATTTGCAGCTAACACTATCGCACTATCATCTTTGAGACAGGGCTGGCGCCAAAGCAAGTGCAATCAGGAAGTTGTTGCAGCCCATCGACTGCAGGCTCTTCTCCAGCTATCGCAACGGGAAGTTGCAATGTGGTACAGCAACATCAATGTGCAGTCTGCTGCGCGGGACGTTGAAGCCAACAATTTACAGAGGATGGCTTAGAGCCCCTGCAATGTGAAGGATTCTCGCCTCGTCCAATGTCAAAACAGCACTAAGCTCTACTCGGCTCGAACTCCAGGCACAGTGCATCTCCACCAATGAGCGCTCCACATGTCAAACCTGTCAGTCTTCGAATTGACCCATGGACCTGGTTCTGGTTCCCAAGAGTTCTGTTTTCGGCTTAGGTATCCATTGTTCATTCATCTATCCGACTGTGGCTGCAGACACATAGCGCCCTGGCGTCAGGTTCGAGATTGGACCGGTGGTAAACGAAACGGCTAACCATGCAGCGTGCCACATACTCCTCGGCTTCACGGGTGGGCTCATCTCCTGCGCTGGAGGATATAAGTCTTCGAGCTCGCCGGACTTTGAACAGTAACGCAGCTGCGCTGGACATTCTTTCACTACGGGACTTCGTCATTCATTCGTTCTTTTGCCTTTTCAGTCACTCTTTTGTCAACTTTTGACTCGTCACTCATTCCAAACATCACTACTCGCATCAATATATACACTATGAAGTCCGTAGCTGTCCTCCCCGCCATCATGGCGCTGGCCAACGCCCACGCCACTTTCCAACAACTCTGGAAGAACGGAAAGGATCTTGAGAGCACCTGTGCCAGGCTGCCACCTTCCAACAGCCCCGTTGAGGACTACACCAGCACTGCGCTGCAATGTTAGTACGCCTCGAGTCCCCACCTCGGATCTGTGCTGACATCGATTTAGGCAACGTTAGCCCTGCTCCCGCTGAAGGAAAGTGCGACTTTGAGGCTGGTGATACAGTCACTATCGAGATGCACCAGCACAACACCCGTGACTGCAAGGAGGAGGCCCTTGGTGGTGCTCACTGGGGTCCCGTCCTCGCGTACATGTCCAAGGTTGAGGATGCGGCCACTGCCGATGGTTCCAGCGAGTTCTTCAAGGTTTACCAGAACACCTGGGCGAAGAACCCAGATGCCACTCAGGGCGACAACGACTTCTGGGGTACCAAGGATCTTAACTACAACTGTACGTACGGAATCATGTCCTCTGGATACTATGGCTAACAATCCAATAGGCGGCAAGCTTGACTTTACCATTCCCAAGAACATCGCTCCTGGTGACTACCTCCTCCGTGCTGAGGCTATCGCCCTTCACGCTGCTGGCCCCGCTGGTGGTGCTCAGCACTACATGACCTGCTACCAGCTTACCGTCACCGGTAGCGGAACTCTCGAACCCAAGGGTGTCACTTTCCCAGAGGCCTACTCCAAGACTGGCCCTGGTCTTGGTTTCTCCATCCACGCCGACCTAGACTCGTACCCCGCTCCTGGCCCTGCACTCATCGCTGGTGGTACTGAGGCTACCCCCGAGCTTCTCACCTTCGGTAAGCTCGCCGGTGCCCCTGCTGCTACCGCTACCGGCGGTGCTGAGACTCCTGCTGCCTCCACCCCGGCCTCCGTTGTCGCTTCTTCCACCGCTGCTCCTGCATCCACCAGCGCCGCTGCTGAGGCTGAGCCTTCTTCGGTTGCCCCAGTTGAGGTCTCTTCTGCCGTCGAGAGCTCCGCTGCTGCTACCTCTGTTGCCGCTTCTTCCGTCGCCGCACCCGTTGAGACTGAGGTCTCTAGCATCGTTGCTCCCTACCCCGTCGCGAACAGCACCTCTTCGATGCTCCCCGGCACCGTTTCCAGCGCTATCGTTGCTCCTACTACCATGCTCACCGCTGTCCGCCCCACTCCCACTGCCGAGCCATCTGGTCCCATCAAGGAGTACTACCAGTGTGGTGGCCAGGGCTTCAAGAGTGTCAACAAGTGCGCTGAGGGTCTTGAGTGCAAGGAGTGGAACCCATACTACTCCCAGTGCGTCAAGCCCGAGGCCAACAAGCCCGGTCCTTCTAAGGGTCCTATGCCCTCCGCTCCTGCATCCAAGCCCACTGCTGTTGCGCCTAAGCCTACTGCCGTCGCCCCTAAGCCTACCGGTGCTGCCCCCAAGCCTACCCCCGAGGCACCCAAGCCCTCTGCTGCTAAGCCTACCCCTGCCGCCCCGATCGAGGCTGAGCCTACCTCCGTCGCACCTGAGGCCGTTGAGCCCACCAAGCCTGCTGCTTCGTCCGCACCCGCCGCCGGTGCTGGCGAGAAGACCTACACCCTCGAGACCTTCATTGCTTTCCTTGAGCAGGAGGCTGGCACTGAGTCTGCTGCTAAGATCCGCCGCATGATTGAGGCTCTTCAGTAGACAATCTCGCATTCTTTGCGATGATCGTTTTGTATATATACTTACCCTAGATGGGTAACTTCAATTCTTGTAGCGATGTTTTTGGAATGATATTTCTACTTCTTCATGATCACCACTGTGCTCTGCAAACTTTGCCATCCTCTCAGTTGCATGCCGTTCTGTTGATCTATTTGATCAGATGTATACTATTGCATTACATTGATGCCCTTATGCTGCACACACCCTCATTTGTACCTTGCCGCGGCCAATCTGAACCTGACTCAAATCTTGATAAAGTGCCCACTCCAGACTAGTCGCGTTCAAGATACTGATGGCACTAGGGGTTGCTACAACTCGTATCGCAGTTTGTAGTCTGCAGTATACATGATATTAGATGATAATGACTAGGCAGTTCCTTGAGACAATGTATCCTCCAAACCCGGATTACACGTAGGACGCGACACGAGGTCTAGCCACCCCTCGCGCTGCTTGTCGGGGAGTGACCTCGTCTCATTCATGTAGATAGCAAAGACCATTTTACGATTATGTTCTCTTAGCAGAAAGCTTGAAGAAATTACGGTAAGAAGTGCTGCCATAGGATGCGCGCCTGTTGCCCTGATGGTGATGGGTATTTGGATGCCCAGCGATTTCTGCCACCAGCTCATGTACGTAATGAGAGCGAAAGCAGAATGAAACGCCGTCGTTATGTCCAATGGCGGTACACATAGGCCTTAGACGGTCCTTAGTATGAGTTGTAGGCAGAACCATCTCCTGGAAATACTGGAGGGGTGGTGTCGTTTAGTTCGAACGCGAACCCAGCCATAGGTACCCACAGTGACCCACACTCTCCACAGTGAAACTCGACGAATGCATTGCATAGCCGATCCAATCCCGGGTTCAGGACGAGGTTTCTTATGTGAATGTACCGCTATGTCCGAACTAGATTTCGTACATACTGCAGGTCTAACTCAATTGCAAGTTTCGCCAGGCAGATCGCCAACCTTGTATGTTTGCGCATGATCTTGCAATACGTCTTTTGAGCACATATCTTGATTTTGCGCCATCATTGTATTGGTAAAGCGACCAGAAACGGTTCTGTCCTGGCATTGCGTATCGCGTTTACGGTCGTGCTCGCATCCAGAAGTTGGAGACATGCTGAGAGAAGAATCCATTCTGGTCCAAGTATAGCTACAATGAAGGCAAATACCTGTCTGAGGACGTTTTTCCTCTTCTGATCGCCTATACCTGGTAGGTTCAGATGTACTGCGGTCCAATGCGCAGATGAAGACAGTTGAAAGCACCGTTGACAATATCGAGGATGTCCCTCGTGTTGTTGGTTCGGGAACCCATCCTGTGGTGGCGTTGTTGTCCATTCCGAACAAGACTTGTTGGTTCATGTTGAATGTTGTGTAGGTGTCGTGCTTGCAAGCGGTTTGTGGGCTGTCGTCAGAACGTGGATGAAAACGTGAGGGTGTGGTCGGATCGTGGTGTGTCAGATGGATCGTAAACACGAGGTACGCTCCTACGTAGATGCCAGGCATGCGCTTACCATGGGAATTGCTTGCCGTTCTTGTTAAAATCGGGAGACACAATGTAACCAACAGATTCATCGGAAGTTGCGTACAGCACCAACAAAGGTACTTTAAATTTGTTACGTTCGCAACTACAGCACAATCTCTTAACAGAACATATTGCCATAACAGCTAACGGTGCTGATAGATAGTTCTGAGAACACATAGCAGCTCTAGAAATAAGCCTTTTCCTACACCAAGACACTGGTGATCCATGAACGCCGCTGTCGCCCAGGCCGAATGCAGGTATCATTCAGCGAAGTACCGTGGAAGGGGCACAGACCAGCCAAGATAAGAGATACATATGGAATACGTCATTAGTCTAATACATTAATCAAAGTAAACATTAACGTGCAACGTGTTGCGGAGTATCATGAAAGCACAGTAAAGCCACCCCAGAACCACCATGATCTATCCCCAAACGCCATTTCATCGCTATTAGTATCCAGACTGAGCAATATATGCTGTCATCTCTCCTACAACCTGAACTTGGCGCTCATCTTCTTGGTGAACGCCATGTTGAAAGCCTGCCTCTTTGTTGTCACAATTCCATTGGGGACCAAGCTGGAGCAATCTTGGAGCTTGCTTGCGTCACTTCCGATGACAGCAAATCGATCCCAGGCACTCGTGAAAGCGGTAGACCAGCTGTTCGCATCTTCGGCAAAGTTAGACCAAGTGTTTGCTGTCTGCAGAGATAGTTAGTGACGGATCAGGTGAGAAAATCGACATAGCGAACACATACTTGTGTGGAATTTGACATGAGAAGATCGCTTTGAAGACTGTATGGGGCGGTGCGGTCCTTGGTCTCTTGGTAGAAGGTGTTGTCGTACTGGAAAGGTGTCGAGTCTAGACCCTTTCCGGCTTGCGATGGGTCGTCGTTGAACTGGACTGCCACACTGTGCGCACCCATGAGAGCAACCACATCGTCGGATGAGAAGCCCTTCGCAGCAAAGGCTCCCAAGATGCTGTCCAGGGTGCCACGGCTGCTGGGCACACTTCCGACAGGCGCGGCAATTGAACTGTCTTTGCGGCCGACCAGCGCTTGAACTTTGGGCCCGAGCGGGCACGCTGCGATTGCTTGTGCGCCGGCGAATTGGATCATGTCTGCGGCGCTGACTTTGTACTTGTCACTCCAGCCCTTGAGCTTCGTGCAGATTGCGGAGAGACCGGCGTTCTCTGATCTTCCACACTCGTCTGTGAGAACGAGACTACCGTCACAGCCATTGTTGATGCAGTCGTGGAAAGGAGCACGGAGGGCTTGGTGAGCATCCGCACCACAGCCAAGAAAGTCGGCTTGAAGCTCGGTGGCGACGGCAGACCAGACGGAAGGACAGCTAGAGCTTTGGCGAGGCCATAGAGAGAAGGCTGAAGTTGATGTCGCCGTAAGGGCAGCGAGGGTGATGGCGGAGTAACGCATGTTGGAGAAGTGTCGAAGGTCGTCTGAGGTAGTGTTGTGTTGGTCAAAGATTCGACTTCAACGACCTTAATGATACCAGTATATGAACGCAAGGCTATCGAATTTGGAAGAAGAAAGAAAGACGAGACCGTGCTGGACTGTTGAGACTGACACAACCAAAAGCTGAGAACCCCCAAAGAAATATATACTCAAACACCAACGTTCGCCGCTCTCAACGGCTGACCGTGAGATGGAGCGCGATCAAAATTAGACCGATGGTGATGACAGCCGTACCGACGCATCCGCGCAAACTGTAGGAAATTCGATAAACACTAAACAGCGATCTTACCCACCGGCAATCTGCAGTTCCTCACACTCTGCATCTCTTGTCTCCATTCTGACCGATTCGAGCCGTCTCCACTTCTAAGATCTGACGATTCCGGTCCATGGCATTGGTCGATAAGGGTTGTGTAAGCCGTTGGCGGCCTCGCGCTACATGCGACTTCCTGCCTAGTATCGCGCACCGGAACCCGTTCCCAGTTACTAATCTCGAGCTATAGCAAGGCCCGGACTCTGACAGGTGTGAAAGACGTATCTTCAGCACTGGCGCTGACAAGTGGCTCCAAGGTTTCGCGGTCGTGGAATGTTGATCTTGGCGCTTTGCTGTGTTGTTGTCGGTGCTCAAAATCCCCGACGTAAGATCGACAGCATCGGCGCAAGGGTGATCCACAGTATGTTTCCAGAAGCAGTGCATTCGTCGCACACTCTGCTCGGACCTCAGCATGGAGAGCCGAATTGGTTTTTCTGTCGTCTCGTTTGAGCGATGAGACTCTAAGTGCGTAGGTCCCGCCAGGAATGAGGGTCGTTGCTGACCTGGGCGAGGCATTTCGCGATACATAGTTTGACAAGACGTCAGGGCCCGCTCGGGGCCGCTACTTCACGGTTCCATAATTAGATTGGGTTCTACCAGCACTTCCATCTCATGCCGGCCCTGCTCCTTCATACAAAGACTCAGCCAGACCCTGGAAATTGAGTCGCCTATTCCCGAACACTCGGTATCGTGCTACCTGCGCATCTGAGATGCAGGCGGATGCGAGGCGTCCTGGCGGCAAAACCTTGGTGTTCCGGTCAGCGCTACCCCACTACCCACTCTTCAGAGCTCCGATGCATGCAGGCTCTCGCTAAATGTAGGAATGGTTGGAAGCGATGCAGATCGATGTGAGATCAAGCTTTTGTGTGGTGTCGGTAGCGTTGTGGAGCATCTGCATGTTCGTGCAGACATCTCGCTCGGTGATGTGTGCCGAATGGAGGCTATCATCTTAGTCAGTGGCGACTCACCGGTGTCTAGATCGTTCACGAACGAGCGGGAAGCAAATGAGTCGGGATAGATTAGATTGTGAATTGTATAAGTCTTTGGAGGAATGCGGAATAGTCTAGCCCCGTAAGCACGATAGCAAACAGTTGGATTCTTTCCATTTCAGTTTGATGGATAGAATTCATTCGTACACGTATGCTCTACACAGGCAGCCCATCGTCAGAGATTGACATCGACAAACCGTACTAGACCCGCACAGTACTCTCGGTTGACGATCAGAGATCAACTCCGACGTTCAGGTCACAGCCCGCAGCGCCTTCACCTCGAACTGGTCGATCCCATCTTCAGCTCAACCATTTCTTACTTCATGCCATCCTTGTCGTGCGTCAATTTCCGCCTCTTCAAGACTGCCGCTTCCTGTTTCGTACGAGGAGGTATTTGCCACCCGTCTGCATCCACTTTCACCACGTCTGTGTCGATCTCGATTATCTCATGGTCTTCGATCTCATGAAACCGCCCTGCGGAATGGGTTGCCGCTGTGGGGACTGGGGAAGCAACTTGCTCAGTCCTGGACTGCAATGCCGCCTTCGAACCCGTTCTTCCACTCATGAAGCCCATCTCTTTCTCGAGAATCTCAACCTTCTTCTTCAATAATTCGTTGCCCGCCTTGTACAAGAATATGTTCAGTTGCTTAGCAGCGAGTTGGCCGTCGAGCTTCTTCCCAACCAGCTTCTCCGCGAGTCCAATGAGCAACCGATCATTGTCCCTGCGGCACGACCTGACAAGTTCTGTCACCTGCTGCAAGCTCATTGCAAGCTGACCGGCGTCCATAATGAACTTATCAGTCAGGTGCTGGACATACTCTGGGGCATGTAGAGTGTGAACGCAGATGAAGCGGATGCATGTCTCGATCGCGAAGCTTGCTCTGGCAAGAGGCACAAGTGCGGGTGTACACAGGGCCGTAAGCCACTGTGAGATGGTAACAAGAGCGGCTTCATGGATCTTGATCTGAGCTTCGCGCATCTTGCCCTTCCCAGTGACGAGTCTTACCTGCCCAGTTTCGCCTCGCAGCTGTACTGCGGGTACATCGAAAGTGAAGTTGATTGCTGGTGCGCGAGGGTGCTTGACGAGGAATGCGAGCGCCTTTTGAGACACAGCCATCGAAGCAAAACGGGGCGCTGAGCCTACGCGACGACCATAGATTGTGAAGTCGATGAGCCCACCGCGAAGTAGCGAAAAGCGCATCATGGGGTTCCATTTGGTCACGTCGACAGGATTGGCTTCAAGCTGTTGCAGAAATAGGCAGACATCGGCCCTGGAGAGTTGAGATGCAGGTGTCATGTTGACCGTGGCCGGTACGGTTGAGAAATGTATCGAGTCGTGTTGCTTCCGGATGCGTTAGATCCAAAACATCACTCAGTTGCGCTGTGATAGTAGTGGATTGAGTAGACATTGATGAACGACAACGCAAGAATGGAGTGGTGCATTCGGTGACCGTGGGTGAGTCTCTCATTCACTGGGTACTGTGGTACTGACTCTGACCAATGACAGACCAGCGTGCTGATGAGGGTCAACGGAGCCACTGTCTTGGGAGCTCGGAGCGTCCGTTTCAGTATCGTAGGCGGTGATGAGATCACTCAGCATATCGGTCATTGCACGATGTTCTCGAGCCACGTCCAGACGTCGGGTTGGATGGTCTGCTCCTGACGCCGAACTGAGGCGCAAATGTTCGAGCTTCCCGCATTCCTTCAGAGCGTATAATACTGACGACCAGGTACCAGTCACAAGACGAATGTCAGAGAATACAGCTCGTCGTAACGTCGCGGACTGGCTTCTGACAATGGCAACTAGATCCTCTCCATGCAAGGCGCAGAACATGAGTTGTAGTATTTCAAGCTTGAGGCAAGCGCAAGAAGCGACCATGTTGTGAATGATGGATGCGGCATAGTTAGTCCGATCTAGACTCATTGTGAAGTTTTTCATCTTTGGTGCAGTGGCAATGATATCGGCGATCCCATTCTGCCAACCGGGAATTCGAGAAATGCCCTCGTAGACGGTCAAAGCAGAGATCGTGAGAACTTTGAGATGCGAAAAGCGATGCTGCAGCGCCTTGAGTGATTGCGCGGGTATTTGGAGTGCCGAGAATGGTAGAATGGCTTCCTTGTGTAGCGCAGTCCCACGCTTGCATTTGGCCATACGAAACTCGCTCAGACGGATCTCGCTGTGAACGATGGCGTCTATGACGACCTGAAAGCATCTACTACGAAAGAGGCAATCGTTTGCTGAAAGAAGAGCGCGGGATTCCGCGAGCTGGGATCCCCTCGGATAAAAGTGAATGGCCGTTAGGTTGGTGAAGCCTCGCAACGCTCGAACAAGAGCTTCATACAATCGGGTCGGATATTCGCTTTCGACAACATATGTGAATGTAGGTGCCTCGTCCTTGATGTCTTTGTCTTGGATACCAGGTACCCTGGGAAATCGTTTGGGTGGCGGAAATCTGCCGACACGGCTGATGGCAGCGAGCACACTGTAGTCACCTGATGTCAGGAGCTGGATCTGGAGGACTTTGACAGCACTACGGAGATGCGGCGACTGTGCCACGTTGACGAGACGATTGAGAGAGGGTAATCCAAGAGTAGTCTTTAGCCGAGAGAAAGCGTGTTCTACGAATACAGAATGGGTGAGGAAGCGACATCTCGTGGATGCTAGACGAAGAGTTTTGTAACATGAAAGATCAAGAGTGGCAGCAACGAGCTCGAACAGCTCGACAGGAAGACGTTCTAAGTGCGAAGTCATGATGACATGCTGACTGGAAGCTGGGCTGTGAATCAAGGATGTTGACGGGCGATGGGTGGCTGTCAGGGCACTAGGCCGGAGCTAAGAACCGTGATAGCGTCAACCCCGCGAGTCCAGGAGCAGCGCACGACCTCAATCCAGCGAGCGACGAGAAGCCACGCTTCTTCCGAGTGAACATCACTGTGGTTCACTTTGTTTGCTTCATCTTACTTTTTTTCTTCCACCACGCTTCCCATCCCGGTTGCATCGCCTGCGGGTGCCGAACACCGGCCACAACACAGTGGAGCCCGACAAAGATTTGACACAACCGCACCTGCCGCCAACAGCTCCTACAACCACCATGGACTCGATGCGCAGCCTCAACAAGTCGCTGCCCAAGACGAGAGGGCAGCACGACGTGCACCAGTCCTTCCGCACCGCTGCCCTGAATGTGACGCACCTCTACAAGTCAGCGCTCGCCGACATCGACAGGGCCCGTACCGACGGCTACCAGGAAGCTCTCGATGAGCTGCTCACCTTCCTCGACAAGGAGAATATTGGTGTGGGCGACGGAGAGGGCTGGCGAGTACGGCAGTGGGCGACGGAACGACTAGACGGAAGTTTGCCCAAGCAGACGAGCAGCGACAGCGACGACGAATACCTCGACAACAACCGCGCCAGAAGCTCATCACCCATCATGGATCGAACCCACAGCATGGAAGACTCACGCACGCTGGCACCCACGGCGATTACGGAAACACGCTCTGACTCTGCGCCGCCCCTCCAGATGGAAGCTTCTACGACCGAGGCGGACATGTCGCCGCTGCACCACATCTTCGAATTCTCTGCAGCCCAAGCTCTCCCGTCTGAATCGCCAAACGAAACCGCCGTCGCCGACATGTCAGCTGCTGCCCGCCGCGCTTTCCCTGCTTCTCGCCGCCCAACGAACCGCTCGTCTACCCGAAACCTCCAACGATCCGCCGCTCAGAACCTCTTCCAGCTAGGCAACGGCGCAGGGCAAAAGAGACGACTCATGAACGACTTCTTCAACGTTGATGGCTTCAACGACCGGCGAGACGGCTCATCAGGCGGAGGATCTAAGCGCGGCCGCATGTCATAGCACCGCAGCTCGAAGCCTGAGGACCTGTTATCGACCTCCAGGCAATGACACGAACGGCTGTTCGACGAATCACGACTACTTGCATCATACCCAGACGGCGCACAGGGCTAGTGGATCATTTTTTCATACGCATTGGGGGAGGCTTACTAGACGCATTCTGTGGTGTTATTGATTTTGGTGGCTATATACCTTTTCGCATTTTCTACGGGGTGGGATATCATTTGGGGGTGGAAGTAGATAGCGGTTTTTTTTTTGGGGAGGGTTTGGTGTGAATAACATTTGTACACATCCTCAAATGTTGTATGCCACACGCTGCGTCTCATGCCGTTCATGAAGGCGTGACTCCCAAACGCCGATGCATGCCAAAGTTTGTACTTATGTCTTTCCGCCTATAATAAACATTCCAGGCTTGTGACCTTCGAGCATTTCCTTATACCCCTCTCATCATGCAAACCACCGATATAACCCCAGGCCCACCATGACAGCGCTCGTTCCTGTTATTGCCATCCCCCTACTCCGCATCCCGAACATGCTTTTGCTGGCTCGTATCGCGGCTTCGTTGGCTTTGATCTGTGAATGGCCCGAGACGTACGTGAAGGCGCCGAGGCCCAGAAACGTTGCGCTTCCTAACAAACAGTCAGTACTGAGGTAGAATCAGTGTGTTCTAGGGTACAATACCGACTACGCGACACGGAGTGCAATCTTCAAATTGCGCTCTGTCATTCTTGAGAGCCTCTTTGAAGGTCGGAGCGGAAGGAGGCGGCAGTGCCATGATCGCAACGCTAGACAGACAGCCCAGCGACTAACTCAGATGCAACACTCTGACTCGACCTAGATATCGTGTAAAGATCTTGCGATCAGAAGTCTGGATGACATGCTAGCTATGCAGGGATCTTTCTAGCTCCGGAAGCTCCCCGCCCAAACTGCCCCACGACGCGGACCTCACGTCTTCCCACGCGCATGGCTCGCAGCTGACATTTCCCACCATGAGCGCAATAGAAGCTCTCTACATCTTTGATGAGCACAAGTAAGACTCGACTACTTCAGCGATTACGCCATCCATCTCTAACTTCTTCAGCACTCCACTCCTCGAACACACATACCTCAACCGCCCGCCTCCATCCTCCGTCCTCCTGCCTCTCTATCTCGCGCATCCAGCCCCCCGGCCACCGCTGATATATCTGCCCAACACCAATCCACCGACGCTGCTATACAGCATAATACAAGACCAGCTCCTGTTTCTGTGCCCGGCATCGGCAGACACTGATCCTCTCGCCGTCCTCACCTTCCTCCACCGCCTGACCGACGTACTCGAAGACTTCCTAGGGTCACCACTACTGGCGAGCAAGATCGAAGGAAACTACGATGTCGTCGCGCAATTACTCAGCGAGATGGTGGATGGCGGAATCATCGCGAACACAGAGCCAAACGCGCTGAGAGATGTTGTCGAAGCGCCGAATCTACTCAAGAGTCTACTGGGAGGGGTGGGGCTGCCATCTTCAACACCGAGCTCACTTGCGCCTTCTGCCACCGGGGCATTTGGTCTAGGCGGTGGAAGAGCAAGCCCGCGATTGGGACCGTCACCGAGCTCGAGTCAGACAGGCTCACCGGTGCCGTGGAGAAGAGCGAACGTCAGGCATACGAGCAATGAGATGTATGTGGATATCGTAGAAACACTAGAGGTCACCTTGTCACCATCTGGTCGCCCCCTAGCCGCTATGGCGAATGGCACCATTGCCTTTACGGCCAAGGTCTCCGGAATTCCAGATCTCATACTACACTTGGGATGCGCCGGCGGCATACAGAACGCGGTCTCACTCCCCGTCTTCCATCCCTGCGTCAGACTCAACCAGTGGAAAGCGAGGCCAGGTGAACTCTCGTTCGTACCACCGGATGGTCGCTTTGTGCTTGCTGGGTACGAAGTGGACCTGCTGGGCTCTGCAGCACCAGATGCCTTCTCCACAGAGAAGAACGCAAAGACCGCAAGTCCAAAACTAAACATACCAGCTACAGTATCCGTCCACCCCTCCCTCGGCCCGACCGGCACAGACTTCGAAGTCAAACTTCAACTCAACCCACGCTTCACCGGAAACAAGCCCTCCCAACCCAGCGCGGCGAAAGCTAGCCTGGGACGCGTGTCCTCTTCCACGGGAACCACGTCCGCCCCCGCGATCGAAGAAATGACCATCCACATTCCACTCCCAGCATCCGTCAGAAACGTCGCAGATTTACGCGTCGCGCGCGGAACAGGAGATGCAGGCTACGCGCCCGGAGATAGAGCAATAGAGTGGCGCATCAGCAGTCGTGACATAAGCAATCTCATGTCTCAAGACCGTGGTGGTGGAGTCGGTGCGACGGCTACATTGCGCGGGACTGTTATCGGCCAGGATGACCCATCTGCGGAGGATGCCTTGGACGCCGGAGGACCTGTATCGTTCGCGACGTCGACATACGATTACGACGATGATCAGGGCACACAGGTCTCTTTACCTGCGCCTTCATCGTCCAGCGTACCCAAGCCGGATAGCGACGCGAAGATCAAACAAGCAAACAAAGTCCTCATGCCGAGCTGTGCGACCATTAGCTTCTCCGTCAAGGGCTGGCTGCCGAGTGGGATCAAGGTGGAGAGTCTGAATGTAGATCAGAAGAAGAGCAAAGGTTTGGGCAGTGGTGTCACGCCATACAAGGGCGTCAAGTATCTTTGTGTGAGTCGGAAGGGTGTGGAATGTAGATGTTAGAACATACGCTTGGCTGTGACGGAACCAAAAAGACAAACAGCTTCACATGAGACACATGCACAAGTCTGATGCACAACATGAATCACGTACGAAAGGTGTTTGTGTCCATCCATGTCATTACCAACTATTACTACCTCACATTCGTTGTGGTGTTATGATACACCCAGACATCCCATACTGTCTTATCAATGGATCAAGCCGACGCTCTATGTACCCTTGTTTTCGCTGCAGGTGCAAGAAACTGCAGAGAAGACAATGCTCCCGCTCACTTGAACGCATCGGAACGCGCTCGCTTCGTGGAAGTCGTAAAATCATCTGTCTTTTTTGCACGGCGTACTCCGTCCCTCCCTCCCGTACATCGTGTCATGTCTCTAGGCTGACCTAGTGGAGAGTAGTGAACAACGCCTCACCAGCCGCCGGGGCAACGGGCTTGTTTCCTGGCGCTGGAGTGACAGGCTTGTGGCTCGGTGCCGACTGTCCACGGTTCCCACCCTTGCCGCCAACGCCGCAGCTGCGCTCGTTGCTCCCACCACGCGTACTACCCTCGGGTGAGTTCCAGGTCTTGCGTGGACGGCCTCCGATGCGCTTCTCAATCTTCTCCGCCTTGTCCTTCAGTGACTGATGCTTGGCCACCAACTTCTCCAAATCGGCCGCACCCTTGGTGTTGCCAACCTTCTTCTGGTTGACAAGGTTGTGAACCAGGCAGTCAAAGACCGGGTCGTTCTCCGGGTATGCCAACTGGCAAAGAAGGTCCATGAACTCGAACGACACATCCTGGGCGCGGATACGGTCGCAGAATTGCTTGGTGAACTGAGCCACGTAGGTGTTGTTGAGACCTAAGACACGGGCAGCGCGGCAGATATGCAAGTTCTTCTTGTCATATACCGTCTCAGTCTGCAGTCGGACAGAGTAGACCCTGCTCTGATACGTCATCTCGTCCATCCACTTTACGTGCGCCGTCGCAGCATCCGCGTCCATTGAACCGGCGGGAAGAACCCAAGAGGTCGCATCGGGGTTAGCAGTAAAGTGCTTGTAAGCCTTGCCTGAGCACTGCATTAGGACATACTTGGGAATAGTGGCCAGTTTGACCTCTCCAAGCTTGATAATGACCTCGGGACCGTTGCCGAAGACGACGCGCTGCCCATGCGGCATGTGACGAATGTCAGCCGAGGGGTTGAGCTCTGGCATGGCACCCGTCTTGTCGCGCGCCTGTCTAGATGAATGACCCCAAGGTGTGGTATGGCCATTCAGCTCGGCCACGGGCGACGATGGGCGCGGAGTCTTCGCAGCAGTCGACACGACTGGCTTCTTTCCGTACCTCGACATGTCAATGCCAAGGGTCAGGGTCTTGGGCTTCGGGGTCGGTGGAACGACCTTCAGTGTCTCCTTGGTCACGAACGTGGGAAAATGGGAGGTTAGGAGGGCTGGACCGCTAGTGTTATTGGCCACTCCGGTCTCTTCGGACTGTTTAGTGATGACGGTCGCGGGCTTCTCATCCTGGAGGCCCTCAGTCACGGGAGGATCGATGATCACAAAGCTCTCTGAACCAGAAGCCACCGATGCGGTTTCCTCGGCCTTGATATCCTTCTCAGTAACGACATCGGCGCCATTAGACTTAATGCTCTCCGATACTTCGTTCTTGCGTTCATCCTCAGTGGTCACCTCGTCGTTCGTGGGGATAGGGACTAGTGCGGCCGACTCCTGCTCGAAGCTGCTAATGGCCGCAGCCTTCTTCGCTTCCTCAAGGTTACCAATTGTCGAAACCTTCTCTTCTAGCTCAGCCTTCAGGTTCTTGATCTGGTTGTCTTTCTCTCCAGCCTCGCGCAGAAGCTCCTGGTTGTGAGCGAGCTGATCGCTATTCACCTTCTTGAGCTTCTCAATCTCAACATCCTTCTTTTGAATCTCCGTCTCGAGATCGCCGACATGAATATCCTTGTCTTGGACTGCGCCTTGCAGCTCCGCAATTCGAAGCGCCTTGGTTTCCACCAGTGCGTCCAACTCCTTGATGCGCTCCTCTTTGAGGGCAACAGTGGTCTCGAGAGCGGCGATCTTGGGGTCTTGGCTCATGAACTCGGTGATAAAAGTGGTATCATCATCGTCCTCGTCGGCCCAGTTGGTTCTCTTGCCAACAGCGGCCTTTGGGTAAAGACCAATCGATGCACCGCTGGTGGTCTGGCCGTTAGTCATGCCCTTCAGTACGAGACCCTTCTTCTGTTGAGGGTCTGGTTTAGACTTGGCCGGCGCTTCTGCGATCTTGGGGTTCCGAGAGTCTGCGGACTTGATCTTGCTACCACCAGCAGCCCAGAAGGAAGGAGCTGTCGCCATCTTGTGCGATCGCTTGGCGAATGGGGTCCGATTCGGGGTTGGGGCGCGGTTCGTGACGTGTGCGGGAAGAGGTGAGGGCGAAGCTCGCTTGATCGACACTAATCGCCTAAGGAACGCTCAAATAGCGCAGGTTCGACAGAGAATTTTGGCTGTTGGGTCTCTAAAACGCAAGAGCTGTAGCTGTGCAGTTGAGGAGCGAGCGTGGGGAGAGTAAGAAAAAAGGTGAGGGAGGGCCGATCATGTACAAGAGAGGGTGCGGCTAGCAAAATTGAGAGGTGCGTGTGAAGGCGGAAGTGTGCGAGGCGAGTCCAAGCTTTTCGTGGTGTTGAGGGTCGAGTGAAGACAAGGAAAGAGCGCCACACGATGGAAATTTCGACAGAGAGCAGGCGCAGTCGAGCAGTCGAAAGCTGAACCTAGATTCACCGCGCATGTGGACAAGCATTCTACCGCTTCCAAAACCGTTCACAGTTCCAGGCAAAGCATAGTAGCGAAGCATTTACGTGCGCTGATATTTGAGATGAAGAACCTCTGATAGGACGAGAGAACGGATAGACGCGTTTTCCATGTGACTATCCGCTTCAAGGATGTAATCTCCATCCAATTCCAAGATAATCGCTACAGTGAACCAAGACGCTCACTGAGTGAAGGAGTGGTAGCACATATACGCTTCCTTGTATGCACACAGCCATGATGCTTCAACAACACAGTCTCCCTGTGCACTCCAAGTCCAGATTCGACGGAACTCGGTCTTCACTCTCCATCTCTTTCCATGGCGCCTCATATCTTCATTCACGCTTTCGTTATCTTGGAATGCATCAGTTTCCTTCATTCGGCATTGCAGCGCGCTCGTTGGGTGTGGAGGATAGGCCGGGATCGCCGGGGCGAGGTTCACTGAGGACGTGTCTTCACTATAACACATGCCGGAAACCCATCATTGCGATGTGTTGTCAGGATAACCAATGCAGTAATCGCGAGCTCATCTTCACAATGTTGTTTGAGGTGTGAAGGGATCATGCGGAAGACGACGCGACAGCCCTGCAATCCCCGCATCCGAAGTCCGAACTTGTCAGCCAATGGGAGTTCAAGGAAGTCTACATACACCTGTATCTCTTGCATCGATGGCAACTGTTTCTATAAGATTACACCATGTCTCGTCTCGTTTCTCAAGCATTGTACTGCTGCAACTGTCTCCGAGACCATCCTGAGTGTCAAACCAGTCCGCCACCATGACGACTCAAGCCCGCAACCTCTTCCACCACCTACCTCCGCCAGCGGAATGCCTCGCGCTCTTCATCGCAACCCTCGAAATCGTCCCTTTCGGAATAATAGGTCTACGTGACCCCTCCTTCTTCGCCGATGGCTACGGTCTTCCCATCTCAGCCGAGTCCGACACATCGCCTACATCCGCAAAACGCTCCAGCAATACCGAAAGCACCTATGACGAGGATCAAAAGACCAAGAAAGCCCTTGTAGCAGCGATAGCAGCGCGCAACGTTCAAAATGGCGTTCTCTTAGCAGTCTTTGGTCTGGTACTGCGAGACAGGAGGAGCTTGGGTGTTGCGGTTATGGCAGGATTGGTCGCAACCATCGCGGATACCGTGATTGTCAGCGCGTATGGAGCGAAGGACAAGATCGCGGGTCACTATGTTGGCATCTTCAACAGCTTGGCGATTGGAGGGAGCTTGCTGTACTGGGGAAGGAACGATCCGCTGTGGTAAATCTACGGTCGAAGGAGCACGGGGAATGGAAGGCGGGAATCGGGTACGATGAGCCGGCAGGATGAAGCGAGGTGTAGACATGAGTCGCGGGGGGTTTCCTAGCGTCAAAGACAAGCCGCCACCATGCAGGCAGCAGTTCCCATCCTTCTCCCTTCTCCTTCCATGTTTCTCACATCTTTTTTGTACTGACACTCGCAATGGCATGTAAGCACACCGTTCTGCAACTAAACTCCTCGCCCTTCGCAGAATTAGCTGGATATGAACAGCCAGATGCCGCAGCACGTGCATCAGCAGAAACGACGTCTGGAAGAGCGCCGAAGAGTGTCAAGGATCATTCCATCGGAACATTTCCCGCTCCCCTAGTTCTACCTCACGACGATCTCAACTATGATCCAGATTCTTCACCGCAGAGTACGAAGGAATGGCTGAACGAGGAGTGTAGAAACAAAGTATTGTCGACGACAGGAAGGAATAAGTTGTATGTAGTCGAAGTGCCTGGGATCAGCAAAAAGGCGGACTTTATGAGGCACTGGGTAGTACCAACCGGTTGCGATGAATTGAAAGGCGAGGGTAAAGCCGGACCATCTCCATCTGCGGATCACTTCGTCGACTATCTCACCGCATTTTATCACGATATGCCTGTTCGCCTCTTCCCTACTGCATTGACCTGGACATCATGGGGGTCCAATACCAAGTCCGCCAAGGGTTGTCGAAGCGCCGCTCTGCCGAAGTACATAGGTCTATCACATGGAGATCGGTGTACCAGAATCCGCGTCCGCCCTGCGCCGGACACTGCTTTCCCTGCTCAACTGAATCTAGACGACATCCTCGACACAGCAATCTCAATTCTCCCTGCTGACGCTTATGCAATGGTCATTCTAGTTGACCACGACATTTACGAGTCTGACGATGACGACTTCTGCTGTGGCAGGGCGTATGGAGGCAGTAGAGTGGCAGTTGTGCAGACTGCGCGATATAACCCGGCTTTAGACGAACGAGAAGGAGACGAGATCGATAGAAGCCACATGTGGCCGTGGAGTCATTGTAAGACCTTCGTCGATGACTTGTGTGCTGTGGAGGATGTGAAAGCCAAACCTGCAACGAAGAGACAGAAAGAGTCAAGCAAGAGTGGAGCGATGAAAGCGGCTATCCAGGCTGCGACAACCTATAAGCCTACATCAGAGGTGCAAGAATACCAGGCACTTTGGTTCTCACGTCTCGCGCGTACAGTATCACATGAGTTAGGACATTGTTTCGCGGTCGACCATTGTGTATACTATGCATGTAATATGCAGGGCACAGGTAGCATGAAGGAAGATGTAAGACAACCGCCATATCTATGTCCAGTGTGCGAGGCAAAGGTAGCACACGCTATTTCTGGAGAGATGAAGGGTGGTCGCGAAGACGAGAAGAAAGAATGGGTCAAGCAGAGGTGCCAGGCTTTGAGGCACTTCTGCGAGAGGTTGGGAGATAAAGGCATGGATAGCTCGATGTGGCAGGGCTTGGACGGGTGGTTGGAAAAGAGATTGGAAATATGGAGGATCAAATAACACTTCAATTCAACACAGGCTGCTCGATCATGTTTGTTACGTTACACTCGTTGATGCATACACGAGGTAGTATCAAACTTCCATAGTAACGACACTCCCGAGGTCAGAAGCAGATATTGATCATGGTACATGTCATTGCGTGCCGCTTCAGATGACACTTACGACAGCTCACAGAGACGCAGCAGAAGACGAAACTTTGTTCCCTCTCATCCGGTTTGGCGAAACGCGGACATCTCAGCCAAGTAATCCGTTCGCTGGAGAAGGATAAGATCGGCGTATGAGCTTCCGCAGACGTGGTTCAATAATCCCGGATTGCTCATCTAGGTTAGTACTATGGCTCACAAAGAGCCCGTTGTCCATTCCGAACGAATGGCAATGGCTCAGAGACATGCCATCCTGCACACATAACATGCGTTGGTGGTTCAGTGATGTGTGTTGACGCACGCGGGAAGTGTGCCCCTCATTGCCCCACCATGTCCCAACACATGCACCTACATTGAGCAATTTACCCATACATGACCTCAGCAGATGATATGAGAAGTAAAGTATAAGTAGCTGGCTCTAGCCGTGACTTCGAACTGCATCCTCAATTGTTCCTCGACTCTCTCCGATCGCACATATTCAGCTTACACCAACCCGATCCAATCCAATTTGGTACGATGCTATCGTCGAACCAGCAAAGCGAAGCCGACTCGGCTCCGCTCTTCGCACACCAGAATTCCATCTCAGTCAAGTAACAGGTGCCCAGCATGGCATCATCAGGTACCCATCTCAACCATCAGAAGCAAAGCATGGCGGGTGTTCAAGTCACCAGCGATTTAGATCCCTCCCCGGGATCTGGTCGTTGATGGCTTGTTCTGAGATCATACCGTTCAAACTTGATCTGGATAATTCCAGCGCGAAGGACTATTGCTGCTTCATGATGACCCCTTCCCCACTATGTTGGCGTACTGACTAGCTCAGCTTCTGCACTCAAGTCAAGATGTCGACTGATAAGATCACCTTTTTGACCAACTGGTGCGCTTTGCAGCTAGATTAAGTGAAGGTTATGCTGACGGTGAACAGGCACGCTACGCCATACCACGCTCCCCTCTACCTTGCTCAGAGCAAGGGATACTTCAAGGATGAAGGCATCAAGGTCGCTCTGCTCGAGCCTAATGACCCCAGTGTATGGTCGATACTCGCGGTTTGACCACATGAGCTAATCATACTAGGACGTCACTGAGATTATCGGATCTGGCAAGGTCGATCTCGGTTTCAAGGCGATGATTCACACGCTCGCCGCCGCCGCTCGTGGCTTTCCTGTCCAGTCAATTGGCTCTCTTCTCAACGAGCCGTTCACTGGCGTCGTATACCTGACCTCGTCCGGCATTAGTCCCGATTTCACCACCCTCAAAGGCAAGAAGATCGGCTACGTCGGCGAGTTTGGCAAGATCCAGCTCGACGAGCTCACCGCACACTACGGCATGTCGCCTGACGACTACCAGGCCGTCCGTGTTGGCATGAACGTGACCCGCTCCATCATCACTGGCGAAATCGACGCCGGCATCGGTCTCGAAAACGTCCAGATGGTCGAGCTTGAAGAATGGCTCGTCAGCCAGAACCGCTCGCGCGATGAAGTGAAGATGCTACGCATCGACGAGCTCGCCCAACTCGGCTGCTGCTGCTTCTGCAGCATCCTGTACATTGGTAATAACGCTTTCATCGAGCAGAACCCCGAAAAGGTCCGAGCCTTCCTCCGCGCATGCAAGCGCGCGACTGACTTCGTCCTCGCGTCTCCTGATCAAGCCTGGGAGGAGTTCTGCAACTTCAAGTCGGCTATGAACACGCCTACCAACCGTAAGATCTTCGAGCGCAGCTTCGCGTACTTCAGTCCCGATCTTCAGAATGTTCAGCGTGACTGGGAGAAGGTTACTCGTTATGGCAAGAGGCTTGGCGTATTGGATGACAGCTTCAAGCCCAACTACACGAACGAGTACTTGGCTTGGGGTTTGGAGGAGGAGGCTGACGACCCCACTGGTGATCAGAAGAGGATGGTCGAGCTGCAGGAGGGTGTGAAACAGCATGGAGGATTCAAGCGACTTGAGACCATGGCTGGCAAGACCGTCGTTGGCGCTGCTGCCCCTGCCGCTTGATCCGTCCCTGGGCACTCGAATTTGGAGATGCAATCATTAACTCCATCTCAACGCGTCGGAGATCTTTGGGCTGCCGTTCAATTGTCAGCACAATCTCGACATGAAGAATGAAATTGTCACTCGCTCAGGATCTCTTCACTGCCCAGTGTACGTCGCTTCTGTGATGCCAGTAACAAACTGTTTATGTAGTGTACCAGGGCTTAGGCTCATCAAAATCAGAGGAGCTCTGACAGGATCGGCAGCCAGACCAGCATCTCCGGCCACCAAGTAGATCAGTGAATGGCCATGCAGAGGTTCAAGGATTTCACAGTCACGCCATATGAGCCATATCTGTCGTGTGAAATTACGCAGAAGATTGCGAAGAGTTGGGCGATCTGTAAAGCGGCATCTCGTTGTCAATAGCGGTGCAGGAACGGTACTGTTGCTCACGACCTCGGGATTGCGCAGTCACAATCACGTGCCTTCCCAAATACCGCGTCCGGTAAGCTTCGTCTCACAGCGACTTAAGTTTCCAGTCGCCACCCAGTCGCTTTACCCTCACAACAGATCACAGCTTCCAACTTCCCGAATGCGTCTCGCATATCTTGCCAGGCGCAAACATCACCAAAACGGGTACGACCATCGCGGAATTGAACAAGCTCACGTCCTTCACAGCCCTCACCGCACTAGAGACTACAGGTGACGGATAATCCTTCTAGTTATCTAGACTCTCATTCCGGACGAAGGATTCTATTTTCTTTCCACATGGGAAGCTAGTGCAATATACCTCATCTCTCTCACCTGGGACCCTTGGATCGTGATAAACCAAACCTTGTCGTCTTTCTAGCTCCATCCTTCCTACACCATCGCAATAACATCTCTCATCAATAGCTGTCCATCTCTATCATTACTACTCCCAAAACAATCCCAACACAACAACAAATGGCCGACAAGATGCCAAACATCGAAAAGAAGATGGCCGCTTGCTACGAAGATGTGAAAGACTACCGCGTAAGAAGCAAACAACGAGTCATGCCTGGGATTAACATTAATGTGAACAGCCGGGTGAAGACCCAAAGGACTACGTCTTTTGTGATGCCTCTAAGCGCATGCTTGTCGCCAAGGACCCTGATACGGGCAATGAGATCTGGATGGGTGTACACATCAACAAGCCGTCAGCCGAGGACTACTTCAAGTTGAAACCATCTTGTTACAACTCCTCGAGCAAGGGCGAGCAGTCCAAAGTATTCGTGGCAAAGAGAATCAACGAGGACCATTTGTTCAGCGGACTGCCGAGAAATAAACGGTGGATTCAGAACGCGATCAAGATTTACAAGCACAAATACCGAGACTGCCTTTCGGAAGAGCTCGTAAAAGAGCAGAACAAACTGGAGAGGAAGCGAGCCAAACCAGCCAGGACTACTCAACCGCAGCCCGAGAGCATCATGAGCATGAAGAGCACCAAGATCACCAAGAGGAGACAGCCCAAAGTCAAGATCACCGGGCCAGAAGGGTTGCTCTTCGCCTTTGGAAGGGACGTCTCCGCAAGGGACTTCAAAACCATCGCAGCCGAGATGGCCAAGGCACTCAAATTCAAGACAGCACCCCCGACACGTGTCCTCTCGGACATGAGAGGCTTTGCGAGAAAGAAAGGATACCCTGTCTGGGCTGCGCCCTGCTGGGAGGAGTGGCTGCACAATACGCGACAAGAGCTATCTGAGGCGGCTGCTGTCGATGTCAACGCAACAAAAGAAAACAAAGATGACGCAAGAAACCGGATGAAGTTCGAGCCCATTGCCAATCATCCGAGAGTCGGTCGACCATGTTGCTTGGGTCCTCCCTCCGCCAAGTTGCGCGTCCGGGTACAAAAGATCCGAGCAATGCTGGCGGAGAGGAGGAAGAAACTCTCAGGTTCCGCTTGAGGGCAACAGACAACGATGATGGTCAGGCCCCAACGAGCTCTTGACGACGAGAATATATTTTGCATTCATGCCTAGGTGGAGTCGAACAGGACGTAAGAAGAACTTGCATAGTAGGAGAGGCAAGAAAAGCGTGTCATGTTCTTACATATGACTATCTCTTTATCAGACTTAGCATGAAATTTATCGGAACAGCTCCCTCTCCATTGTGATTTCCTTTTGACTCCAAGAGATTGCGCTTGACTTGTTGGACGCAACAGATACTCCTGACTACAATGCTTTTGAATCTGTGATCGTGACCACAGCCCAAGCGACCGCGTCAAGCGCGCTTCGAGCGCTACGTTACGCATTCGCGCACGTTTTCCGTTATTGTCACACATCTTGCTCGGCGGCATATTGGCTAATCTGGATTGAAAGGCGACGGGGACCCACCCCGAGGCCGAGAGCTGTCGTGTTATGTATGAGCCATCGATTAGGCTTTGTGCGTAGATGTCGGCGAGATCAGAAAGTCCATTGCAGTGGCATCGGAATTTGATTAAAAATGGAATGCTAGAGCGTACTCTCGTTGCTTGTTTACGAAACATCAGATGTAGTTGACTTGCCCTTTCCGTGAAGCGATTTTATTAAGAACGAAAATCCCAAGTCCGCTGCCTAAGTACGATAAAGAACATCCCTCCCAAACACATAGAATGGCACCCGACAAAGAGACCTCCATGCTACACAACAAACGATTTTGCCATGCCGAAGCATGGCAGGTCAATTCAAATCCCCGCCACTGGTCAATGTCGTTTTCGATGAACTCCGCGATAATGCATTTTCCTTTCGTGATCCCTCTTTTTATCCCTACGATGAAAGGGTCGGCCGCCAATGGAACCACGTCCGCACGTTGGTTCGTTGCACCAGAATACAGGCTTATCGACTGCATGGAACTCGGTATAATGTCTTCTGAGCTCAGTGAGCCGACCAAAGGTTGGCGTACAACCCAGGTGTTGGCATCTGATGTCGCCGCTCAAGCGGATTGTACCGATGATGGCGTCCATACCGATATCGACATGAGGGGTCGAGACGAAACTGAGGTCCGGAACAGATGATTCGCTATTGCTGGCGGTGATCGGGGTGTGGTTTGCTGCGAACATGTCCTGCGTAGGGGTATAAGACTCCATTGTTGCCAACAACGGGGGTTCTAATGCGCTCAAAAGAGCCTCGGAAGCTTGCCTTCCAATGATTGCTTCATCATCCTCCAATGGGAGTGTAGGTAGCGTTGATAGGTATGTTGCCTGACTGCGTGAGTGTCAGTTCCTATTCCATGAAAAGAGTACCAGCGTCCGCTTACCTGAAGTCAGCTGAGAACCTTCCAGCGATGGGCGCTACATTGTTCCAAAAGCAGGTCTGTTCGTGAGCGCAATCACAAGCAGTGGCGCTTTGATGTGGAGCTTCTTCCAGCAACACATTCATCGACGACTCCATCTGCCGAGCGCCAAAGTTATTAGGGTGCATCTCAACGAAGGGAACCAGAGGATATGGACCAAAGGCGTATACCCCATCGCCCGCTGTGCCAGCATTAGGGCATTCAAAAGCTCCTGTAGATTTAGTGAACACAGTGCTATATGCTGCTAGTGTAGAGAAGAAGAAGAAAAAAGAAGAAGAAGAAAAAAGAAGAAGAAGAGAAGGAACAGAGCACCATGGGCCGTTGACTTCGACAGCACCTGGTCTTAGTTCGCGATGGCCACTGAAGTTGCGCTTGGGTATGCGGGGTGGCAGCCATGGCTTGGAAGGTAAAGAACAGCAGGAACTGATTGAGATATCAAACGTACCGAAAACGTCATCCTTATGACTGTGTGCATCTGGTCTGTTCAATTCGGCATCATCGCCAAAGGTTGGGCGACTCATGTCAGATTTAAAGACGACCATTGACAGACACTTGTCGTTGTTAATAGTGTGAGGGACTGGCGTTCCAGTCCAAGGGCTGGCTCGTGTTACGTATCACTGGAAGGTCGATGTAGAGTCGAGTGAGGAATACCACGAAGATGAGCGGCACTGCCTGCTTTTAAGGGCGAGAGTACTTATGTTGAGATTGAAAGTTGCCCTCCCCATTCGGATCGTCAGGGCTCAGGTTACGCAAACCGCGTCTTCCGGTTAGCAATTGACATCCCTTGCTGCTGCATTTCGGATACCTGCATTCATCAGCCCGTCCATGTTCATTAGCCTGCTGTCGCATCAGAAACATAGTAAATAAGGCTTCAGAAGGGGCCGCAAGGATCGCAGGGCTTGTAGTTTGCCGTAAATCCACCTGTTAGGTCGTATAAAGGACACAAGAGAAGATGCTGTGCAAAACACAACAAAATGACAGCTTTCGAGTCGTGATAGTCCATGCAACCCGGGACGGGTACACGCATACAACCGAGGCGCTAATGTATCATGTACGACTTTGACGAGCCGCACTGGTGTGGCCAAGACGTTAGTAGACGCACACCCCTACTAGATAGCGAGACTATCGACAGCGACTCTCACTGGGGCACTGCCTACATACCTGTTTCTGGTCTTCGCGCTCGGCATCTGGACTTCTATCGATCTTACTGCAGCAAATTTGGCGGCCTGCTTTCGATGACTGTCTCCGCATCTGCCGGCGCAGAGGGCAATATCGAAGCTGGGCTGAGTCCCACCACTCATCTAGACTAGCTGGATGGTCCAGCGCGGTGAACCGCGTGCGGTGTCGTGTAAGCGTGTTCCTCTCCCTTCGTAATTCCTCATGGCATGCACTACAGTGAAGCAGGTATGACTCGTGTATAGTTTACACTCATTGTATTATACTGCACACACACACGGTGCTCAGCACCAAACCAAGAGGAAAGAGGACATCGAAAGCCAACCATACCGGCTCCGATCCATGGGAAACCAATCCTCAAACGCCAAAGTATGCAGTTGAACCGTAAGCGGCCGTCGAAACCCGCGCCCTGATAAACACCAGTCAGGCCCTACACGGGCCTTGACATGCAACCGTACTCCCATCTTCTGCCATTACTCTTCCATTTTGTCGTTGTCGTTGTTTGCCTCCTTCGCAGGCTCTTTCAAGAACTGTGCGCGGAAGTCCGCGTTGCTCTTCGGCTCACCGTTCGTCGTTGTAGCACCTTTTGGTATGGTTGGGCGACCAAGACCGGGCTTGCCTCGTCCACGTCCACCGCGAGCAGCAGTAGGTCGGTTAACACGGCTTGGCTGGATGAAGCTGTTGCTCGCCTTCCACTCTCCTTTCTGCTTGTTGAGGTCCTGAACTGTTCCGATGCGCAGCTTCCTTCCCTCGAAGTCTTTACCCTCAAGTGCGAACTGAGCCTTACCAGCACCCTCGACGGTCGTGAACTCAATGATCGCACCACCATGATGAGGTTCGAGCTTGATCCTCTTGAAGCCATACTGTTCGACAAGCGGTTTGATGCGCACGTCAGGCACAGTGTCAGGAAGGTTGAGGATTGCAATGGATCGGTCCATGAATGATGCAGGCTTGATAGCGGCTTCAGGAGCAGCGTCGCTCTGTCCGGGGGTGCCTTCGCGAGCGGCTGCGTTTTCCGTGTTCTCGAGAGTTGATTGCACCTTTGGCTTCGTGTCAGGCCGCTCTTTTGCAATCTCCACATTGATCTTCATGCCCGCAAACTCCTTTTCATGCATCTCTGCCACTGCAGCATCAGCGCTATCCTTGTTATCGTAGACGACATAACAGAAACCGCGGTTGTTGCCTGTCGACCTGATAGTTGGGCACTTGGTCCTCTCAATCTTGCCGAACTTGGAGAAGACGTCCCTGACTTCTCGTTCTTTGACCTTAAAGTTGAGATGCCAGATGTAGACTTCACGACCCTCGGAGGTGGCGCCATCGCGTTTCTTCTTGGCGTTGGGGTCGGAGATCTTTGAGATTAGCTTCAATCCTTCAACGTCGGTGCCGTCCAGCTGTGTCGCAGCGACCGCTTGTTCAGCTGAAGCAAACTGAACGTAGCAGAACCGGCGATGCGCATCGTACTTGAGTGAAGGGAAGCGAATGCCAATAATTTCTCCAAATGGACTGTAGAGGTTCCGGATCCAAGCTTCGTCGGCATGCGCAGGGTAGTTCGTGACGTATAGCGTCGTGCTTTGACCTCGCTCGATCGATATGTTGTGGCCCTCGAATCCTTTCGCCTCTTTGCTCAGAGCATACTGGGCTTCTTCGGGTGATTCAAACTCCACCACAGCCGTAAGACTATCCTTCTCCTCTTTCAGTACTAGATTGCGGACTGTGCCTGCGTCGGTAAAGAATTGGCGTATTCGAGTCTGCGTGGTGTTGAGTGGTAGCTTCTTCACGATGACTGTAGTGTGCTCGCGGTCTCGTTTCTGTCCTGTAGAGCGAGCTTCTGAGGGTGCTTCGCTCGCGGCTCTGGCTTGACCGTTGACCCCGTCAAGAGCCTCTGAGATCTCTACATGTTTGCTCTTCTTCAATACTGCGTCCTCGTCACCGTCTTCTCGTTTCCGCTTTGTTGAGCTGTCTCCGACTTGGCTGTCTGGCGTGTCTTGTGGCGGAGCTGCAGCGGCCGCAAGTGCTCGTTCTTTCTCCCTCCGGACGGACACGATGCGCTCAGCTCGTCGTCGCTCGATCGTTGCGCTCCGTACCTTTAACGCTGATTCGTGCTGCTCGCAATGGCTAATGTACATGTCGATGAGCAGCTCTGGTTGATCAATCGTTTGTAAGCGTTTCATGCCACGTTCCAAAATGGCAGTGGCCTGAGTAGGCGGCAATAACGGTTGACCTGCGTTCTGCTTGCTCCTTGTTGCATGTGGCGCCCACAGAAGCATCTCGAATATGTAACAGCGATACCAGAAGTCGTAAGAGTCCTCCTGGTATTTGGTGATGGAGTCTTGAATCTGCCGGGCTTGATCGATATCTCCGCGTTGCAGCCAGAACTTGATGTGGGCGCGCTCAAGACGATACTTTCGGTCCGTCCATTCTCTACCATGCTTCTTCATGCCAACTTCCCGGACAAACTCCAAAGCGGATCGGATACCAACTTCAGCGACATCAACATCATCCTCTGTGGCTCTAGGATCATCGAAAGCCCTTCGCCGAAGATATCCACACCAAGCGAGCTGGACCTTGATGAGTTCATCCAAATCAGTGTGCTCCAGAAGTCCAGATCCAGTGGCTGTGTGCTTGACAAGTTCAAGGTCCTCGAATGGCTTGTTTTCCGCTTCGAGTGTCAATAACCGGTGAGACCAGAGTGACCCAGACCAGGGGCAATGGCGTGTCGCGCGCTCGAGGACGTTGAGTAGATCTACCGACCGGTTGTCTTGCCAAATAAGAAACTCCACGTGATCTTCCCATATCGAAGGATCGACAGGAAATCGGAGCGTGGCTCGTTCATAAAGTGCGTTGACGAGATGGAAGCTGTAAACACCCATAGTCCTCTTCTCCCATTTGAGGTAGCGTGTCATGGCGGTGTACTCTGCAGCTTGGTCGCCTGCTTGGATAGCCTGGAGGAGTTTGAACTCGTATTCTTCGCGGTTGGCGTATTGCTGTTTGATGTGTGTGTTCTTTTGCACTACCTCATCCATGACCTGCTCATAGTGACTCTGGTTGTAGCGAGAGTTGAAGGATGAGTATCTGCTGAGGGTGTTTGCCCATGTTGCGTGTGGTTGGCCGAGACGGTCATTGTAAATGGCGGCTACTCTCTTCGCCTTCTCTTGGCTGAAGCCTCCTCGCTCGAGGTCTTCTTCCAGAACCTGTAGATAGCGGTCCCACACGAGATTGCTCTCTTGGAGGTTGTACTTGACTCTCTCAGCACCTTCTTGCAGCGCGTCCAGTAGCAGTTGGGGCTGGAAGAGCTCTCGGCCAATCAGCCTCTCCTCTTCAGACCACTCCTCTGGAGGTACTTGCTCCCAAGAGCAGGCGACCAGGTAGCTCACATACTCGCCGTATGCAGCCCAAAGCTTTGCGCTGTAGGGTTCCTCTTGCGTTGCCTGCTTGTGCAGTTCGAGCACACCCATACGCTGCTCCACATCCTTGGCAAGGGTCTTTTCGTCGTTCAGTCGGTAATGCCACAAGAGCTCGCCAAGCGGGTACTTGTCTGACATGGTTTTGTATGCATCGCGCAGAGTCTGGACCAGCTCGTACGCGTTTGGATCGGAGTCGAACGAAGCGAGGTGGTTTTGGAGGCCTTGGTGTAGAGTGGTGACGAGTGAAACATGGCTGTAGTAGTCGAATGGATTTTCGAGCAGCGTTTTGTCCAGTTGGTGGAGCCAGTCGATGTGCTGCTGGTCGAGAGAGCGAGTGATGAAATTGCGCGGTCGCGGTGAGGCCTCAGACATGATGCTGGCTACAGACTCACCGGAGAGGTTTTGTCCGAGGTGTTGCAGTCTGGGAGTGGTCAGTGTTTGGTGGTGGAGTTTGCGCGACAAAGCTAGGCTGCCGGAACGGGCAACAGCAACCCGTGATCACGGGCAAGCGCGACACCCGGACGTCACTGCCTGCCCCACAAAATAGAAAGCGCGCTACACGTGGACATGCAGGTGCAGTCGTGGTCTCGGAAACGGGGCGGACGAGAATGAACAGTACAGATGAAAGACTTACGTGACAGGCCGTTGGTGGACTACAGAGCTCTGGCGCGCAGCTTGTTGTTGCTGCATGCTGGCAAGATCTGTGAATATATTAGCAAGTGCTTCATGGGCTAGCGGTTCGTCGTCGCTTGTTGTGGCCTTTTTCTCCCTGCATATCCGAGCTGCGGTCCTCCCGTATTGGGGCCGTATACAGCACTGTGCCACTACATCAAAGAAAGCGAGCACGTACCTGCAAGTGTGTCCATGCCCGGTGTCGATGTTTGGCGGTACATGGGGTTCGGGGGCGTCATGCGCGCATCATGCGGCGATGCTATTTGTTGTGGTGTTCCCATTGCGCTGTGTACTCCTCTTGCGCCGTTCGCGATGTGGGCGTACCCTGGGGACGGTACACGCTGCTGGAGTGGCTGCGGCGGCTGCGGGGACGACCTGATCTGTTGGCTGAGACCCGAAGGTGTTCGCGATGGCATCTGGCGTCTTGTACGCTTGCCCGGGGATCGGAGTAGTGACGGCGACGGGATGGTCGGGGCGGATTGTGGTGTTGGGGTGCCCGCAGGCGAGTCCGATGGCGATAGCAGCGAGTTGATATCCATGGTGTGCAACGTTCACGGCCTTTTGCTCTTGTTCGGCACGCACTGCGATCCAGAGGCTGTCTTGAATGCTGCACGCGCGCCGGGCGTGTTTCGACGCTCTCTCTTTCTACGGTCGCGAGCTACAGAAACTACTAGGCATCGAGTCCCTCGTAACGAGCGGCATGGGACGACGGCGGGCGTGTGGCGCGAAAAGGACCGTCGGAGGCGCGAGGCGATGGGGATAGCGAGTGTGATGGGAGATGACCTCGTCGGCGTCGTGGGTGAGAAGGCCTACACCCGGTCTAGAAGAAAAGGTGCTTAGGTGCACCAGGTAAGCTTGGGCCTGCGACTAATCGAGTAATGATGGAGCAGGCACTTCGCGACTCGGAGCAGCTGGATGCGGACTCCCGGAGTGAGCTGGCGGCGGAACAGCACGACGTTTGGCGCGTCACGATATGCGCGTCAACGGGGTCAAGAGTCTCAAGTCGGCGGTGGTCTGGACAGGAGCGGGACGACACGACTCCTGCACATTTCTTCTGCGAGCTGATCGCTGCGTCTGGTTCATGATGATCTGCCGAGCCCCATCCCTGCAAGCGCCCTGCGCGGAGCCTTTCGCCGTGCCACAGAAATTCCCGCGAGACCTCACCGCACTGGCATCACCAACGCCGCAGCACCGTCGTGTCGAGCATCGCTATGAGCGCCCGGATACCCTCACGGCGGCTCGGGCAGTCAGGTAAGCCATAAGAAACATTTTCTGCGCCTCCTTCCCCGCATCCATCCAAGCGCTAATCGCTCTTGCGGACCGTACAACATTGAACAACATCAAGACTGACATCGAACAGCCCTCGCCGCCCTCCGCCCACACACCCAATGGATACCTTCGAGTTCAATTGCTTCAATCGCCCAGCGCAACATCTCATTCGGAGGCAAGAAAGACAACGATGACCTCACCAACCCGCTCATCGAGGACTACCTATCGAAGAAGGCAAAACGAGCAGGTGCGAAAGGAAAAGACGAATCAGCAGATGCCGTGCGCCCTACCCCTCGTACAGGAGACTTCGCCGTAACCCCAACCTCCCTCTTCCTACCCGAAAAAGAGATCCCCGGCTGGCGGCCAGACCTGAGTCCGCAGGAAGAACTCGAACTCAAGGCGAAATACCACAAGCGGGAACAACAAGTGGCGGTTAAAGGGGAAAAGAAGCTTATGGATATGACGATCGATCCCGACCAGAAAGCCCGCAGGCGCCTCGAGCGCAAACTCGTCATTTCCGGCGTGAAGCGCCACGGCCGCATGACAAAGGCGCAGAAGCTACTCCGTACCGAACGCCAGTCACTCTACCAGTCACAACTCCTTCCTACGTCTACCAAGAAGCTGCAGAAGGTCGTGAACCAAATTGCCGGAAAGACTGTCTCGGAAGCCCTCGTCCAACTCCGCTTTTCCAAGAAACGTGTTGCCCGCGACGTCATCAAGGGTCTCGAAATTGCGCAAAACGAAGCCATTGCAGCCCGCGGAATGGGTCTGGCTGGCGAAGAGGCCGCGGTGTCGCGTTGGAAAAAGCAAAGGACAGCTACGGATGCGGGGAGACCGAAGGATACTTGGGACTACAAAACGTCGAAAAAGGATGGCAGTTTGGAGGCGAAGCCGGTCAAGGTGCCTTTCTTCAAGGACACGACAATACAGTTGAAGGATGGGAGCAAGAAGGTAGTCCGCGACCCCAGCGAGATCTACATTGACCAGGCGTGGGTGGGACCAGGAGAGAGCTGGAAGTCCCCCGAGTTCCGGGCGCGAGGTGCTATCAATATGCTGAAGCACCGAACGACGAGTGAGTGGGCCGCAGACTTTCTTCTGGAGGACTGGGCGCTAACATTGCACAACAGGTTTCTCCGTCCTTCTCAAAGAAGAGAAAACGCGCTTGCGCATCTCAGACGAGATTCAGAAGAAGCGTGACAACCGCAAGCTGTGGACCGCACTTCCCGACCGACCCGTCACATCACAACGGCAATACTGCCTGTGGTAGACGACTGTACGAATTCAGTGTATAGCATATATAGCCGGTGGAAGAAAACTGGCTTGTACAATATACCATTCAAGATCAACCGTTCCCCATCATCCAAAGCAATACCAATCGCTTTATCCGGGTATCTCTCTACCATCCATCCAAGGTCAATAGCGTACATGGCTGCTGCTGCCTTTTCAACTTTTTGAACATGTGACAAGATCCTGAACGCCTTCGCTATGCAAACAAAAGATCCCTTTACTATTCTCATGCTTCCACGCCGTCTACTGCGCCGACGCTGCTGACGAGCATATCTAGCATGCCGCGTACCTTCCAGGCGTCTTGGCTTGCTTCGACAGTCACCTTGACTCGCTGCATGAGCGCCATGATTAGATCGTCGACCTCCTCGCTTCTGCCCAGTTGGTCGGCATATAGGTCCAGGACTACAAGCGCGACATCGGTAGTCAGACGTGTGATGCGGTAGTCGGAAACGTTCTTTATGCACCAGCGGAGGATGGGTTGGAGGGTTACGGAGTCGCGGTTGCTGAGAGCAGTTCGGAGAGCAGAGCGATGGCGTAAAGCGGTCAGGAGGGTAAGAGACTGGCTGCGAGCGTTTGCATCCTTACAAAGTATTAGTCTTAGTCTCAGGGGTATACAGGAAGAATGGGAGGCATACCTTTGATTCGAGCACCATATCCAACGCCTGTGCGTACATGCCCTTCCGCAGCGCATGTGCCCACGGCTGTCCGGCAGTGATCTTTCCCCGCGCATTGCCATCGATAACGATATCTGCGCTCTCGCCGGTGAAGTCTTTGCCTCGGATGCGCTTTTCCCAGCCCTTTCCGCGCTTCCGCTTCTTGCTCCTATCGTACTCTTCGATCTTGCCTTCCATGAGCGCTTTCATCTCCTTCTCTCGCTCACGAGCCTGAACCTTCTGCTCGCCGGAGAGATGGGTCTTGATCGAGAGAAGACCTGATTGCATACCCACCGCAATATGTCTGTCTTCCTTTTGATTCGGGATGACGCTTAGTGACAGGATGGGCGAAGGGTACTTCATCCCACCTACGACGTTCCAGCCTGTTGTTTCGAAGACCTTGACGTGGCCGTCGAGGGCACCGGAAAGGAGGCGTTCGCCATTGTTCGCTAGCGAGAGCGCGGTGACAGATTTCTGGTGGTTACGCAGCATGTGGATCGGCTTTGCGGCTACGATATCGAGGACGCTGATGACGTTGTCTGCTGCTGCGAGCACGGCCGTTCCGGACGGCATAGGGAGGACGGTTTCGACGGGCGCAGCGTGCTTGAACACCATGACCGCCTTTCCGCCCACTCGCGAATCCCAAAGTCGTACCGTCTGGTCGTAACTTCCAGATACGAGCAGCCCACTTTGCGCAGGCATGAAAGTACCGCTTCGCACGTAGTCTTGATGCCCGTCGAACTTCATCACGCTCTTCTCACTCGGCAAATCCCATAATCGTACGGTTCTGTCATCGGAACAACTCATCAGACCAGTAAGATCTGTGGGGTTCCACTGTGTGACCCAGACGGGCTGCTTGTGCTCCTTCCATGTCTTCAAGATGGCCCTGCTCTTCACATCGAACGCTTGTATGACACCAGTATCTCCTCCTGCGACCAGAATCCTGCCATCGCGCCGTATGTTTCCCGAATGCGCAACATCGTCGACGCCGAAGCGCGATATCGTCTTGACAACCTTTCGGCTCTTGGAGGAGAAAATCTGGACGCGCGATCCCGTCGTGACTGCGAAGAGATCCTGGGTGGCCGAAAGCGTATTGGCAGGCTGAGGCGGCGGTATCGAGATGTGAGTTACGGGCGAGGAATGTTGTGAAGGGTCGAGTTTGAGCTCCGAGGCGAATGAGTTCCAGTATTTTTGCTCGGACGTGAGGGTAGAAGGGCCCTTCGGCAGCTTCAAAGGCTGCAGGAGTTGTACTTCAGCCGCCATTGTGAATGTTGGATGCGATCAATGCGCGTGGAGTTGCGAATGTCGTGAGCTTTTCGGGTGGAGGAACTTTTCGGTGGGTCAAGAAGTTGCGCTAACGATATCGGATGGTGGCGCCTTCCCGGCCTGAACGCGGACAGGTGCCGACTTTGGTGAATATCAACATCAAAGTCGCCAGTAAGCAGATCCCGATGATCTGTTTCGTGACGTTTACTTGTCAAGACCGTCTTTATGGACTGCTATCATCGTGGGAAAATGCCGGGCTCTTCGTCACACAGCATGAGCTAGCTAGTGTTGGTTGCCTGGAGGATCGCACCCAGTTCATCAATAGATGACCAACGCCGCAGCACCTTTCACCTCATCAGCGTCAAGCCGGCTTCCACGTTTTGTCATGCGCCCCGCAAACATCAAATGTCTCTCTTTGCGATTCGGACCTATTGACCTGCCGACGATAGATTGCCTTGCTCCAGGATAAACCACTCTCAGCGCGTCCACTGGGGCCGCACTAGACGCGTCACAATGGATCCCGACGCGCTCGACAGAATGAACGACTTCTTCGACTTCGCCGCTCTTGAACACAACACCGAAGCTGATAACACCCATGCCTCAAGTGAGCAAATCGCGCCATCCTTTCAACCAGGCAATGTCACGGCTATTGACTGGGCTATGGAGCCAGCACCCCAGGATACCCTTCAATTGTACGACCTGCCCATGTATGATGTGGCGCATGATCTCTCCACTAGCGATATAAACCAGCAACGGCCACCGTCTCGCCCAACGGCATATCTGGCGACGTCCATGATTGAAATGGGTGTAGATTCAAGAGCAGACGTCAATTGGCAAACGATTGATGTGGAACATGCGAAGGACCACAGGATGCGCGATGCGACAGATCTCGCTCTCCCACCTTCATTGTCATCACTTGCGCTAATGCAATGCGATGATGAAGGCAGCTTAACTGATGCCCCGCACTCTCAGCTCGGGCTGCGTCTTTCAGTACTCGATCAATCAATCACTCCGACCGATGCCTCCCTTGAACTGGAACAGCTACCAGTCAGGTCGGTCGCATCCCAGCAACAACCTTCAATCGCCACTTGGAAACCAGCATCAGCCAAACGCAAAGGCCCTCAGTGTCGTATCTCACTTGAAGCAAGGCAGGTGTTGGAGGACGAATTTGCGGCCAATCCATACCCCTGCGCGTGGGAGTTGGACATCATTGCACATCAAGCCAATCTGGACGTGAAGAAAGTCCGCAATTGGTTCAATAACACCCGAGCCAGGAAGAAGTGTGGAGGTGAGTCGTGTCCAATTTCATGAGATCATGCTTCGACTTACCTATTCAGATTCTCACCACGCAATAGAGGATGGCGCAGGCCAGAGCGATCGCACGCTGAAGACGAAGTTGTCAAAGGATAGTCTGGAAAGCCTCCAAAAGCGAGCAGATGACGCCAATCAACTGCCGCAACCGCCTCTGGCGGTATACCTTGCACAGTCGTACCAAGAGGAAGCTGTTGAACTGTCTGCAGTGCAGGCTGCCGTTGATGTTGAATCTCTCAACGAAAGCATCCCAAATAGTGGATGGTCTGGGTCTAGGCAAGGTCGCAGAGGTTCCGTCATCACGTCGATTGCTTCTTCTGAAGGCACTGCACCCACAACATATACGGTGTCTTCCAGCGGTAGCCGCAGTAAAACCTCGTCTTTTGGTCGTGATCGCCGTCGAGGCAGACGTCGGATGGCGTGGAAAGAGTCTCCTCGCCAAGCCATTAACGGTGTGAACAGTGCAGGTGAACCCCAGAAAGATCTGCCTTTTTTCTGTACTTTCTGTCCGCGGGCATTCAAGACGAAGTATGAATGGATACGCCACGAAGACTCTGTCCATGCGCTTCGGACCACTTGGATTTGCTGTGACACGAAGTCATCTGAAACTCTTCAAGCATGTCCATTCTGTGGCCAGGCCCATCCCGACGATGCTCACCTGGCTGGCCACAAGTACCAACAATGCCGAAGCAAGCCCGAATCCCAAAGAACTTTCTATCGCCGCGATCACTTCATCCAGCATCTCCACCATGTTCACTTCGCCAACACTAAACATCCGTCGGTACGCACCGGCTGTCAAGCTCGATTACTAGCCGCTGAAGGTCACAACTTTGGTTGCAAGGACCTTGCCATGAAGTGGCGCCGCTTCGGAGCTCCAATGAAGCTTGACGATCCTATGCTTCATTGTGGCTTCTGTGGAAAGAAGTCAAAAGATTGGCCCGAACGATGTGAGCATGTTGCTGAGCACCTCGTCGCGCGTGAGCTTGATCGTGCCGTGTGGTGGAGCGAGCGCAAGGAAAACCACTTGGAGAACCTCTACTCGACTACACCGTACGAATCCTTCCGATGCCGATACTGCCAAAAGGTCTTCACGGACGTCAAAGATATGAACGAACACTCTCACTGTCGTGTGTGGAGCTGTCGATTTCTCCGGAGCTTCGACGACGTTGCTGCAGACAATGCAGGTCCACCCCTCTGTCCAGATTTTCCTTCGGCCAAAGCTCACCATTGCCACCTTTGCGGCTCTGGCTATCGAACGTTCCACGTCGAACATGCGCAGAATTACCATCGATATCGCTCGTGCAATCAAGAATTCTACACGTCAGAAGAAGCTTTCCTCCAACACTTGCACAACTTTCATGGCGCTTCACAGCCAACATTACTACGAGGCTCTGGTGTCATCGAGCAGAGCTATATGCGCAACAAAGGCGCATCGTTCGAGCCCGTTGAGTTCAATGAGAGCTGGCAACCTTGCGTTATGGATCTAGACGTAGCCTCTGTCAGTCCATTTGTTGCCAACAACACTGTTTCAACCCTACCTATCGACCACAGAAGGAGTCAGAACCAGATTCGGAAGTCGCTCGTCATTCCAAAGAAAGCTCGTGACATTGCGCAGACTCAGGACGCCAATGTCAAGAAGGTTTCAAGACAACGATCTGACACATCAATCTCGAAGGCCGAGAGTCACCACCCGCGATTCTTCCGACTTAGTACTTACGTACCCCTTCTGTCATCTCGTATCTTCTACTCGCGGTCTGCAAAGGCAGCGGACTTTCCGAGAGACAACCAGGCTGTGCTAGAAGAGCTCCCGAAGCCGCACATTGCAACACTGGTGATGAGTGCAGGCACAGTCAGCATGGCCGCCGCTCGCTGGTTCATTCGGCCAGACACATGTTTGATCAACGGTATGGTGGAGCTTACCATTGATAGTGAAGCAGATGCAGATTGAGCGAACTTATCCGCTGTCGGTGTGGTCGAGCGGGGATATGGATTACCATAGATCGCACGAGACCTTTGCCACTGTCCCTTTCCTCGGCAAAAGCGTTCCTGCATTACCTGAGAAACTATCCGACAGCTGACGTCGTGGTACTGCTCATCCGATTGGTCGATCAGCGGTGTTTTCGAAGTGAACTGAACCGTGGTGGGCGCATGGACTGAGCTCTTTGTCCATTTCGATACTGGTGGGCATCCAGTAGCTCTACTGAAAACACACCCATGCTACCCAGCTGCTAGCTACGCTCCCGGTCAATCTCCAAACCCGCCAGTCCCTCTTCTCTGAAGCCAAGACTCGAAATCGCCCAAGACGACATGGCCGAAGACTCGGAGGCTCATCTCTCACCCGGCATCGACGTTCCCAAGGACTCGCCTAAGAATTTATTCCTCTCCACTACTTCTTCCAACACCGATGTCAAATTCGATCGCTTCAATGAGCTTCCTGAGGAACTCAAGCTCGAGATCTTTCGACACAATCTCCGCTTTCCCTGGAGCGTCACCAGTCGTAGCCATGACTTTATCTACGGACCCAGCTTTCTGAACACCGCGCTTACCAATAAAGAACTGTGTAGTATCGCTTTCCAGGTCTATTATCACGAAAACACATTCAAGTTGACCTGGTTAGTTGTGCTCGGGTCACGTCTGACCGTCAAGACCGCCATTCCAGCTGAGCACTTTTTACAAAACCCCATTTGCGCCGCATTGTCGTTCCGTTATCTATCCAAGGCCATCGCACATCTTGTTACGAAGCTCGAGATACACATGGAAATACAGACTTATGGATACCCCTTGGAGCCATTCTATTGCGGCGGCTATCAAGGCTCGCAACTAGCTGTCCTAGCTCATCCTCGCCGCGCATCCTTCAAATCCGGGTACACAACGTCGATATTTTCGACAAACCGGACTCAGAAACCGTACTCGTAGGCAAATGACGGTGAGGCCAAGGCTGGCTGAAGAAGATACTTCACCTCGTTGAAAGAACTCCGCATTGTGATTCACTTGCCTTACTGTCTTCCAGAGGATTCGGATCTTCCAGACATCGTATTCTTCGAGCGACTCCCACAGCAGGCGCGCCTTTTGTTGCAGGCCAAGAACATCCAGGTCGAAGTCGAGCATGCGCATGAGTGCACTCACTGTGACGATCATTGCGAGCGCACGATCGAACGTGGTATTATCGGTATGACAAGACCGCCCAATTCCGAGTCACTACACAGCGTGAGACTTGTCTCCAGGACTATCAGGCCTCAAACCACTATTCTGAAGCGTTTCTCCTTCGAGACGCACTTCGACTGCTTGAATGAGGGATATTCGTCCACATTGCGCCGTATTGTCGCGGCAGGGGGACAGAAGCGTAGAACATGTGGAGATGCTATGAGGATAGGCTCAAACGGTTATACGGGCTGGTGGCATGGCGCATCAATTCTATTCAGTCATCAGAGAGCACGCCTCAGATACGGGAGGTGGCGTCTTGACTGACATGTATACAATGCCTTTCAGCCCTCAATAAGAAACATCTTTCCCAGGAGCATTGCACATTGTAGTCGTTATCGCGCAGATCATGGGCGGAACACCACACCCCCAAAGAAGGCGTATCGCCGAGGTTTCTGTAAAAAGCCACTGTTGAACACACGAGGACCGGTAACGCCTACCTAGTTTCGACCCCACCGAACTCTCACTGCCGTTCAGAACCTTGGAAGCGTTTCGGTGCACGTGATGTCAGTTCTGCACCTGTCTAGTGGGTAGCGCTGCACGGACTTTACCTAGCGGGTGATACCTGCATTACGTCCAGCTCTGAGGCCGCCACTCTATATCATACATCTCGCTCACACTACCAACGCCTTCACACCACACGAGTCTCATCACTCAACCAAGAATGACGACTACCAATATGACGGTGATACCCTTGCTCTCTATTCCGGAAATCAATAAGCTTGTCCTAGAAGTTTTCTACAAGTTCAATCGGATGGTGATCTTGTGGGACCGTGGGAACTCTTCAGAAGGGAGGCTTCTCCGTTATCCTCCACCTGCTATCAGGTCTCTTGTGCGCTGTCTCGAGATCAATCTCGATCTTGACACCCCTTTCTATCTCAACTTCTTAAGGATAGTTACGGATGCGCAGATGAGCTTCAGCTTGTACTACTTGACCGTCAATATCAACCCCGAGAGTCTATACTACGACGCTGAGGACAGCAAAGAAAGTGGATCGAGTGTCGAGGCTTATCTTCAGAACCTCGGTCGCATCGGGTTCCCTACATGCCATCTGACTATCGTATCGATCATCTGCGGAGACGGCGATAACGAATTTGATCCAGTGGAATCATGTTGGTGTGAGCGGCTTGGCTTGGAAACGAACGGAGCTCGAGAAGAACGCTGGCAACATTCCAATATAATCGATGGTGAGGACGTGGAGGAGAGGTCCGAGTATGTCACAGAGAGGTCAGAATTCGTTACTGGTATCTTTCAGGCGGTCAATGATGAAATCCAGCATCGTGTGACGATCAAGACTGTGTCGACTCGGCCAAAAGACTCACCGTACGGCCACCACAGGTGGGCAGATCGTCCAGTCCGGAATTAAGGTCGTGGTAGTGAACGGAGAATCCGCCCTCATGTACGAACATGAGGGGTGAGGTGGTAGACTATCGAACATGGGGCCTCTTCGTCTTACCAAAAAAAGGACCCTGGATGGGATGCAGTTCGACCTGACGAACGAGCAGACTTCTGAGTGTATAGAATAAACGACCTGCTTACGTTTATATGATCATGACGGTAGTCACATTGATCAGCCAGCATATCAGCCCTAAAAATTGTGACGTCCTTTCCTGCTGCCGCAATCTAGCTGCAAGCAGGAACAATTGCTGATATCTACAAGCTGATTCGCTGCCGTCTCCACCCTTAACCGCGGATTAGCAGTTGCATCCCACTGTCCCATCTAGTTAGTATGAGAGCTACTCACCTCAGTCAGAGCGGTTTGCATACATCTTGCTCTTATCGCAACTTTTACTTCAACTATCTACACATACGAAACGTCGCACCATTATAACCTCTTGAAATCAGAACATCTCAAGTCAATCCGGAAATGCCTTCCAACGCCAAACCGAGCAATGCAGCGTCCAGCATATCTACAGATGCGAAGGTAAACTTCCTGCACCAGTCCGATGCCGAGTTCCTAGGAAAGCTTCAATCTTTCGCCAAACTCAAGGAACGCTCGCACCAAACGCACCACACAGTACACGTACTAAAACTTACCGCGGGTCTTCAACTCGGTACCCCATTACCCGCACCAAGTAAAGACGCTTCTCCAAAAGTGGATTGAAGCGAGACACTTGCTAGACCAGGACAGGTTTGGCGATCATGTGCATCTGAATCAGGAGGGGTATCGGGTTTGGGACACTGTATTGTGGCCGCTTGTGGCCAATGTGTTGGGCGTCCCGACAGAGAAAGATGATTAGCTTCTGGACGAGATGAGGGCTTATAAACGTTGGTTTAGTCAATAAGAATTCATTCCTCGGGATTGTGAATAACACAGGGCAGCTCGTAGAAACTTCATCGGAGAAAGTTGCACGTCCCGACGTTCAATTGAAGCATTTCCTTTTGTTCTACATGTTCACCACCATCCGGCGCCCTGTCAGCCACATAAATTCCGAGTGCTATCGCATTACTTGACTTGCAAGCGAGATTGATAGCACGACTTAAGGTTTCTTGCCCATAATCATGTCCTTAAGATGTTGAAAAATCTCAGTATGATCTTGCTCGCAAGAATGATAGTGGCCCAGCCACCAGCCGCCATCGTAGGTATCACGGACGATAAACTCCACTTTTGGTGCCCGGAGACGTATCCCGGATTTATCGATACAAGCTCTTAGGCCGTCTCCTTTGCCGTCCTCGAGAAAGCATTTGGGCATAATGTCGCGTTCAAGACGCCACTCAATCCCAAGGGTAAGCTAGCGATGCATCGACAAGGAAGAGGGCACCCTCTGACTCGGACTGGAGTTTAGTCTTGGTTCGCGCAGGTCATCAATGAAGTTGCATCGACATTGTCATGAGGTTACAATTACAGGTACGATGAACCCGATTCGATGCCGCAAATCTGCATCATCCTGAGCCTTTCACAGCGATTGGGCACCTGCAAGTCAAAAGAGAAAATGAATTTCATTCACCACATGCAACCGGGGTATATAAAGCAAAAACTCCGCTTCCCAACTCCTTGGATATTTGAACAGGACTCGCAGATCATTCTCGCCACTCTTTCGCGCATTGGGTGCACTGGAACCGGTCAGTGGAGCTTTTGAGGAAGTTGGGCATGTGGCGTACCTTGTAGAAAGCAGTCATAGGCTCGTCGGCACTTCGAATCTGCAGCTGGTACCAGTATGCTTCGTGGTTCCGGCATTTCTCGTTCGGACATTGTACTGTGCACTTGTCAGCCATGTCCAACAGGCATAGCAGCCTCGCCCGAGATCGCGCAATCTTGGGCCCCTGGTTGCTGCTGAAACTTCGGAGCGTACCTTCTGTCTTGTCCACGTTATCCCAAGCGCCCTTTCCACCCAAGATGTCTTCGACTTCCTTCTTCTTTAGGTATTTCCGCTCGTAATAGCGTTTGTTGATTACGAAGTGGTAGGGACAGGTGAGACATTCGAAACGGTTTTGGCCGACAGCATCTTCGGTGGTGGGATCGCCGGGAGGTACTTTGGAGACGCGAAGCATATTGCTGCATGTTGGGCAAACTATGGCTGTTAGCTGTGACTAAACTGGGACGAGATGTTGTAGAGGTGGACATGTAGCAAGTGCAAGCAGGCCATCCGGGTATATAAATCTGTGGACTTACAGAGCAGCATGGTGGGCGGCAGTAGGCAAAAAAGAAGTTGGACGCGTGAAGTTGAGCGCGAAGAAGATCAAAAGTTATGACGGACCCTGATCCGCTAGGGCTGGGAACGGCAAAGTGCGGGGCGACTGTGTAGCAGCGAAAAGCCACCGGCGACGCGCACTTGGGAGCGGACTGTCTCAGATTGGGGGCTTATGCACGCTGGCCTGTCGACGTCGCCTGCATCCTTATCGCCGTATTAGAGAGATACTTCACTTCTTCACACCGCCCTGCCCTGTTCGCTTTCCGTTAGCACCTCCGAGTACCCCGCCAAACAACTGCTCGAAACATTCACGCGTACCTGACTGGACCGTCCGTCCCTGCCCAGTCACCCTCCACATCCTCAACACCACACACCATGGCGGACGAAGAGGTGCATACACATGCATACCCAGCGCCTGTCAATGCTGACCAACATTTAGGGTGCTTCCCCCCGCGAACTTGTTCTCGAAGCGTGCCGACGCAACAACACCGAGCTGCTTGAGGAAACCCTGAAAGACCTTGCTGCTGCTGCCTCAAAATCAGGGAAGAAGCCCGAGGATCATGTCGCGGAAACATTGAACAACACACGCGACGGCGTAGGAAATGGCTGCCTTCACGTTGCGGCAACATACGGAAGCTGTACGTATCTGTCCCAAGCGGCGCAGCCCCAGGACGTCTTTGTCGCACGCCACTTGCCGGGCATGACCTGACTAACTCTGTCACAGTCGAAGTTATCGACATGCTTCTCGACCAAGAGGGTCTTGAGATTGACGAGATCGACCGCATGGAGCAGGATACGCCCCTTCACAAAGCCGTACGCTACGTCAACTCGCTCGAAAAGTCCGTCTGGCCCCACGGACACTCCATCGTGGCCATGCTTCTAGATGCAGGATGCGACCCGAGAATAAGGAACAAGGCGAAGCTCAAGCCCATTGAGTTGGTGGACCCGAGAAACACCGAGCTGAGGAGCATGCTACAAAAGGGTGAAGTCTCGATGCTAATGGGTGGTGACGTGGTGGAAGACGACGACGATGATGGCCCAACAGGAAGCGCTAGTGATAGCGATTGAGAAGTCACACATGGGAGAGCACGATTTGGACAAAGACTTTGGGCCCCGGGTATGGTGGCAACTGGGGTATCTTGAGAGCCCGAGGTGTGTACACCTCACTACCGGCACTCAGCGTGCGCTGCGCTACTGAACGACTTCATAGTATCGGCTTTGACAGCGATAGACAAGCAGCATGTACCCATCTGTTCCTCCTCATCCACGAGCCGGCCTCGCGCGCATTCGTGCTGGAGATGGAAGGCGACTTTCGCTTTGGATGTTCCTTCTCCGCATGTCCCCATAATCAAGTCTATCGTTTCGGTCTAAAGTCTCCCGATCAATCTTGCTGCTAGTTCCTGTTAGCTCATTACTTCTAAAACTCGACATTCCCATTACTCACCTCAGGCGGAGGCCCGACAGGCCGGACCATGCGCTCTAGTAACTGCAGTCTGGTCTTTTCGCGCGGCTGTCCCAGTCCGATGCTCATATACTGTAGAAGAGGCGGGTGACCGACGTAGCTCGATAGCGAGTCGCGCGCGATGTTCGATGTCCATTCGTGCTTGGTAGTGTCTGCGCTTCCGATGCCGATGTAGCGGGCCTGGAGAGCCTCGAGTTGTTGCTGCGCGCGCAGTTTGTCGGCCATGGTCCAGGTATGTGTGGAGTTTGGTCGGTTGTTTAAAGATGTGCGACTGGGTTGGTGTTAGGCTTGATAGGCAAAAGTTGGGCAGGTCGCGACCGCGGAGGTGCTGCGGCACTTGGGGCTTAGTCATGCGGCATCAGCCCCATCATCGCGACAGCCTCGAGACGGATCCCCTCAATGCTACAAACTTCGAATCGCAACACCTGCTTCTCTTCACCACGCGTCGCATGGCTAACTACAACCGCGAAGACGTCCCCATGAGCAACCAAGACACGATAATGGGCAACGCGCCCCTCACACCACGCGACGAGCCTGAACTCACGTCTCCAATGGTCGACTTCTCGCCATCCACAGTGCAATACGACGAGGCGTTCGAAAACAGTCTCATGGAAATCATACTCAACCCACCACCTCAACCCTCGCCACGAAAGCCTTCAGACGAGATCCCCACAATCTCCGCATCGCAACTACCCATCTCGCTCTCCTCCAACCTACGTACACATCCTTCCGCCGTACCGGGGCTTTACATGACCCATAAGAACGGATATCATACAGGTGGTCCAGGGCCATCACCACACACGATCGAAGAATTTGCAGACCGCTTCATCAGAGAGCATGGCATCGAGGATGCGGGGCAGCTGGAGAGAGTGGTGGAAGATGTCGTGAGACACAAGCTGGAGGAGGCTAAGCAGAGAATGGAGAAGAGGAAAGAGCTTGTAGAGAAGAACAGAGGAATTGAGAGGGAGTTGGAGGATCTGAGGTTGCAGAGGAGCGCCGAGTTGAGGGTCATGGAGAGGGTCAAGGGGAAGAGGAGATGAATACTTGGAGTCTCTGTGCCTGTGGATGTTGGAGGCATCGTGCTATGTTAGGATGGAGATGTTATGATACCCGACATTAGAATGTCAAAGTTATTGGGGGCGCTACGTTGAGTCCCAGGTGAGCGAGCTTTTGTGTACATTGGGGCAGGACCTCTACAATGGAAGATCGGGATGCGCACACATCAGAGATCCGATCGTGGCTGTTCCCATCTAAGAGCGCAGACCGTGATTGCCATTGACGACGTACGAGCATTGCGCGTATAATCTCGCAGATAGACGATTAGACCCACGATACCCTAGCTCCCAGTGGTGACAACTCAAGCATAAATTAAATGATGGGCAGAGCACGCGCATCACCCTAACCCGGTGCCCAGGCGACCAGCGACTGCACCCTGAGCCGGGGGAAGGTGCTACCCGACCGATCAAACTGCATCAGCCCGCGGCATAGCAGAAGCTATGGCCAATAGCGTCATACCTCAACGATCATCACTGCAGCTTCCATGGACATACAGGACCCTTGATCGTCTCTGCCGCGTGGTTCTACGGGTCATCTGCTTTGCCATCGCGATCTGCCCCTGGGGCTACCGCTACAGTTAGGACTATGTTCTTGCTTCCAGCATGCGGGGGGTGGATACCAACCAACCTTGATTTTTGATCGCACTTTCTCAACTTTACTTTCGCGCTACATGTGACAGGACCGCCGCCCAACTACAACGACCACCGACACATGCGCATGACCATTTCATTTGGTCCGTAAACCGGAAATACTCGAGCAAGATTGTACCGCGACGCATTTCCAGGCAAAACGCCCAAGATGGCAGACAAACTCGGCAGTCTGGCATGGAGCGGCTTCAAACTTGGGTTTGGACTGTTCAGCCTTGCTGGAGTATGGACCATGGCAGTCATCAAAAACGGTGCGCTCTGGGCGAAAGATACGGACGAGGAAAAGCGCGCGTTGGCTGCTGCGCAAGACAGTTTCTGGAGTCTTGATAGAGAGCCTCTACCAGGTTTCAAGCATGCCTTCTTCAAAACCACCAACGGTACCAGCCTGCACTACGTCATTAACCAGGACACTGGGTCATCACCAGCGAAGAACGTTACCATCTTCTTACATGGTATGTAATCTCTAGGCAGAGTCATGCAGGTACTAAACTTCAATGGACTACGCAACTGACCAAGACCAGGATTTCCCGATTCGTTCCTCATCTGGCGCCACTTCCTCCAATCCGCTTCCTTACAAAAGGACTCCATCCTGATAGCCGTCGATCTCCCTGGCTATGGCGGCTCCGACAGTCTGTCCGCATACGGCCCGAACGACATGCTCGAAGTACTGAGCGAGTTCATTGTTGGCATACGAGAACAGTTTCTATCGGAAGGCAAGAAAGCAGTGGTAGTCTCCCACGACTGGGGTGCGGTCATTGCTGGACGACTAGCTTCTGAGGCACACGTACTGGCTGACCACTGGATCATTACGGGCGGCGTCATCACCGCTCTACAGCGCTCGAACGCGACAAACAGAATACTGTTGGCGAAGCAAATGCTGAGGACATGGATACATTCTCCCTTCAACTTCCGTCTGTTGAAGAACGGATTACACGCACTAGGCCCTGTGGCTGGACAGTTCCGAAGCTCGTTCTACATTTTCGTATTCCATCTACCCTGGCCACTCCACAATGTCTTTGCGACCTTTGGCAACTACTTCTTTCTCCGTGTGCTTCACCAGTTCGGCAAAGGCACACCGAAGAAGGGAAAGGCTCCTGCGGTTTTGGAACCTGTGGAAGCTGCTGAAGCAATGGCGATCTCGACCGGCCCCGGAAGCGCGCAGCTAGAAAAGGCGAACGACAAGGGTGAACGATATGGCGAGTCTGTCAAGAGCAGGATAAGCGATCGCGGAATGTCAGAGAAGATCCGCATCTATCGCGAGAATCTGGTTTTCGGTAAGTGGGAGAAGTCGCTCGAGATTACTGCCGCACTGTACAACATCTCCTCTGAAGCTGCTTCTTCCCAAACTCTATCCGCTTCAGGCACCCTGTCTAGCATGGCACCACAAGGCGCGCTGAAGGCTCCTTCGACACTCATGATGGGACAATTTGAACCTGCATTCAATCAACGGCTCTCATTCGACAACGCTCGCGACTATCTGGTCAAGGGCAGTCAGGTCGTGATTGTCAAGGGAGCAGGCCATTGGTGAGTCAACCCAACAAACACCCCTCTTGAGAGTACATCCGCTAACATCGTGTAGGCTACCCCTCGAGCACACAGGTAGACGTGCGATAGAGAAGACCCTGCAGTGGGCGTTGCAAGGTGCGGGAAGCGAGACGATACCCTTTGAAGCGATGAGCGATGTGCGCATTCTGGAGGCCTTGTAAGAGATAGGCTATGTGTGATGTACGATTGTGTACCAGAGAATATCTCGCTGTGATGTCGAGATCTCAGTACTTTAAGGATATTACCGTTGCGTTACAGCGTCTGCTCTTCCCCAAAGTGAAACTCACAGGCCTAACTTTGCTTGTTGAAGGAGTGAGCAGATACCAGGCTGACTTTTTCCCGTTGCCTCCACTCACCCTTCAACTGTTAACAGCATGATCGCTACACCGGGGTATCTAGGGATTTCTGAATGTGATTTGAGTACACAGAGGACGTCCCCATCAATATGAGCTATCGTGAAGTACCTGGCTCTCTGCAACAAGCCTGGAATCGGAATATATGAAAAGCACAAACAGGAATATGCACATTCCAGCTTGCACAACAAAACCGGAAAGAATACACAAATCACACCCGTTTCTACACTTTTCAAAGACCATCCGTCCCCTGTCTACTAACCCCGAACATGGGTACAGCGCTGTCACTAATACCCTGCACCCGTTCGCTCACCCCACTTGCCTCCATAGCCCGTGGACTGCCCATTGCAGGTGTGTTACTAGGCCAGGCCCACAGCGCGTCAAAGTCAATCTGCTCATCCTGTCCGCTCTCCTCGGAATGCAGACTGGGCACGCGCGTTGCTTCCAAAGCAGAGAGGTCAAGCATTGCTGATAGCGAGGGCGCTCTCGAGGCCGATGTATACGATGGCGTGGCCAGGTCCATCGGTGGGGGCTCTTGAATAGGGGACAGGTGGACACTAAAGTCTTCTCCTGTGGGGGCAGGGCTGTGCTGAAGGTCGTTCTGGTGTTGGTTTTGCATGAGGGCATGACGATGCTCAGCGGCTTGATACGTCAATACTGGTTCGTTGATCGGGGCTGTCTGCATGCCGGGATATATGTGTACGGGCACTTGATGGAGTCGTGGTGTTGCGTCCATCGGGTTTGATGCGCGCGCAAGATCGGGTGCATGGGGCGCGGCGTTATGTTGTTGCTGCGGCATCTGCACGCCGTAGAGTTGTGATGCGATGCTGGGCAGTGTTGCATTACTTGTTGAATCTTGTCGCCGGCGTAGTCGTTGCTGTGCGACGACGTCTCGGAAAGAACTCAAGATGTATACTAGACGGCTTGCTTGTTGATCGCTCTCGGCGCAGTAGTTCATGACGTTGATGGCATTGACGACGCAATTGTCCGTTAGTTCGATCTGGTAAAGGCCGGCGAAGTCGCTTGCAAGAATGACGAGAGTGGCTGCGAAGAGGAAGTAAATGACGGCTGGGTTGCGTCGGGATAGATAGCCAGCCTCGTAGGCGTTCTGTATAAGCAGGATGGTATGCACAGAGGCGATGACACACGCCTCACTGAACCGCTCCATGCGGTGGAAGGGTCTTGGCCCTCTCGACCCAGGCTGTTCGACATGCCGTTGGGTTTCTTTGTTGAGTATATACAGTAAGAAGGGTCGAGTAAGAAGGATGACGGAATGGCAGTAGAACAAGTTGACGTGCAAGATGGCCACGCCTTGACTGGGCGAGGCAGTCGCTGCTTGTCGCCATTGTAAGATGGGCGTCAGCAAACGGGGCCATGTCTTGCATATATCCGATATCTCTTGGGCGAGACGAGTGCTGATTTTGCGTTGCTGGTATACTTTCCGCAAGATGACACCGATGACTCTGCAGCTTCGAACGGTGGCTTCCAGAGCGGGCGGGCCAGTCTCATTGAAGTCGTACACAGTCTTTGCACTGAAGCTCCATGACTGGTTGCGGACGCTGCTCGCGGGCGGGCGGAGTGTATCACCCGAGCAGTCGTCTTCCGATATGGCAGTCGGACGGCCAAGAGAGCAAGACAGTAAGCGATCCATCACGAATATCGACCGCCAAAGGTCTTTTCGCTGTGTTTGTTCTTCGGGGCTGAAGATGACCATGGTCTCTTCTCTGTGGAGGCCCAGCGCAAGCGCAGACCGTACTGCCATCCCAAGCAAGGCGAAAGCAGTGTTTCGCTTGCTTTTGGCCAACATGTAGTATGACATGAGAAGCAGCGCTTGAACAGACCAGAAGTCTTGATCTTCCAATCCTGTCATCGGGTCGTTCATGTTCTTAGCATTCAGGTAGAAAGCCTCGGCTCTGTCGAGGTGTTCACTGCGAAGCTTGTCGATTATCAGTGCCTCAGGACTTCCCGAAAGTGGTGTCGCCATGGTGAGGCCGATAGCGAACACTAGGTTGAGTAAGCATGACCAAGATGTATCGACGGACAGCGGATCGGAGTAGCAACGCTCTAGTTTCTCAAGAAAGTGGTCACGCCGGAAGACCTGCAATAAGCCGTGGGTATTGACAAAAAATGCGTCCACTAGCACACGTGCTGTTCGTTCGTCTGGGAGTAGACTTGTCTGTCGATAGCCCAGTGGAAGTGAATATTGGCCTTCGACTATCTTGTGACGTCGAGGGTCGGTCGTAAACGGTGACGGACCGGCTACTGTTTCGACCATCATCCGGAGGAGCTGAAGAAATGATAGAGTAGCTGCATCGCCAATGTATATCACTCGTCCCGTTGGGTCTTGTAACATGCGGCTCTGGCTCGGAAACTCCGCGACCTCATCTGTGCCATCGTGCGGAGTGGAAGCGTGTGTCGGGGTAAGTCGATCACGGGTGTTGTCATGGTTGACAGCTAGGCGATCGATTGAGCTGTTCGCATGCTCTATACTGGGCCTTGGGCCTGGAGACTTGAACGGTACTTCTTGTTTGACACTGAGTGCGCGTGTCAACAGATCTGGACGGTTACCGGAAGACGTCCGGTTATGTGATAACAGTGGCGTTGTTTGGGCGTGCTCAACAGCGGGTGTATTTGTAGTAGCTTTGTCAGTCGGACTATAAAGTGAGCAGTCAGCAAACCCGTGCTTCGGAAAGCTATCAGGGATGTAGCGATGAATAACGCTTTGGAGGAGTGCAAAGTTCCATGGGTTCGCCACAGTGATGAAACGCGAGATACGTACATTGAACCGTCGCTGTCATTGCCACTCTCAATTGTACGTCTCTTTGCAGGCGGTCGGTCCTCGCCTGGAGAATTCGGATCTCGATCCGCGTATATGCAAGTGAACTTGCGCTGTCTAAAGTCAATACATCGACGTCTGGAATCGGGATGGGGGCCTAACCTTATCACATGTGTTGCAGGGACACAAGCCGTTGCACTGTTATATGTCAGTCTCGCCTGCCAACTAGAGGGCCCATTTGCATATGTCCGCGAGTCATCTTGCGAAGGAGCCGATGCAGATGTTGTCCACGATTACAAAACGTTCGGGTGAAGCATCGCCCAGCCGGACATTTTCCTATTGAACAACGTGATGGAGCCACGGTGCTAGCCGACGGCCTCCCGCAATGCCTCCACACACGGCGATCGGTAAGCATAGCAACCTCAGGATGCTAGCGTACTGGCATGCAAGAACTAAGTTGCAGGTCGTAAACGTTGACAGGGGTCTGTGCCAAGTGCATCTGTAGCCGAATGCGCAAAACGTCGTGACGCAGCAGTTGAGAAATCGAAATTACCTTCTGTTTTCTCCTCTTGCAACTTTCGCACGCCTGAGCGGTGCGCTGTCGTTGGTCTGCGACGCGTCAAATTAGCCGTAAAGTCGCCAGTACGAGCGCAGACGAACCTGGTGGGACCTTGGGTCGCGTCATCACGGTATCGAGTCCGCGGTAGTCGCAGTCGTTATCACGTGCGAATCCGGATGGTCAATGCCTGGGAGTACATTGCCGACGCGACGGATGGATGAGCTGGTCGGAAGATGCACTCGTGGCAATGATGGAAGCGAGTCACGGAAGTCCCATAACGCTACGGGAAATTGACGCGGAAAAGGGTCCCCTAGCCTTCGCCGTCTGTATTGATGAGAGGAGAACACCACAGTATGATTCAAATGGCCTTGCTGATGAAATTGGATGACGAGTCCCTTGTGGTTGTCGCGAAGCTGCGAAGCTTGGGCTTCCCACTGTTCCGAAAATTGAGTAGCGTTGGACGTCTGCCGATCCTCATGAACTCGGCCTACAGACCCCAGCCCAGCCCGTCTTTAGACTCAACGCGTCGATATGCAGGACACGCTTAGCCGACGCTGATAGCAATGGTCATGACCGCATGCGGTCAACAAGCTCGATATGCCGCTAATCAGCTTTTCAACGGCAAAGCCGTTACCACGCAACCTTACCTCGGGCCGTCTTTGGAAGGGCTACCAGTATTTACCCTGAAATCCCCTTTGCTACAATCTTCTTCCATCCTGTCTTGTCTTTACATGCTTCGAAATGGCGCCATATCTAGGATCTGAAAGTAGTCACCATGGAAGCGCCACACATGCCAACACATTGCTGGTGGGAACCACGGCAGCATTGGAACAATTACTCACCAAAGCGAAAGACAACCTGCCCGAAGAGTCGCTGCCACACATCGCCAATGTAAAGTTTTCGACCGCGAACACCGGAAGCCCGTACTTTCCCAGCCCACTGAAACAAACAGAGGCCATCTCTGCCCTCAAGGCAGTTGAAGCAGGAGTTGCATCTGCCATCGCCAATCTACAAGATGCTCAAAAGCCACGGGGTATCGCTGTCGATCTCGAAAGAGCCACAGCTTTTCTATTCTCCACCTATCTAGCCACGGTGGGCGGGTTCGATAAATCCGACCTAAGGGCTAAGAAGCTACTCAAAGGTTGAACTCACTGCCTCAGCGTGGCCAAGGATTAATACTGACCAAGACAGACACCGACCTTCTCCAAGCACAATCTATCCTGTACCGCAGACTATCCGCAAATCTTTACGAGACGAAAAACCCAGGAGAATACTTTCATCTCCATGGCTCTCTTGAGGCGACCAAAGCGCTGAACATGATAGGTCTCGACGGATCACGGCCCGATCTGACAGACTATCATGAATGCATCAAGGTCATTGAGGATCATGTCAGGCGATACACTGTCGATCAGCTCGAAAAGATGAATCAAGAGATTGGACAAGCTGGTGTGACATGTCTGAAGTGGGAAGATTTCCAAAGGACCCAACACGGGCGTACACTTCTTCAACAACCGCCTTGGAAGGTGGAAACTCTCGAAACCGAGACTCCCGCGGCACCTTTCCCTTTCAAGTCGTCAAGTACCCCTAAACCACAGATTCTTGCCGGGATCCGCGTTCTTGAATTATGTCGGATCATCGCGGGTCCAGCGATGGGTAGAGGGCTCGCCGAGTACGGTGCTGAGGTCATCAAAGTCACGTCGCCGAACCTCTCCGACGTACCTTTCTTCCAAGTGGATGCAAACATCGGCAAGCATACTACTGACTTGAATTTGAAGGACAAAAGAGATCGCCAGACCTTTGAGCAACTTCTCCAGTCGGCAGATGTGATCTTAGATGGCTATCGACCCGGAAGTCTGACTCGTCTCGGATACGGACCTGAGCAGCTCCTTCATCTTGCTAGAAAGCGCGGCAAAGGTTTTGTCTACGTTGCCGAGAACTGTTTCGGACACACTGGACCATGGTCCTCACGTCCAGGTTGGCAGCAAATTGCAGACTGCGTGACGGGTGTGGCATGGGCACAAGGTCAAGCAATGGGATTGAGTGAGCCTGTGGTACCACCCTTCCCTATGAGTGATTATGGCACGGGCTGTATGGGCACTATCGCTGCGCTGGTTGGACTCTACAGACGAGCAAAGGTTGGTGGAAGTTACCTAGGTACTACGTCGTTGGTCCAGTACGACATATACCTACTCCAACTTGGACTCTACGACGATCGCATGATGGCGGAGCTACGGAAAGAGCATGACCAAGAGTTCTTCCAGTTGCGACATCACGATTCGGTTGATGAAGTTGGAAAGAGAGCACTGAAAACAATGAGACGAACGCATCCGGAGCTCTTCGAAGACCGACACATGCAGGAGTGTTATAGCAAGGGATTCAACGCCAATGTCAGGACTATCCGACCCGTGGTCGACATTGAAGGTTACTGGAACGGATTCCTGCGCAGCTCACGTCCCAACGGTTTCGACAAACCTACCTGGGACGACTGGGAGATTGATGAAGCCTTATTACAGGCTTGAATGAACTCAGCGGTGGTTGCGCCATAGAATCTCTCTCATCATCGTTTTGCATACCCAAATTAGCGTCGTTGTATCTGGATAGCACGTCCTTTCATCTTCATACCTCATTCTTATCAATCTACACCTCAGCGTCTCTTCGCTGACCTTTCGACAAAGATCTCAAATACCTGAGATCGCGCCTCGGCATGATGTGTATTGTGCCCCACATCGCCCCACAATGTCGTCGGACTTTTCTAGACGGACTGGTGCAGCTTCCGACATCCCACTGCACGATGCAAGCACACGTGCAATGCACCTGGTACTTACATACAATACCACCGGTTGATTATGATGTCGCTATGTGTGCCGTCATGTTGCGTTGCACACGATGCTCAAAGTAGGAAGATGGCCCGGTCAAGGATGATACGCTAGGGTACGCCTTCCGTCATGAGACTAGCTAAAGATACAGTCGCTCAACACCGAGACGGGCCGCTAATGCTGGGGAACGACGCCATGGTCAGTGGAGGAAGCCTAGAAGTATTCCGCGGAGTTCTACCTCGGTGCATTCGTTGGCTCTCGTTATTGGTAAGCGGCGCATATACTACTTAGGTAAATCGTGACCTGCTGAGGTAAGGAACTTGAAGTTATGGCATGCTTACTCTGCAGCGATGAGCTAAACCTTGATTGGCATCTGGGTACGAGTCGTGCTCAGACGCAGGCCCACGAATTGTTGAACCGAGGAGCTTTCGGGTTGACTGCATTTTGACTTTGCTGTAGTGACGAAATTTGGCCGACGATGGTACCAACTGAATGGAAAATACCTTGATCGCACAGCGCCTACACCACCGCTCTTTGTACCGTCTCCGAAGTCAAGGTCAGAGCACTTTACGGCTGTTGATGCCGCCAAAGTCATGCTTGTGCTACTGATACTTTGTAACTCATTGACGGGCCTGTATCTGTCATTTAAGCTACTTTCCGTCCAATGTCAGAACCCACAGTCTAATAAGATGTTAGCATGTCTTCGAACTAAAATGCTGAAACAGGCGGTGTCATTAGCATTGCCGAGTTCGAACGCCATAATCCTACGACGGCATCTGAAAAGGCGAGCACCGCCCCTGGCATACACCAGCGACCGGCGGCTACCAGGACACTTGGGCGAACTCACAAATATGCCGGCTTGGAAGATGGGATCGACAGATGCTGCGCTACACTAGCTGTTCGATGAGACTCACCGTCGTTCAGACACTGCCGAGACAGTATCGTTTGGGGCTCGCCTTACATCTTGTCATCTCTAGGTTAACGGGCTTTGTGACACAAACTCCGAACTTACGAGGACTATACTTCACTGTAATGATGAATGTATTACCTTCTCATGATTCTTTCGCCCTTGCGTCCATCATATTCATGGTTAGCTGCCTCTTGAAGAGCTTGGCGTAGAAAGCCTCCTTTTAGCTTTGTATCGCAATCGATTTCTTCCCTTCCTCTATAGGTTGCCCTTGTTACCGAGGGCTCTTCTTGGGTGGTAAATGTCTACCATCTCGTCTTCGGAGTTGCTAATACCCTGCTGGCTGGGCTGCGCATGCCGTTCGGTTGCCGGAGTCAATAGCCGCGGCGCAGCCTCAAGATTGTCACTCACCGAGTCGCCGTAGTATGGATTCTCTGTGTAATCTTCCCGGTATTTTATGCGAGGGAAATGCGACCCACGCGTGCTTGGCGGCTGGAGATGGAACTGAATGACAGCTGATCTGGCGGCGGTCGTCCTGGTCTCGGTCTCACCGTCTGCGGGTGGGGGCGTTACTCGGGGAGATTTCCAATGTACGGTGGGATATTGTGGCAATATTGGATGAACTTGTTGCAATTGAAGCTGCCGTTAGTGAGGGTGGTGCCAACGATCAGGTCGCAGATGAACTTACCGTCGTGTCTGCCCAGGTGTACCTTCAAGTGCCCTTCTGAGACACTGCGTTTTGATAGCACTTGATATGAGCGTTCTCTTATCTTGGTCGGGCTTCCGCTGACAACAAGTGACGCTACGAGCGGTGGTGACTGCCAAGTTCAGTTGTCACTCAACAACAGCGTCGCGGAAGATTTGCCGACCGATGAAGCTGTGAAAGACCGCAAGTGCATCCAGTATTTAATGCTTTCCCCGAATGTCTCTCAATACTTGCCCTAAACCTCAGCGTTCTCAGACGGCTTGTGCACCTCTGACCGCAACGAGGACCAGCCCGCGGGCGGGAGCACTGTGGTCAGGACATCGTGGACCTTTTCCATGTTGAACATGCAATAGTTCATTGTTGTTACCTTGTGTATAACTTGAAGCGCTGTCCTATCGCTCATCGCAACTGCGGTCTCTCAGCCGGGGAACGCTGAACCGCCTCCCTGGAAACCGCCTCGGTGACGCGCCAGTCACGGAGAAGCTGCATCTACAGATCCCGAATCTCCAAGGTATCCGACACTCCTTCTACTTCCGCGAATACCTTATCGCTGATGGTGTCAGCTTGATCGAGGTTACCTAATCAGGGGAGCTTGGATGCACTCAGCACAATGTCTATCCTGCGATTTTGGAAAAGGCGTCACTTACAAAGGAGCTCCGATCTTTGGTTCTTACATCCTCCCGGTCTAGTAAAAGAGTAGCGTCATTCATGGCTGACTATCTACTGTCATCGGTATACCACTGGCTACAACTGTGCTGTCCCCAGCTAGCGTTGCCGTTTGAAGTGGTTGCCTGGGCTCAACCACAACAAACGGTCACTCAACCACCGCATTCCCCCTTCACCTGAGCAATCCTAGCCGACACAGGTAGCCCAATGATCTACCGACCAGCCGCTGGTAAGGTATCACGTGACACTAGCGCTGCCAAGCCCTGGGAGCCTACTTAGTTTGGTTACCTCCACGTCCACTACCATGACGTCCAATGACTAACACATGAAATTGGAGCTCAGGTGCCTTCTAACAAGCTTCAGGGTCTTCTTTTCTCATCTTTCTTCAGTCTCGGCCTTCCTTACTCTGGTCTATTATCCTGGCAACATACATTCACTCATCCTACCTTGGCACTTGGTATACTTGAACACTTCTTCAACACCTTCGACCTTCCCAGTACTACATCATCACATCATGTGAAGCTTTTCTTCAATTTGATCTTCGGATACGTTTAGGCTGCTCTATCACATCTTTCAACTTCAGCCATCACCATGTTGGTATCCATCAACACTTCACTGGACGTCCACGTCGACATCACTTCACACCAAGTGCCAGCTGCTATAACATAGAAGCTTCCAAGGTTTGCTTCTTTTCCCACTCTGTTGTTCACTGACATGTCTTCTGACTCGTTCAGAATACAAAAAAGTAGGTTCTTCTTCTCTTCTTGGTCATCCTTTACTGACCTTCACTAGAACAATATCAACAACTTCAATGACGTCCAATCATCTCCTAACTTCATCGGCTTCCTTCTTGGACATGCCGAACTTCCACATTACCTCACTTCACTTCACTCCAACATCAACCTCATCATCACTTTAGACCTCCAGCATGCTCCTTCGCATACGACAAAGCTCAAGAACCGATCGGACGAGTCTACCCATCATCGGCTGAACCAATCTGCGACTACGACAGATTGCTTCGACTCTCCCTACCGACCGCGGCGCGCGACAATGACTTGATCGAGTGGTTGCGACGGGTGAGAGACCCTTACAAGATTGTGTTGTGCTTATGGAGCGCTCGACGGCTTGTGGTTGTGTCAGGAGGACAGAAGGTCAATGACAACTTGGCTGTTATACCCGGCCTACGACCACTACTGCGATCTTGCACACCCTGCTTACATACCACTCGCGTGCCTCGATGGGGTTCTGGTTGGCTTCGGCTGATTGGCTTCGGCTGATATCAACGTGGTCTCTGTTTGCAGAAGCATCCGGTGTGTAAGAGCTTTGGATGAGATCCTCTGCCGGTTGTTGGACTGGCGTACACTCGACTGGCCAGTTTGGAGTTGGAATGGTGGTAGGAGGTTTGGACTTGGTGGTGGTTGGTTTCCATGGGCGCCTTGGTCCTTGTGGTCTTGGTGATTTGGAGCAAGGAAATCTTTTGGTCTTTGGGTGCAAGGAATTGCTTTTGGTCTGGTTGACTTCAATGTGGTGGTTCTTCAAGGACATCTTCGAAGGTTTCTCATTCTGGATATGATATTTGCAGTGGTTCATCAAATCAATGTGTTAACTGTGACTTGTCTTCTCTTCTTACTTCCTCAAGCGGTAGCTGCTGCCAGACTACCTGTTGCATTGCGACAAGGTACATGACTCTTTCCCCTTGCTTCGCGTTATGACCTTCAGCAACTATTGCACTCCCACCGCTCGTCGCCTCTATCACCGCGCTTCATCTCCTACCTTCCCATCTCCACGCCCCAGCACCCCGAACATCCACTCCCCAATCTCCTGGCTCTCTTCCGGCTGCACAGGATATAGATGACCCTGCTCCCAATACCTCACCACACTCTTCCCCTCTCCCACCTCATACCACCCATCAATCAGTCCCTGACCCGCCCAATTCCACTCATCCTGCAGACCCTGAACATGAAAAGCCGGCAACCTAATCTTCCCCTCTACCAACTCCTTCCGCTCTTCCACACTCATCCCAAACGACGAAATCGCCACATCAAGCGCCGCAGTCGCAGAAGGCGGTATCAGCGGCGGCGGATACGACCCACAAACACTGAGGCCGAAATCGAAATCCAGATACGCGAGATGAGATACATCGTTCCCCTTCTCAGCGAGTGCGCGTCGGATTTCGCAGCCTTTGAGGAGTCCAGCTACGACTTTGGTTCCTTGGGAGAAGCCGATGAGACCAACGACTTTGCCGCCGGTGGAGTTGATGCGTTCGACGGTGCTGCGGACGAGGTCTTCTACTTCGGACGGCATGGCGGTTGTGGAGTTTCCGGCTTTCATGTCGGAGATGGTGACGCTGGATTGCATCCAGCGTTTGAAGGGTCCGCAGCCTTCGAAGAAGGGGAGGATACCTGGGCCGGCTTGGGATGGAAATGGCGCTTGGGATCGTTGTTAGCGTAGAAGCGCATGTCAAGGGGGTGGGAAGGTGGGTGGATATGGGGTGTGCATACCTTCCAGACTTTCCACTTCGAAATGGTCTTTGATCACCCTCATTAGTCTTGCTAGTTGGATTGTGTGTACGGTCGCGTTGCTTCCAGAACCATGGAAGGCTAGCAGTGTGGGCTTCACAGGTCCACCCATGCCTGCGAGTTTGGGTGCTATGCTGGGTGTCATGTACGTGCTGTTCTCTGTTTGTGCTGCCATCTTGGCAAGGTGTGGTTTAGGCTGTGGTTCGAAAACACTGGGGAAACAGCCCTCCGTGAGGCTATCTATATCTCCTCGATGTTGCTCCTGGCTCCCTGGCTGTAGAAAAGAAGAATGCAGGGTCCGGTCCTGTTTTCTTAGATGGTGGGGAAGCCGTTTGCTTCTTTTTCGTCTGTTTCAACTCAAGCCTCTAATCCTTTTCTTATTCTCTTCTTTCTAAACTTGGATAAACAATCAAAGTTGTAGGTTTCGTTAGAGGATTTCTTTACATGGGTCGAAAGACATGTGCTTCGCAGACGTGGACAAGTGGCTGCTTATCGGGCCGTAAAAGTCGTCATTCGCCAAGGACGTGTGTATCGCTCGTATAAGAAATAGAGATCTATGGCCGTCGCATTAGAAACCGAGCCGCGGAGAAGTATTGTTGACAAACAGAAACGTGTATGCTGAGGTACATGTCTACATGCGGGATGTAAGGTCAAGACCGAGGATGCCTGCCCAAGTGGGGTCCAGTCAGAGGCGAGATGCGCCCATAGATTACGCACGCGTTCGCTCGACGTATGGCTCATGAATTGAGAGCACCCATTCAACTTACATCAACTCATTGTTTGATTCCTCATTCGAGTTCGCTACTTGACAATTATTTGTGTCGATTTTGGTGCTGCCTCTGGAAATCCATAGCCCGCATTTGAACTACGCCTTGCTTACTCGCTAATAGTACTTCATAGGAAAGATAAAGGGAAGAAAAGAAAAGGCAGCAGCGCCTGTTACCCATACTCGGGCTCAAAAGTTGGTTGTACCAGCCCTAGGCAGCGTGTTTGACGAAGCACTCGAACCTTTGCTCCTCGTTCCGCTCATCCCGGAGCTCACGCTCGTTCTTGAGCTTGCCCTCATCCTACCCTTATCTCCTTCCTTGATCGACCTCAAGATCTCAATGCCTTCCGCAGTCTTTCCCAAACGAGATACGAGCGTCGTGTTCTCGTGTTGCAGGTCACCAATCTGTTCCTTAAGCAACTTGTTCTCCTGCTCCAGTATTTCCACGCGCTGCTTATACTCGTCCCGCTCGCGTTGTGCTTTGGCAAGCTGATTCTTATCTGCTTCCTTCTGTTGGCGGAGGAGTAGTTTCCGTGTCTCCTTCTCGCGACGCTCTTCGAGTTTACGCATCTCCTTCTCGTACTTGTCTTTCTGCTTCTTCTTCTCCCTCTCGTGCTTCTCATTCGCTTTTTGCATGTCCGCATTCGTCTTCTGGCTTTCAGCTTGTAGCCCCGACTCCTGCTTTTCGCGCGCTTGCTCAAGTTTCGACTTCAGCTGTTCCTTCTTTTCTTCAATCTTTTGTAGGCCCTTGTGATGCGGGCTGTCTTCTGTTAACGGTAGGGACTGCTGCGACGAGGTTGATGGTGTCGGAATCTCTCGGTCGATCGGAAGTCCTTCGCGGGTAGTAGTGAACTGTTCTGCAGAGGCGAATGAATCACCGGAAGACGACGAGCTTGAGGAGCTATCAGATCTTGTGCGTTGGAGGCTGTAGTGGCTGCCAGCCTCTCCAGTCTTGTCTACTATGCTGGTTCCTACGCCGGCGCCCATGCCGTTGGTCTCAGCTGCGGAGAACGTCCGCCCGACGTCGTGCGCTTTAGGTGTCTGCACGGAGTCGTCCTTGCCTGCCACCACATCTGCCTCTACGTCATCGTCTTTTGCACAGGCCCAGTCGAGGAATTTGACCGCGTCCTGGACTATACTGCTAGGCACATTGCGCTCGACCATGAATCGAGGTATGCCACCACCGGGATCACTGCGGGTGACCATTATCCATTCGATAGGATTGGTCTCTGCGTCGCCGTCGCCCATGGGTATTTCCCTGATCATCTCAATCGATTCGTAGAAGCCTCGCACCATGTTGCTTCGCGGCGGCGCATCGGGATGTGAACAGGGTATGGAAACGACCATGAAGTGTCGCGGTGTTGAGTTGGCGACTTTGGAAGCATCGGTAAGACATGTATCCGAGGTAATGAGTAGGGTGATGAACTCTCGCGGCGAGGTTGGGCCAGGAAATTGCGCGGATAGCTGATAGACTGCATCTCTGTTAGTCGCTATAGGCGGCTGGAGATATTCGCTCTCCTATACCTTGCAGCTGGCCCACGCCGTCGACTGTCATATCCTCCAGCCGCTGGTCGCCTCCAATGCCTCGTATGTTGCCCTCGCCGGGGCCACCCTGGACTTCCAGACTCTCCGGGAACTCCCTCTTCATGGCGCGCTTCCACTTCTCGAACCCGAGGCCTTCGTGTACGCTCGAGCGTGAGAACCAGGCTCCGTGCCTGTCCTTTCCGGCCATCTTGTATACGCTCATGCCCGTAGCGGCGTCATTGTTTCCTAGCTTCACGGGCTTGCCCCATGACTTTTGTAGCTCCTCATGCTCTGGCGCAGGTGGTGGCCGTCGTACTTTGGAAATTGTGAGGTCCTTGGAGCCCGTTGCAGGTTCTTGCTCGGTTCGGGTTCGTTGTGAGGACTCATAAGGCGTTCCATTGGGTGGTGGAGGCACAGAGTTGGCAATCAGTTCTGCTTTTGCCAGTATGTCGGGTAAGAATGCTTCGAGGTTGTCGGTAGGGACGTCGCTGAACTCTTTCGGCCGGAGGCACGCGAGCGCTTCGTGTAGCTCTGACATGATAAGGTCTGACGGAAAGGTCGGTCTTGAAAAGATCTGGGGGAAGAAGCAAAGAAGGACTCAAAGCCACAGGATACCTAGACCCTTTGTGGCTGCTCCCAAGCTATATGTGCTGTGAATGTTCCGACGTACCCGTGGTGCCAGCTAGTAGTGTCCGGTGACGGGTGATGAAATCATTACCGGCGATTATCGATTCAATTTGCAATGAAGATGGACGGAGCTTGAGAAAGAACTAATAATCAGTAGCAGACTAGGCGAGCAGTTTTCCTATGCTGAACTGCGAGGCCTCCTGTCGATATGGCAATCGTCCGCATCTGCAGGTATAGTTGATGCAACGTCATCCCTGCACGTCGCTCGCTCTTCCCAATTCGCGACGCGTGACGCGGGGTCGCCCGCCGCGCCACCGACGTATCAATCCCTGGCCGCCCTGCATACGAATACGGCGGCAGCCGCTACGTCACATATGGCAAAGCTTGCGAAATTGTGACCTTCACGTGTGCTAGCATTCTGGCTTTACACAGCACTCGATGAAACGCACCATGCGGATACAATGTAAGAGAAATAATCTATCTATCTAAGACGTGCTGGACAATTAGAGAGGGGTATTTCGCAAGTCTAGCCAATGCGGCAAATCAAGTTGTTCCGAAGCAACATCCTCCAAGACCTACACAAGTACGTATAAAGCACACATCTGCCGGATTGTTAGCCTTGATGGACATATGCCGGGAGTTTACGACTTACCATGCTAAGCCCCAAGATCATGCTGCACCAAAAGAGGACATTGTTCAGCAGAGTGCGGCCTCTAACCCACTTGCTCCGTTGCAGCATTACAATTGGCATCTGGAGCATCATCGCGACGAAACCATAGCCTCTAAACTTTCGCGTAATGCAGCCCATGACAAGCTCGTGCGCCAACGCAGAGATGAGGAAGGTGATTGTTGTAGCTAGAGGACGCGACATGTGGTTCTTAGACGCAGAGTAGACGTGTCGTCGGAAAAAATGGTGACTGAATCACAACGCGTCCAGTCAGTATGTTTCCCACATGCGATTCGTACAAGGACATGGCTTACACAGGCTTGTTCCATTCACGCGAGAATTCCAGCCAGTCGCAGCTGTTCCACCAGTCGGCATAGAACTGACGGTCGGCAAAGCCTGCAACTCTTGTTAGTAGCGGATGCTGGGCTTGGTAATGGACACTCACGAGTAATCTCGGCAAAAGCGCCCAGGATGTACTCAAAGATGACGAGGAAGACTAGCAGGAAGGTAATCATGAACGGAAATAGTAGGCGACCGATAGTCTCGCTAAGAATCAACGTGAAATCCGTAGCACCCTTGGAGTTTTGGAGTCGCACAGCCGATACGTCCAGTACTGGGAGGATGAACTCCTCCGCGGTAATAACCATCAAAAAGATGCATCCGAATACTGCGAGAGTCTTATAGAAGACCTCCAACCAGCGAATGCTAGTATTCCTCGGGTACTCAAGCTCGTAACACAAGGTCGGACAGAAAATGAAGTCGACAAAGTTATACAGGGTGAGGTTGTTGGGGTATGAGACGTTACCGAGAGGCGAGGCAAGCTCCAATGCGAGATCGTCTCTCAATTGGCCAAGATACTCTGCGTTTGCCTTTTTCGGGTCGGGCTCCTCCTGTGAAGGCGATTGCGGGATCTCGTGCAAATGAGTGCTTGAACTTGGATAGCGCACTGCAGCTACCTTGCTGGCCTTGTCGGGTGTATCAAGATCGTTCAAGCGACGTAGAGTTTCGCTGAGATGACCGTTGTAGAAACTTGACAAGGTTAGCTATGCAATCGAAGCTCTAGTTGCTTGGTGCCATACGCGTAAGAGTGCATTTTCATGAAAATCGCAAGCAGATGCAGAGTGAAGAAGACCTGCGCGGTCCAGCTCCAGTCGCGAATGAAAGGGTATCTTTGCATTGGTCAGTCTACAGTACAATTTATAATCTGAGCCAGCGTACGTAGTCCAGAAAGCGAGCCAGATTGCCTGGAAGATGCTCTGTATAGCTATGCCAGACGTGTTCCAGCGTAGAGACCCCTGTTTGAGAAACAACCTCTGGAGCGGCAGTGACAAGGCGGTGCTGAACACCATGGCACCGTCAACTAAGCCAAGCTCAACAACCTTCTCCTTGAACAGCGCCCACTGCCTCATCTGAAAGGGGTATCCAGTCTCGGTCATGTTTCGCAGCATCGATGTGATGACCATGATGGCGAGTCCGATCCAGAACAGGACGAAGAAGCCGCGGAAGTCATGGTAGTCGCTGTTTGGGTCGAAATGAGAGACGCGATCCACGTAGTCGATGGTAGGGAACATGCGCTGCTTGTGCTGGGCGCGTATTTGCCTGCGTGCGGACGAGGAGGCCTGGACGGAAGGCGGGGCATCGGCGGGTATGGGCGTGCTTCTTCCACTGCTGAGGGTCAGCTATGTATCGCGTCCAGAGAGGTGCCCATGTACCTAGAGATGCCTGAGCCGGGCTCCCGGAGCGTGCCATTCTTGTTAAACGCCTCGTCGCTGAGTTGTGGCTTGAGCAGGTCGATTCTCGTGGGTTTGCGCGGTCGCGGCGAGTGGAACTCGGTGTTCCCGTTGAGAGCGTTCGCGTCAAAAGACGTAGACTCGGCCATTATGGGGAGAAGTGTATGTGCATGTCACGGAGGAGAAGTGGGAAGGAGGATTCAAGTGTGGACAGGCCAGACTATGATCCGCAACTAACAGGGTCACTGGCTGCGTCAGATGGGGCAGTGAGTGGCAGACGAGGCTTCCGGACAACCGCTCGTCACGAAACAGGTAATGGAGAGATAATCGGTTTGTATTTGCTACGTATACATAGACAGGGAAGATGCACGCACATGCGGTCTGCTGATGTAGTGGCCTAACGACTCGGAGAGTTAGCAACGATGGTCGAAGGGTCGGTTACATCAGCGGTCGCGCGAGTCAGGGCGGGCGTCTTGGAGCAGTGGCGGGAATTGTCGTGTTTCTTGGTAGGTAGAGTACCGTGTAATTAGGTCATATCTCGGGGTTTGCTTGGAAAATTACGCCAGAATCCATGCGCATCAAAGAAAGCCAGCGTTCAGGATAGGGTAGAGTCTAGGCATCCGTACCCGTTGTTGGTGTTGGTGGCAGGTGCGTCCGACCTCTGGACTCTGGAACAAATGACGGCCCGGCCAGCTGTAGGCCATGCCCAAACGTTCCGCCTACCAACGCGCAGCCAGGACAATTCACATAGTCGCCCGTGACCGATCCAGAATACCCATCGACGGCCGAAGACCTTTCCCGTCCTCTCCAGCCTCTTTTCCATCGTACCCTTCTTCGCTGTCCGGGTGGGGTCCAAGAGGCCACCGCAATGGCTTCCTGTACGCCAAGCACCGCGACCCCCAGCAGCTGAGGACTTGTGCTAAGGATATACAGTGAAGCAGTTTATTCGCAATGTGCGCGCTGCAAAGACAATTGCCGACGAGCGTGCAGTCGTGCAGAAAGAGAGTGCCGCCATCCGCGCCAGCTTCAGGGAGGAGAGCCACGATTCCAACGTGAGGAGGAACAATGTCGCAAAGCTGCTCTATCTCTTCACTCTGGGTGAGAGGACACACTTTGGCCAGATCGAATGTCTGAAGCTGCTGGCCTCTCCACGCTTCGCCGACAAGCGGTTGGGATATCTGGGTACCATGCTGCTGCTGGACGAGAACCAGGAAGTCCTGACACTGGTGACAAACTCGCTGAAGAAGTAGGCATTAATGCGATCTCTCATGTGGATGCAGATGCTAAACAGTGTGTAGCGACTTGAACCACCCCAACCAGTACATCGTTGGCCTCGCCCTCTGCACGCTCGGCAACATCGCCTCCGTCGAAATGGCTCGAGACCTCTTCCCGGAAGTCGAAACGATAATATCGAGCGCGAACCCATACATACGCCGCAAAGCCGCAATCTGCGCCATGAGGATATGTCGGAAAGTGCCCGACCTCCAGGAACATTTCTTGGAAAAGGCCAAGTTGCTACTGCAAGATCGAAACCACGGCGTCTTGCTGTGTGGCGTCACTCTAGTAGAGAACCTTTGCGAGGCGGACGAGGCCGAGGATGACGAGAACGGCGTGAGGGACATCTTCAGACCCATGGTGCCCAGCCTAGTCAAGATCTTGAAGGGGCTCTCATCGTCCGGTTATGCGCCTGAGCACGATGTGACTGGCATTACGGACCCCTTCCTACAGTGCAAGCTACTTCAGCTTCTACGAGTCCTGGCCCGTGGTGATGCGCAGGTTAGCGAACAGATCAACGATATCCTAGCCCAGGTCGCAACCAACACAGACTCCTCGAAGAATGTCGGCAACTCCATCTTGTACGAGGCAGTACTCACAATCCTTGATATCGAAGCAGATTCCGGACTTCGCGTGCTTGGTGTCAATATTCTAGGAAAGTTCTTGTCAAACCGTGACAACAACATCAGATATGTTGCACTCAACACACTGATCAAGGTTGTCGCAGTCGAACCAAACGCCGTACAGAGACACCGCAACACCATCCTGGACTGTCTACGGGATCCTGATATTAGTATTAGACGGCGAGCGCTTGACCTCAGCTTTACCCTCATCAACGAAAGCAATGTGCGCGTACTGATAAGGGAGCTCCTTGCTTTCCTCGAAGTTGCTGACAACGAGTTCAAACCCGTCATGACCTCTCAGATTGGTGTCGCAGCAGACCGCTTCGCACCAAACAAGAGGTGGCACGTCGATACCATGCTGCGCGTGCTGAAGCTCGTAAGTTGGCAAATGTCTGTGTGAAATGCATGTAACTAACCCGTGCACCAGGCCGGGAACTACGTCAAGGAGCAGATCTTGTCATCCTTTGTACGACTGATCGCTACCACACCTGACCTCCAAACCTATTCCGTACAGAAACTCTATGCGGCTCTGAAGGAAGACATCACACAGGAGGGTCTCACACTGGCCGGTTCCTGGGTCATCGGAGAGTACGGTGATGCACTGCTAAGAGGTGGCCAGTACGAAGAGGAAGAGCTTGTCAAGGAAGTCAAAGAGAGCGACATTGTCGACCTCTTCGAAACCATCCTCGGTAGCAGTTACGCCGGTCTCATCGTTCAACAGTACATCGTCACAGCCTCTATGAAATTGACGACACGTTTGAGCGATCCTGCTCAAATCGAGCGTTTACGGCGGTTACTACAACGTTATGCGGCAAACCTTGATGTCGAGATTCAACAGCGTGCAGCCGAATACGGAAACTTATTCGGCCACGACCAGATTAGGAGAGGCGTTCTTGAGAAAATGCCACCGCCTGAAATCCGCGAGGAGTCAAGAGTTCTGGGTGAAGCGACCAAGAAGCGACAGTCGAAGATTGCGAAGAAGAAGCCTGCGCAAGCAGCGACAGAAGACTTGCTACTCGACCTCATGGGCGACGCAGGCCCGTCGACCAGCATGAATGGAGCAGCCAATGGAACTCAACAGAGCCAGGACTTGCTTGCAGACATCATGGGCGGGTCTTCATCACCGCCTCAGACATCCTCCCCGGCGCCACAATCAAACGTGGCCAATATCATGGACCTCTTCAACTCTGGAGCCAGCAGCTCTCCAGCCCCAGCGCAGTCTCACGCACCGCCGTCAGGAAACTCCATGGACCTTCTGGGCGGGCTCGGTGGCATGTCCTCGCCACCACCACAAGCTTCAGCACCATCGGTGGCTTCAGGCCCACCCGCACATCCAGCATACAACAAGAACGACCTACAGATCACCTTCCAGCTCAAGCGTGATGCAAACGCCGTGCAACTTCTCGCACGTTTCCGCAATACTGGAAGCTTTGGCCAGCTGTCAGGTGTGAATCTACAAGCCGCTGTACCAAAGAGCCAAAAGCTGCAGCTACAACCTATCAGTACCAGTGAGCTGGAGGGAGGCCAAGATGCGACCCAGCAAATGAGGGTCACAGCTGTCAATGGGGTAAGTCGTTCTCAGCTAAGTTCTATTTGGACGACATGCTAACAGATCCAGCCCCCACCCGCAAGGCTAAAGCTCCGACTCAAGATCAGTTACTCGGCAGGTGGTGCTCCAGTGACAGAGCAGATTGACTGGGCCGAGCCGACATGATCGCAAAGCACACTTTTGGTAGTAAAATCTTCAAGTAGCGAGCAGTATAGAGCAAATGACATACCCAGGGGATGATGACATGCACAACAGACTAGGCCTGGCGCAAGTATTTCGTGCGCGCATGTCTGGCGAACAATTCAAGCGTTGACGTAGAGCGGGTTCTTCAGTGTTAGCGAAATGCTCAAAGTGCATCGTAGGATTGCTTTGGGCGACGCCTAATTTTCATTTTGAAGGACGGAACCAACTAGTCGCAATAACCTGACAGACGTGGGAATAAGATGCGGGATTAGCGCCTCAAGCCATCCGCGCCGCTTTCCGGTAGATCTCCCCACCATTGCCAGTGCCAGGAACATCGACCTGCTGAGTGGCTTCTCTCTCTCTTCTGCACAACCGTTTCTCATTACACCACAACCGTCTCAAAGCGGGATCGCTACCCATTCAGAAATGCTTTGTGTTGAAAAGACATTATTCGCACAGATCGCGACGACGGTAGCAGGTGATGCACGACCAGGGATTAGCACAGATTCTGGGATCGACATGATATCACGCACCATCGCCTGCATACTATAAACCTTGCCAGCCACTCACTTTTCTCACTACAGCGATCACCCTGTCTCGTCATGCGTCCCAAGAAGTTCGGTTCGCATTAGCACGAGGGGATCGCGAATACCCAGCCTCACAATGCCCGCCGCGAGGATCTGTCTATGCCCGCATAGAGCTACTACCTTCCTTATTCAGCGTTACATGGGACGTTATAATGGTGTCCCGATATTCCCGAAGTCTTGGATCTGGCTGCAACACTTGCGTTGAAAAGGGAACGTGATGCCATTGCCAATAGAGGGGTCTTGGTCATTATCCACTATGAGCAGGTGCTTATTTCTCAGATCTGCTTCTCTTATTGAGACACAACCTTCTGTCTTTTGTTTCAATTTTCATATTCATTGGAGACGGTGAAGACATCCATAATTGAACTTTGTTGGCCTCTCATTAAACTGAGTAGCAAACGGCCCGAACGGTATCCCAGACCTTCTCAACATATTTGTATGAGAGGCTTTGGACAAGCATCCGTGAAAGATCAAACGCTCGAACGCAATGCATCTCACGTCTCTCACGCTCGGAGGTAGCTTTCTGTCGCTGGTGTCGGCTCTACCGTCGAACACACCGGTAGACCTACCGAGGAGACATTATGAGTCCACTCCACCATCATACGATCCATCGTCACCTGATCAGAGAGCGCAAGCTGTGATCGACACCTTCAGGATAAGCTGGAATGGATACCGCCAGTATGCATTCCCGATGGATGAGCTGAGGCCTGTGAGCAACAACGGAAGTAATTCGAGGTACGTACTAAATTCCCATTATTTGAAGGAAGTCTTGCTAACACGATACCAGGAATGGATGGGGTGCCTCTGCTGTAGACGCTCTCAGCACAGCACTCATCATGGGCCAGAAAGACATTGTGAACGAGATCATAGAATATATCCCTAGCATCAACTTTGCGTATACTGAGGACCCCGTTTCGCTATTCGAAACCACAATCCGATACCTTGGCGGCATGCTATCTGGCTATGACTTGCTTTCCGGTCCTTTAGCGCACCTGGCAGACGACCCAGCAAACGTAGAAGCTCTTCTTACGCAATCCGTCAATCTGGCCAACAATCTCTCCTACGCATTCGAGACACCCACAGGGATACCCTGGAACGTCCTTACCTTCAACAATCGGAGCAACGTCGATCAAGAAAACGGGCTCGCCACTGTCGGCACGTTGATTCTAGAATGGGTCCGC